AAGCTACGAGTTTCGAATTCTCATGCTGCCCTCAAACGCGCAAGAGGCCTATTAACATCCACAGCGCCTTGCGCAGGCTCAGGCCACTCGGGCCGCTGGCCTCTCTTCCCAATGCTCCCATCCTTCGGAGCCTCTTGGCCGCTTCGTCACCTGCGCCCACGCCTGCCACGCCTGTCTCGCCCACGCCTGCTCCTGCTCCTGTCTCTGCCCCCGCCTCCGCCTCCGCCTCCGCCCCTGCCGACCTCCAGGCCGTCCTGACGGCGATGGAACTTATGGCCGGGCAGACGAAGGACACGATGTACATCAAACAAGCCGAAGAAACGATCAGCGCGGCTGGTCGGCTGGTCAACGCTGTTCACGATTATATTGTATTGGCAGATAACCAAACTCGAAGAAGCCTAGAGGCAAGCTGCCGTTACCACTGCAAGCTGTCCCGAAAAGACGCATGACCAGAGCCGACTGATTCCCAATATACCAGGTAGGGTTAGGGCATGTCAACTCCAGATTGAACATACTCTGACAACATCTTCAGCTAGACACTCCTTGAAGCATGAAGTGTATTACTTCTAGACATGTTTCAAACACGTCTTGGAGAAGCAGCCAGTACATCAATCGCAACCTTCCTTCGAGTCTTGCTATACTGTACCCGAATGGTAAGGGCTTCTCGCTTCTATTGAAGAAGAGAAGAGATGCCCCAGTAAGAGGGACAGGGACAGTGACAGGGATAGGTATCTGCCTTTCAACATGAAATACTCCTGGCCGGAGTTCATGAGAGAATCATCCAATATCTGCAAAGGGTCGCTCGCAGCACTTCCTCTTCCGCGCAACTTGCACGAGAAATCAAAGATACAATGCATGTCACCATCAGATGCTGCGAAGTAGTCGAAGCTATGTCCCATGTCAGCTGCTGAACTCTGATGTTTGACTTGCAGACTGGCTGCTATACCGGAGCTTATCTTGAGCCGTGTTGGCCTTGACAAGGCCCTAAGGAAATCTGGACGAAAGCCATCATAAGGACTGACCATCTGGCTGTCTGGCTGTCTGGCTGTCTATATCATACAACTATAGCTATACGTATACTGTCGGATGAGGCAACCTCACCGGCGCCCCTACCTCCCGTGGCACACCCCCCTACTACAACTGTCGCCGTGCCTACAATATCTGCAGAGACTATCCATCCCTTGACAGGAGTACTGGACGCAGGCGAACAACAGGCTGCGAAGCAGACCTATGAATACGTGAGGGCGCCAGATTCATTGTGATCGATCTGTACTATCTGTCTGTCTCTTCCGAAGAAAGAGATAGGTCCATAGTTGTTCTCGAACGTGTCCGCATAACAAGACGCGGTCGAAGAGGACAGTAAAGAGGTCAAAGACGAGGTCAGTGCTGGTGCCGTGCCATCATGACATTCTAGAGTCTCTAGACTCGTCGAGAAGTTCATCTTCATATACACACACACCCTGACACACACCTATATATTGGTATCCGGATCAGCAAAACTCAGTCCCAGTCTAATCCATTACCTGGACTATACAACACAAATGAAGCCAACAATTTGCAGCCTCTACTGTTACCAGAAAAGATTGCGAAGAGGCGGCGTCACCATTCAGCATCTTCAAGCCCATGGTCAGCATCGGGTGCTGATCCCTGATCCGCCACGGCCTCAGGCACCGCTAATCAAAGAGCGCCACGTCCAGATCACCGTGATTATGACAAAATACTATAAACAACCCGCTCACTGGCAGACCTTCTCAGTGGAGACAGTGAGTTCTGGATTGCAGGCAATGTCTCTCGACACGGGATCGAACTTCAGCGACGACGCCAACCTAAACCTCGAGTATAGCAACGCTCCAAGGACAAGCTTTCACCTAGCCCGTCATGGATCCAGTTTGAGACGGAGGACTCTAGGTCTGGGTCTGTCTATTACCACTACCCATTACTGGGAGTTCCGTTCGAGTCCATGACAATGGACCTTCCGATGAAATGGGATAGGACAGGACGTGAGAAGCTTCCATATCTGATCAGTCTGGGACAGGAAGCTAGACTCGACTCGGCATATTTCGACTTGTTGCGATCCAGTCCACGTCCACATCCTAGGAATAAGGGGTTCAAGTTATATGTGTCTCGTCTCTTCTTGTGCTTGATGCGGGACCTGTCCATGTCCATCACCAGAAAAGGGAGCTGGTCTTTCAGTCCTCCTTACTCCCTGGGTGACATACCGATAGTTGTATACCAACTGGTATGACCATATGAGGGACTTTGGGAGGTTGGATCCTGTCAAAATCGACAGAGAACGTCCACCTCCCGAGCGGTATCAAACAGCCCTCAGAATCTTGTTCGTATCTGGGAATGCATGGAGGGAATCAAGAGACGATCACAATACATTGTCCCTTTTATCAGAACAAAGATCGTCAAGTGCAAAGGATACCCTGAGACATATCAGAATTGGGATCAAGTGTGATGTGCTACCTGGCTGCGAACGAATAGCAAGAAGACAGTTAGATTCTGTACTACAACAACTGGGTATCCCTACGCAGGGTGCAAATTTGGCGGAAAATAGGCTCGTATAAGAGTCTCACAAGCGGTACCGTCGCAAGCCAGGGCCTCTTGAAGGATACTACTTTGCGAGTTAGACGATGTTGACACTGCCAGTGCTGAGCCCTGGATATCAAGAGAGGCGGTACGTCGGAACTCCCTTCCAACCGCTCGTAGCTAACCGTCTCTTAGCCTGCGCATGCTGCATCTGGCAAAGCAAGGAAGCCGACTGTCTACAAGCGACAAGAAGCGACACGTATCTTCATTCGGCGACGAGCAAACCAACTCATCGTCAGAGAGACAAAGGAAGGAGACGTCGAAAGGAGATGTCGGAAGGAGGCCTACGACCATATCACTTTCAGACTCTCGCCAATGACGGAAAGGCCTGACACAGAATCAGATTATATCAATCGCGGTGGTGGGTTTCGAATGGACTTCCAAGCAACAGAAGGCCCTTCTAGAAAATCAAAGAGGCCATAATGACTAGGACGCTGCGGGGAGGCGATGAAAATCTTCAATATCATCTGGCCACAGATGCTTCGAAGACGGGAGCAGGAAGAGTACTCTTCCAAGCTCCTATGCTCAAACCTGGCGAGTTTGTCTCTCGTCGCAGTGCCCTCAGGGGCATTTGCAAGACATTCAGCTATATACGTGGGTGAAGATGGCATGGTTAAGAAGGGAGTTGGACTCTGGTTCTACCTCGGAGATTACATGCCTCATCAACGACAGGACTCAGTGGTGTCAGGACTCGCAAGACGCCAAAAGCCTAAGCCAGCTGGAGAGCGTGGTAACTACTACCGAACGGCAGCGACGTAAGCTATCCTGTCCAATCATTGCATCTGTCTATTTGTCCACTGACATGACTGCTAGACACATGTACGCAGCCCGGCTGTTCTTCTTATGTTTGTCCAACTGGGTGGAACGGCTCCCTGATACTTAGTCCACCCCAGCATGATGGCCGTCCGGACTACTCGAGCTCGTATTCGACCTGATCCGCAGATCCGCAGCTCTACGGCCTCAAGCACCTCGTCCTCAGATACCTCAGCCTCAATCACCCTTGCCTCAATCACATCAGCGGCCCAGCTACTCGACTATAAGCGTTGACTTCGCCAGATCGCCCAATCAGCCAACAAGCCGGGTACTATCAGCGTCTGGTACGAGATGAGGCAGATGAGGCAGGCCGTCTGGCTCTTCAAGAAGTAACATGTGGCCGTACTGCACTTTTCACAAACAGAGCAGTACGGCCTATGGATGCCTGGTCGGTTCTCTTGGCGGATTGCTCGTTCTCGTTCTTCTTCCAGCACGACATCTGACCATTCTACGCCATAAACCCAGCTTTGACGCACATATGTTTGGAGACAAGGTACCGAGAAAGGGAACTCTGGGAGCTCGCCGGATGCCACCCGAGAAAGTCTTACGGCTAATGCAAACCCCTGGCACTGCGCCGATCAATCTATTGAACCTGGCGGGCTATAAGCCCAATCCAATGCCGAAGGCTCTCGAGGGGATCCACGAGTACGACCTATTATGGAATATTAAAAAAACGACAAGGCCGGCAACTTGGAGGTCGTCGAACGCGTTCAAGACTTGACAAACGCGGCCAAGTTTATGCTCTACTCGACCACCTCCGAATTCCTGTAGTTCGACCCGGAAGACGCCATTGCCATCATGGACGAGAATGGGTAGGACTTTCCATTGTAGCTCGTTAAAAACGAGCAGGCAATTGATCGATTCTCTTCACCTGTACAACTTGAAATATATCAATATACCATGCCACATGCCGGAACCGCAGAAAGGTCGTCCCATAAAGACCCTGGTCCATCTCTTTAGTAATCACGAGGCTAAGACCTGCACGATCTCGGCTGAAGATTCCGGAGTATACGGTAGAAGGCTCGAAATGCTTCCAGAAGTGCCAGAACTACCTCTATACCTCTTGAAGCCCAAGCCACTTATAGCTTCCTTCAGGGAGTATAACGAGCCTATCTATCCCGACGTCAAGTTACGCGAATCTAGGTCAGGATGTCCGAGTAATTGTCGACGGGTTGGACGATGTTCCCAACCAGCCAGCGCCAGTCTCGCCGCATACCTCGAAGGTGTATACACATATAGCCGATTGGCCTTATTTAATGAGCTACACCAAGACCATCCTAAAGCTGTTCGTCCGATCATCCATGAGATCATGACTACTATGGCATGAGCCACTGTTTCCGGCCTAGTTGAGATGCAGCAGAACTTTACTGCTCTCCAGGACTTGGAGATTACTGGGGTGGGACGGGTCACTCGCCCATCGACCGACCGCCGCCCATTCGATTAGGGCGTGTTTCAACATGATGAAAACACGCTGCCAGTCTAAGTGACACCAAGCAAGAGCTATGGTCATTCATGGAAAGGGTACTCAAACCAAGGGACTGTGCTTAGGCCGAGATTCAACATGATGAAAGCCACGCTGCCACATTGCCGAAGCCATGAGCGACATTGAGTTGGCCAAGGAACATGAAGAAGCGGTCAAGGAGGAGCTGACAAAGGCATGGTACAACACTAAACCCAAGCCAGCGATAAAGGCTGGACAGAAAGACGACCCTAAGGATGGGGCAGAAGACGAACAGAAGCCCGTAGACAAGAAGCCAACCGCAGTCCCTATGGGTAACGTCGCACAATCACAGCAAGAACGCCATATGGCGACAAAGATCCGGGATCTTCGCACCAAACCAGATACCGCCACAGCGTTGACGTACATCGACAGTTTCGGAGAACGTCGAGGTCCGACACACACTGCGAGTTTCTTCTCATGGCCAGGATGCGAGCCCCTCCACGATGACGGCATCCAAGGTTTTTTTGCTATGTCCACTGATGCATATATGCCCCATTATCTTCTAGCACTTTAATTCCCAGGACAAGCAATTACAACATTGTTGATAAAGCGGCAAAGGTGCAGAGGAAGTACGTTGAGACAGAGCGCCCCGAGACCGCCCAAAGTCTGCCTGCTGTCCGCTCGTCTTTGGTGGTGGCCGATGATGTCCAAGTCCCGTTCCTGTCCCATCTCTCAGAGGATGAAGGCTCTCACGAACTTGGGCCAACTTGAGGGTTGCTAGAGAGTTCTTCGAGACCATGTTGAGGACTGGGTATCTGATATACTAAGTGAGATTCCCTGGGAGTGCCTGGTGAGCAGAGTCCATCGCATCGGACAGAGCGACGCCCAGTACACAACCCCATACCCTAACCTGCTACCCAGCGCCGAAACAGACTCATCACATCCCACAGTGGCATCAGGAAGCTCCGCATCAAGGCCCGAGAGGACGGAAGGGATGTTCGCAGATGATCGCTATACCGCTACAAAAAGGTAGGTCACTTATTGCTTGTTGGGAATACTGCTGATTTCTATTAGTCGGAACTACCTAATCGGAACTAATCGAAGGCTGCACCTTAACAAAGCTCCGCCTATTTTCAAAGGTCAAGATAGGCACTATATCTGCACTTCATCAACTAGGTCAGAAGCGACTCGGGCGGCTGAAAACAATAAACCAGACGCGACTTGGAAGATGGCGACTGCCGACAAGGTGCTCGACACATTCAACTAGAATTTATCTGTCATCAATCCATTCTAGGTTCAACTTGCCGAAGACTGATTTGGTGGAACACCGGATCCCGACGAGACTAGATTACATTCCACGAGCGGCACGACTTCCTCTTCACACCAGAGAAGAGGTGGAATGGCAAGACAAGTTCATCCCTCTACTTTCGAAACAAAACGTCGCTCTGGTTACCAAGTCTGAAGAATCCCTCGACTAGTTAGAAGTCCGAAGAATCCCTCTACTAGTTAGAAGTATGAAGGATCCCTCATCTAGTGGAGGGTGAAGCTAGGTATCAGTATCATCGCAGTCAAGCGAGGGGGTATGTCATGTCGGAACTCCCTCCCATCGCTCATAACTAACCCGTCTCCCAGCGTGCGGTAATTGTATATGGCAGAGCAAGGAAGTAGATTGCATTTCCAGCAGTACTCTCGGGGAAAGGGGGGCATGCGCAAGATGGAGGACCTAAGGCTCAGAAGTGTCGAGTGGTTGTTCGTCAATTCCAAGAACTCTGGTTCCAGGACAAAGGATACAGTATGGCTTCAGGGGCATGGATTCCGTATTGCCAGCGACCTCGTTCGTAAGCCAATAGCGTTATACGTTATCGGCGGGCCTTGGATGCGCTTCAAGAAACGGAGAGTGCCTTAGGACAGTCAGCTCTGTAATTCTGCCGGGGACATGATTTTGAGTAAGGCATAAGTAGAAGCTGAGGATCTGGACATCTGATTACGCTTGAGCACGTCAAGAGATTACAGTACGCAGCAACTCTAATGCTACGGAGATATCATGATCATAATCAGGGAAGAAGTAGAAAGTAATGGTCTGGATTGTCAAAAGTTGAAATGCTCTAGTTTCCATGTTCTCTATCAAAGGGGTATAGGGGGAGCCCAGACCATAGGTGTGCCTATCTATACCAGCCTTCTGGTTAAAGGGCAAGGCTGGGAATGCCTAAGTTTGACACTCTGACATGTTGCATAAGACTTGCCACACTTAAACCTACACCTACGCTTCTCAAGAGCGAAACGAAATGAAACAATGAGATGAGATGGCTGGTGCTGGGCAACAGGTACTGTACTCCGTACTCCGTATACTGTACAGTATCCGATGTTGATATGGACTGATTGACACTTGGCGCTGTTCAGCGTCCTGGAAAGAAAAGGGGAAGCAGGAAACACGTAAAGCACACGTCCCAGAGACACGACACAACACAAGACATAAGACATGCACGCAGTGGTACAGTAAACGCACGCTCACACACACACTCACACACACACACACCACTCCTACAGTACCCGCTGATATATATACACACCTGACATGACATACACGGAATGGATTAGGCAGCAACATACACACAGCATAACACACACGGAATGGACATCATGCACATAGATGAAATGGGTATTAGACATCAACATATATAGATAGATAGGTGACATTAGGCAGCAACACTAGACACGTCCCGCGTCTCGTCCCAGCTAAGCTCCCAGCCACGAAGGGAAAAACTTAAAACGCCCAGTAGGCCCAAGATCCGCTGGATGAGCGTAAACAAACAGAACTCATTCATTCGGAACCACTGCACGACCGAGGAAAGGAACGGAGAAGGAGAATACGGAGCGGAGGGATAAAGAAAGGATCAACGTCAACATCACGTAGGTATGGGTACGGGTACAGATAGGATACAGTACATATATCCTTTCTAAATATACACGGAGGCGCGGCGGATAAGATAGGTATTGATAGGCACCCAATAGGTATCGATACATATACACACAACACTCAATATTTAAGAACGCTTAGGATGCTCAAGATACAGATTGCAGATCCCACGGACACACACATACATACACACTCTCGGCGGCGGACATGTCGCGGACTTCTCGCTGATGTGCGGTGCAGTGTAGATCTTGATCTGACCCCCGTTATGGAAGGGACACCGAGTCCGAGTCGATCGAGATTGACATTGGCATGGAGAATGCCATGGAGATTGTCATCGGGCTTGAGGTTGAGGTTGAGGTTGAGGTTGAGATTCAGCGTCGAGTCGCGTCGCATCTTATCTATCTCATCCCATCTCACACATTTCCGTAAGGTATAAAAAAGCAATAGACCGCTGGACCATCAATCCAATCAGTCTCACAAGCCGTGCTTCATCTCTTCAATCGCAATCAATCGCAATCAATCCTCACCTCGAATGACAGTCGACACTGATCAGATTCCATTGTCACTTATAAAACCGTCTTCTCCTCAACCATCATCGAATTCGGTCTTGATCCCAACATCCGAACCCTAACCAGTCGCCAGCCGATACCCAGCCAACATGTCTTTCAACTCAAACATCTCTCGCATGTTCGCCCTGACACTCGGCATGATGGCGTGTCTGGGTGTGGCTCTCCCAGCAGTGGCACCAGATATGGTCGACATGTCATCGGAAGACCTGAGATTGAAACTTGCCTTGAACAAAGGGAAAGGAAAGGGCAAGCGAGACACCGACGGTTACACCGAAGCTGACACTGACGCTTACACCGACGCTGACACCAACACTGACGCTGTCGTAGGCAAAGCGACCGTCCACAACGCATGTCCCTTCTCCATCTATAGCAACATTGTGCACGGCGCCCAAGACGGCACGGGTCTGCCAGAAGAGATATATCAGGTCCTCGAGCCCAACGAGACAGTCTCTCACGCCTTCAGCCACGACCCCGGAGTGGGCGTAAGCTGGAAGATTTGGCGACAAGACGAAGATACAGACAACTGGTCGCCCATCCAGTTGGAATATACCTGGATTACAGACTCCAAGCGTACCTGGTACGACCTTAGTATGATCGACGCCGGCGAGCCAGACTGGCTGGAAGAGTCGGACGAAGAGATTGTGGCTGACGCGGATGGCTATGGCGAGTACACGGGTAGCATTGGGATCAGACATTCATTCCAAGAGCATGGCATCACTCTCACTCCGCATGTTGATGGTGAGGAGGTTGCCGAGGGCAACTGTCTCGCGGTCCAGTGTCCGGCGGGTGAGGAGTTCTGTCTGGGCGCCTACAACACCTGGAACGACTGGGCTCAGCAACACGATTGCGAGGAGGGTGTTGATCTGAAGCTGGTGTTGTGTGGTTAGGGACGAGGTGTTCCCAGAGTAGATGATGACGCTGACAGGTCAAAGCATGGCGACGGCTGGTGTTGCTTCCCCATGTCGACAAGACAGTTGATATCGGTCGTTCTTCTTGAAGGGACGCCGTACGCTCCTCACAAGACAGTTGTTTATCGATCTTCTTGAAGGAAAGCTCCCATCAGGCTATGCCTGGTCCCGGACTGTTGCCTCGATCCTGGGATCATATGCCACCACCTCCGCCACCCCGCCAGAGTTTGACCACAAATACGCAGGCGTGTCTGTATGTCCTTGCTGGGGTTCGAGATATGCGCCCTGGTATAGTTCGTTGGGTCGTGGATAGAAAGTCGTACCTTCAGAATAGACAATAGACAATGAGAACAGCATTCTGTTGTGCCTGTACTGTCGAACACTCGCTTGTCCTCGTAGTGCAGTCTCCTGTCCCTCCACTTCGTAGTCGACAATCAACCCCCTCAACGAAAGAGAGGATTCGTAATCTGACAGTCAACCTCAACGAGAGAGAGGATTCGTAGTCTGCCGAACACACTCTCATCTTCGTAAAGCAGTCTTCTGTCCCTCCACTTCGTAGTCTGACTCAACCACCTCGACGAGAGAGAGGAATCGTGGTCTGAGTCAACCACCTCAACAAGGGAGAGGAATCGTGGTCTGAGTCAACCACCTCAACAAGGGAGAGGATTCGTAGTCTCAATCAACCACCTCAAGACACAAATCGAGTCGCCTGCCTTCCTACTGTATCACCATGACCTTCCTGTGCTGGTGTGCTGGTGTCCTGCTGTGCTGTTGCTGTCCTTCATCACAAATCCTTCCCAGCCCCAAATTTCTTCTGAAACACCTTCCTCTCCACCTCGCGGGTTTTTTCCTTCTCCGCCATCTCCCGCTCAATCTGGCGGATTTTGGCCTCTCTGTCCTGGAGTTTCTGCCTCAACAACTCGGCGGTTTCGTCTCGAATGCGGTGAATTTCTTGTGTTTGTTTCGAAGTTGCAGTGCTATCACCAACATTACCACCACCACCACTCCCAGCTCCTGTGCTGCTGCTGCTGCCACCACCACCACCACCACCCCCTGTGCCGCTACCCCCCTTCGCCCCCGCAACCACCTGTTCTCGCAGTTTCTCGTATCCATATTTCTCCAACTCGGCCGCACTGAACGGCTGCAGCGTCACAGGATGTATGTTGGGCTGGTCGGTCAGGGCCGAGGCAGGCATTTTGAGAGACGGAATGGAGGGATGGACCGCGGTGGTTCGAAGAGACGACTCGAGTGGTACGGGTACCGAAGTCGAAGTAGAAGTCGAAGTCGACATATCCATCGTAGTATTAGTATCGGTTCCGACAGGAGCCTCGTTCAAGTTTTTGTTTGTCTTTGCTGCTGGATTCGACGCGAGCCTGGGACTGGTTTGCATGGTGGAATCTGGTGCTGGTGCTGGTGCTGGTGACTTGTCCTCCGAGCCAGATGGCCCGGCGCCCGCCCGTGACGACGATGCTGCTGCTGCGGGCGCGTCTTCTGCCATTCAATAGTCAACACTCACTACAAACAGTCGTGAGGTCCGAGTACAGAACCAGTCCCTACGGAGTCCTGTTGCGACGTGCAGCTGCGGTCAATGTGAAATGGTCCACAGTATATCAAATTCGGCGGATCATACATACTCACCCAACCCACTCCTCCTCCTACTCCAAGGTGACAACTTTCAACGAAACAATTCAGGTGACTGACCTCTATCAAATGATGAAAGGCTCCTCGTTGAGGGGCCTGAGAACTCCTTACTGAATACACCAGCGTGGTTGGAAAAATGCCAAGGTTGGGAATACTTTGCCCAGTGGGCAACCCTCCCTCGACAGGCACAACACCATAACATTGTAGAAGCTAAGCAATCACTACCTGAAGACATGCGTCGGTGATACTGCTTTGTCCTACTAACACTCCATCCATGTCACATGCATGACTGGTTCAAGGCTGGTTCAAGGCTGGTTCAAGACTGGTTCAAGACTGGTTCAAGACTGGTTCAAGACTGGTTCACAAGCACACAACCTCACACTTTCAGGGTAACAAATTGACCCACCCCTGGAACTCCATTGGCAACAACATACACCACGTAAGGCCCCGGGGCAAGTTGGATGACGCCAGGCATATCGACTTCGACCCTCTTCCGGCCCTCTCCAACATCCCCCCAGCCACTATGGTCCAGGTAGACCATCACCTGGCCCATGTGCAGAGAATGTGTGATGAACCCACCCGCATACAGGATGATATCCAAATGTGACAAGGTCTGGTTCTCAAGGTCAAACTCGACAGAGAACCTGGTCTTCATGTCAAGTTCCAATGTCGACAGTCGTATATCGGTCGGTCTTCTTGAAGGGTACGCTCCTCTCAGATACGCAGGCGTGTAGATCTCCACCCTGAACTCGGTAGGGAATGCTCTAGACTGGTCGTGGACGTCGACCTCACTTTCCAACAGTGGTTGTTCGTTTGGATTGCTCCCGGCAATGAGCACCGTACCATCCAGCAGCATCATCGCGACAGAATGGTACAACCTGGCGATCCTTGTCCTTCCCGAAACTGCCCATTCATTCGTTCTCGGGTTGTAGATCAAAGCCTCCAGCGCCGGAGCAGTCGCCAACCCAAACCCTTGTGATCCTCTCTGACAGCCATTGATCCAAAGGATGTTCCCATCAAGAAGAAGAAGCCCTTCGACCATTCCCCGAGGCTCCGGCATGGTAGTCATTTCCCACGTTGGAGTCTGGCTAGTGGGCTTCAGCCTCCCACAGGAGGCATCGCACAGGCTATCGTGCTCCTGAACCGATCCTCCGCCGCAGATCATGATTTCCGCCTCGTATCGATTCTCTTTCCGCAACGGGAGCATCACACTGCCACCAGTATTGGGATAGGTCCTGTGCATGCCAGGCATCATAGGCATCGTCTTGACAGTGCGGTTGCCACTGACGTCAAAGATCTCGGAGGACCTGTCGGCGAAAATGAAGAGCGAGCCGTTGGGTAAGAGGTGCAGGAACGGGTACATCTAGTACGGCATATTCTCGACCAAGATATCCATGGGTATGTTGTGGCCATTGCTGACCCCGTTCGCATCCAGTATCTCGTACGTGGGGTTGTTATTGCTGAAGTTAAGCACGTCCAACGCATTCAGGCTGCCGGCCGCGACAAAGACTCTGCCATCCGCCATGGTCTGTGCCGAAGGATACCATCTCTTCGAGGCTAATTTGTTCCCCGGTTCGTCCCATCCATAGTCGCCATTCTCCATTCCGATGTAGCGGATGGCGTCAAAGCCGTCCTGAACCGTCGGATCGAGCCAAGTCAAGGGTCCATTTCCTCCGAGCGTCACCAGTCTTCCGTCGGCGAGGAAGGTGCCACCGCAGCAGAAGGCATTTGACTCCACTGCCAAAGGGCTCAATTCATGCGTTCTGGGATCGTAAAGTGACGAATATGCCAGGCGCCGGTTGGGTAGACGCAGTTCAGTAAAGTTTTCCACCTTGTCGAGGAAAACCACTTTCCCGGAGGGCGGCAATAATGCTGCGTGCATGGCTGGGACGCCGGATCGAGTTGAAACGCGAAAGTAGTCATAGCTCAGGTCGACGGCGCCTTGATCCAGTACGCCTAAAACGGTGTTTGATACAAAATAAAGAACATAACACCAAAAGAGTAGTTCCATGATGCATGCTTATACCGTATGGATGGCGAAGATGGTGACTTTGGCCTGCAATGCTTTTGATGCTGGGATGCAACACCTCCCTTGGTCGTGGAAGGAACCACTGCACGACAGAACCGCAGGAGCAAGGCTACCTGATTGTAGTCGGCAGTCGCTGTCCAAAGACCATGTGATGGCTGCAGGTGGTAGAGGCGATGATTGACTGGTGAAACATGTGCTTTGCTCCCTGAGCGTCGTTCATGGACTGCCAAAGGTCCACAAGCCCCAGCTCCCCGTCATGTCGCCCAATCTGTCCTTCACCACCTCGACAATACGTCGCTCGGATTTGCCGTGGCCTCGGACCTCGTCAATTACTCTTCCAAACCCATCATGCACCACGACCATGGTGTCAAACGCCACATCCAGTGTCCTTGACAACGTCTCACTTCCGCAGACTAACCTCAGACACTCCCCGTGGAGACTGGCAAATGCAGAGTCAAGTTCTATACCAGCAAGATATCTTTTGGATCTGGTCATGTCTTGTCTTGCTTCCTCGCCAGCTTGTAATCCAGGCTCCACAGCGGCTTCTACAAGGACGAGGACATCTCGAGACATGCGCGAAATCTGGGTGATGTTTCGCACCAGACTAGAAAGAAGTGCATTCGCCTGTACAAGTCCGCTCCGTCGATGGATGGTAGATACTGCATTTTGATGTCCCTGGATCAATACAATATCTCGGACCGTTTTGTCACGACTTTGCTTGTCGCTCTGGATCCGTCGAAATATCCCTTCACTAACCTCAGCCAGACTCTCGGCTAGCCCGGCGAGATCAAAATACTGCAGCAAGCGTACATACTTCAGAAGCTCGAGCGCGGCTACTGAGTCGGACAGTTTCTCGGCCAATAGAGCATGCAAAAGAGGAATAGTTTGGTACGTGTGAGGCACCACTGCATAGATGGTGGGCGGCGATGGTGACCCGGGAGGTATCGCCCTCAGAGGAAGGGGTGGCTGGTTTGCAAATTGAGACTGGGTGTGATGTTTGAGAAGGGCGGAGGCAATATGATGTAGCGTTAACAAGGTCTATACGTTGTAACAGGTCAGTTGTCCACCCTTTGTCTCCCACGAAGTCACCAGATATAATCGAAGGTGGAGAGGAGGAATCGGCATTGTTCCGGTTACCTTTTCCTGCCCAACATCCTCCTCCTTCAGATCAGCCGTGCCGATACCCACCACTCTGCCACCACTCCAGATGGCCGCCAACCGATCATCCAGGCCGGCTGTGCGAAAACCGCGACTTCTTACACTCAATGGTGTGGAAGTGGTTAGGTGTTGATCCAAATATCCTTCTCCTTCGAGTTTCAGGAGAGACGATGCCTTGATAGGGTTTACCAAGGACGTCCCAGATGATGGTGTCATGGTAGCAGGGTTCGACTCTGGATTTGGAAGTAATTAGCAATTCGCTGGATCTGCCACCCGACTTTGAGGGGATCCCACTTTGAGAAGAGGTTGGGGCTAGGAAGACAGAAATTCGGAGTGTCGAGTGTCGTGTGTCATATAATGGCTGATCCAAAGCCTCACTCATTATGGGTGCAATTTGACCATGCTCTCACCAGAGCCTTTTCAGAGTACAGTACAATAACAAGAGGAAGATGGGATGATCTCGATATGTTCTCGTCCGTCAAAATCAAATGCCGCTTTAATAACCCGACAGGAATGGTCGCCTCTACTCTCCACAGCAGTCGCATGCCGCTTTAACAGAGGCTCTAGACGACAACAGTCTGTTCGCTTCAACCTTCACGTTGCATTTGCCTTCTTGCTCCTGTGTTCTTTTTACAGCCCAGCCGCGACTGGACTCATCAGCGACAGTTGTTCTACTCAGAAGAGATGAGATGAGCCGATGTACTCTTCCAACATCCACAATGACCAGAATCGGCCTACGGTTGAAGGTAGAGAATTGGGAGACCAAATCCATCCATGGAAATAGGGCTTTTCCGGAAGAAAGATAAATACTGTGCAATATATCCAATCAGCTGATATGAATCAGATCTTTCGATCCCAACCACCTCCATGTGTTGTTCAGATGAGATACATACCAAACGGGCTGATTTACGGTCCCAAGGAACAAGACATGCGACCAAGGCCCTGCAGCCTTGAGCATAATACCGGTAGTGTAGACCGTTAAGGGGTTATCTACTCTAAGATACTAACCACAGTCCCCCTACCCGGAAATCGAAAGTCAACTCAGTGACCAGTCCATCTCTCCAGACATACCAACAGTCAAGATCCCTCCCACGATCATATTGCTTCTAGGAGGATCTTCCCGGCCCGCTGGTTCTAATTTTGACACAAAATATGCCCCTGATTCTAATGTTGACACGGAATATGCTCCAAGATCGACCTACCTTTCACACCATGACAATAACAAAAAGACCACATGACCCAAGGAGGAAGACAGCAGAAGTGATAATAAAGGCAGGTCATGACAACAACCCCAAAAACCACATGACCCCAAGGCTAGGCTTGAGAAATCCAAATAACAAAAACTTAGGCTTGAGCAATTCAAACCGACAAAAACTTTTTCCAGAAACCCCTCGAGGTGGGGGCTGATTCCAATGTTGACGCAGAATATGCCCTGAGATCAACGCACCTTCCACACCACGACAACAACCAAAAAAGACCACATGAAATTGGGCCCAGGCTTGAGCAATCCAACCGACAAAAACTTTTTCCAGGAACCCCTAGCGGGGGTCCTGGGAAGTGAAACTCTAGATTCCTAGGTTTTTTACGGTCTCAGCAACCTCGAGGCGGTTGACAGCAGAAGATAATAAAGGCAGGTAGGTCAGGTATTGGTGACAATAAAGGCCGGTCGGGTATCGGGTGAGGATTGAACTCGATCGTTCTCGCCCAGTGAATTAGAGAGTCTAGCATTGTGTTGTGGTGTTAGAGGAGTTCCTGTTAAACAGGTTCACCGCTACCACTGAGCCAACGGCCCTTTACTTCACTACTAGACTCCCCTTTTCACATGGGGGTCTTTGCGTTGAGGAATAATGTCGGACTTTCAAAATATATGGATTATTTCGGGGGGGAAGCCAGCTTTGTGATTGAGATCCAGGAAGCCTCCCGCTCTTGACTGCTCTGCTTGCTTCTAGCTTCTAGACCTGGTCACCAAGCATCCTGCTTCTGGCAACCTGTCTACATATAATATCCTTCGGTCCGGCTGTAAGGTTGCTTCCAAGCACACAGAGGTACATTCTAACCCCTGATACTGGCTGTTGCCGACCCCTGCCAACACATCCTCTACTCTAACACCACTTCACCACCAAGCCCAAGCCCGAAACAATGCCTCACTATCACAGCTTATCTAGCTCCAGCAGCGGCGGAGAGCGGGTCTACCACAACTCTATTCGACGAATGAGAAGAAAAGGAACTCAATTCGACAAATAAGAAGAAAAGGAGGCGGAGAGAGACAGGGACAGAGAGAGGCAGAGGCAGAGGCAGAGACGGAGACGGAGATAAATACAGAGAAAGAGGCAGAGACAGAGAGAGACAGGGGCAGAGAGAGGCAGAGACAGAGATAGAAATGAAATAGAAAAGACAAGTCAAGTCAAGTCAAGTCAATCCACCATTTCCATATCAAACTCAAGGTAGGCACTAACTTATGTACCTTAGGTAGGCATTCCCAGCCTTGTTCAACCAGAAGGCTGGTATGGTACAGGCACGATAGGTAGGCACACCTATATACGGATAGTCTGGGCCCCCCATACCCCTTTGATAGCGAACATGGAACATGGAATATTTCAACCTTTGACATTCTAATGCTTGAACACTCATCCTCATTCTCATCCTCGCAGGCTCTAAAGTTCGAACATTCATCCTCCCAAGGCTCCGAGTACACTTCAGGTACCTAGCTACCTAGGTATCTACTAATTAGGTGGCTACAGTGGCTACAGTAGCTACACTCTCCCTGCGGAGTCTAAAGACGTCTTCTCAGGAGACATGCTCGCCCACCCACATCGGACTCTACTCTTGATAGTATACGACGGACGGCCTTGCCTTGCCTTGCCTCACCTTGCCTTATTCAATACTGTCCGGTCCGTCCGATCCAATATCATATGTATCTGGACTCAACCGTCCTGAATACTGTCACTTGGTGATACAAGACAAGTTCTGCAGATTCAACGCAACACCATGCTAACATGCCCACATGCCAACGTGCCAACGTGCTACCGTGCTACCATGCTTCCAGAAGATATAGATGGTTGAGGCGAGACACGTGCCGTGCGTGCGTACACAAGCCTGTTTTCAACCTTGTCGACCTGGGAGGTACTTACATACATCCCACATACCACCACCACCACCACATACCTAGTACCTTACCTAGAGCATACAACACGACACGGATTGTGCCTGGTCGTGGACAAGCTTCGGAGAAACAAAATACCCAAGATAGGTGAATCAAGATCCATACTATACACATACACATACAATTGTGGAATCTCCCTTCAGCCTTCCTGCCATTCTCATCAGAATCTAACTGTCGGCGTAGCTAAAGTACAATAGAAACACCACGCAGATTCCGCTCAATTCAGGCCTTGAAGCCCCAAAATAGTCTGGGGAAAGCAATGTCAAAACAGCGTCAACTACGTTATGCCATCCGCCATGGGCAGACGCTAACAAAAGTAAAGCCAGAAGCCACCAAACCAGAACCATGCTAGCTGCGTTAGGTACGTAAAGGTGAGCATGCCCAAACGCCTGGCACACATTCCCAAGACTCTGTCACGCCAGTAATGTACAGTCGGCCATGGCCGTACCTTGCACAGGAGAAATCAGACCAGTGTCCGAGTGCGAAAGCGAGGCAAGCCAACCATGGCATCAATAAGGTGGCCGAATCAAGCGACTCCCGCTATTTTCTTTATCCGTCTCTCCGGCTCCGGCTCCGGCTACAGCTCCGGAGAGGATTCCAGCCAACAAGGAATCCATGTCAAACTTTTCCCTGGTAGAATACGACGCTGCGGCAAGACTCCTCCTGCTGGTGGGCCGCGAATTCCTCCGATCGTGCTTTTCCTGTCCAGATAGAGGCGACCGTGCGCTGCTTGTCGTTTCTTGTGATTGTGGGCTTCCGCCGTCCTCCAGTCCCGCCGAAGAGGTCTTTGCTGCAGCGCGGCCTGCAGGTCGGGCGGGCGAAGCATCCCGCGGCCAGGTCCCAGGGAGGTTGAGTGCTGAAGGAATTTTAGGCACCGGAGGAATGTCGGTGGTAACCTGATGATACGCGGTGACACCTGGCGGATCTGTCTTTTCATTATCGGTGTTCTCTGTTCCCGCTGAGGCACGAGCTTGATTGGATTCGGAAGTCTGCGGGCGAGTGTTCCTTGATCGAAAATCTAGGACCGAAGAACTACGGTCATCAGCCTCATCCCAGCTCACCATGCTACTAGTGCCGCTGCTCGTCGTGCTTGTTCGAGATCCTGCCGCTGCTCTTCGAAGTGGACTTCGTGGTCGGACGCCCACATGGCCAGAGAGCACTCTCTTGAGATCACTCACTCTCATGGTAGAATCTCGGCTGGATGTCGTCGGCTCTCTTGCCGGCGACCCATTGGCACTAGGTCTCCGGACCCTTGTCAGGCTCCCTAAGCCGCTGACCAGCCCGAATGGAGGTGTTGTGTGGCCGTTGGCAGTTACGGGAGACTCTTGGCCACTCGCCGAACCCTGCTTGCGAAGGCCGTTGATGCTAAGATGATTCCTGGGGAGTGAAGAGGCGCCGGTCCGCGAACCCGTCAGGGAGGTGGCGCTTTCCTTTTCGATTGCAGCTATACACGCATCTCTGCTCCAGCTGACCTTCATCTCATCCTTGACCTTGGCTGGAACCCGGGCTTCTTTCGATGGCTTGAGTGCGGGTGCGATGCCGTACCCGTAGCCAAAGCCCAGCGTAGGGACGGAAAAGACTCGGCCAGGTGAAGAAGGTGCAGAGGCTGGTGGAGTGAGAAGGGAATTGTCATACGAGACTGCAATTTCGTCGACCAACGCCGACACCGACAAGAAAGGTTTGAGGGTTTGCACGGCTTCTTCGTCATATTCTGCTGCTTTCTCGCTCACCTTGGGCAATTTGCAAATCTCTGCAATGGATAAGGGGGGGAATTTGATCTTGTCAAACCACACGCCGAATCGCTTTCTTCGAGAAACCTCGGCATTGATTTCATGACCGACAGCACTCGTTTCAAAATCAAACTTGTCAGTGATGGTCCAGAGGTAGCCGTGAACCACAGTTGCAACATTGACCCTTCCGGTTGTAGAGGGCACCTCCACATTCAGCGCCGTTTCCTGAAGCTTGAGGATCATCGGCAATCCACTCCGAATTGCATTGACCCCGAGACGCTCGACCAGCTTCGTCAACAACAGGTATAGCAGGAGAATGTTGGACTCATCTTCGACGTCGTCCAAGATGCCATCGTAGATGGCGAGATGCAGCAGGGCAAGAAAGCTTGACCGTGCCGGCTTGGGCTCTCGGCGAGATGCACCAGAGACAGCTCGTCGGGCCAAGTTGACCTCGCCCGGCGGCTGGGCGCTCTTCTTACTCTGTGAATGCTTCCGGGAGCCGTCCCTGGGTAGAAACATGTCGATTTTGTTGGTCTCGAACTTGAGCCAGGTCAGAAGGGCATCGACGTAGGCAATTCTGACGGGTTTTTCTTCGTCTTTGAGAAGCCATTGAGTCCCCTCCCACACCTGGACTCCCACACGAGAGCGTGCTTCAATAGCACCACTTGTGGTGCTGTGTCTGCTGTTGGCACGGAGCAGGATTTTCTTGATCACCTGCATTGCCGTGAGTCTCGCGGTGTGGAATGAAAAGAATGTGGGTGTGTTTGGATCGTCACGGATGCTTGCTGAATCGGCGATCGCCTTCGCTGCAGCTACGGGATCGTTGACGGCGGCCGCTGAAGTTGGGACGTCCGATTGATGGGAAGGCTTCAACCGGGCCAGAATGGCTGTGAGCATGTCGGTGATTTGGTCGGTGTAATAAATGTGGTTGGAGAGAGAGGCAATACAATCTTGAAGCCTCAGCAACAACTCTTGTCGTACCGGTGATGCTGTGAGTAGAGACACGGAGGTGATGCGGCTCATTTCGGTCTCGGTGAGCTCCGTACCGGGCTCGAACGCCTCTTTGACCTCGCGATAGATTCCGATTGTGTCGTTGCGCTCCGGTGGGATGACACGCGGGTTGGATCCGCCGAGCTGGAGCAGAAGCAAGATATGGTGGATGAGTCCCAGTAGAACGTCCATAACACTCAGCCCAATCAGGTTCACATTCGAACTCAGAAGCCAGTCGATCATGCTGGCAAGGACCAACTGTTTCTCAAGCGAGCCTTCCGTGATAGGGCTGCGGACGAGGGTTTCCATCGCGGTCAGGACAATGATAAATCGGTCCTGCACAGGTGTCCATCGCGTGATGGTCTCAAACAAGGAGGTAGCCCATGTGGTTTGGCCTTCCGTGTCCGGGGCCGGCTGAGGCGGGCTTTTGGAAGCGATAAATTTCAAAGTGAGGGCGGTAGCCAAGCGAGTCTGACCTGTGGTGCTCCCGAGCCCGACTGAGAATATCTGCTTCAGACATCTCAGAGCCAGAGCCCTAACCTCCTCTTCAGCGACTTTGTCCGCTCCCGCGGTAGTTTCAACGGCCGTGGCGGGGTCACCATCGGCCGTATCCACGGTGGCGACGGTCGTGAGACTTGTCCGCCGTCGTCTAGCGAGCTCATCGTCCAGCTTCTCGCTCGTGGTTGCCCGTTGCTGCAGCGTAGCCAAAATGTTCTCTTTGTCGAGCGACATGTTTTCCAGGATGACAGGCACGACCAGACTGAGCTGTCGAGGGGATTCAGTGGCGAGCGCCTCCGACGCCACGACCGCTCGAATAGCTCGTAAGCCAATGGTGCGCCACCTCAACGAGAGGGGAATCGAGTCGCCGGCCTTCCTATCGACAGGCCTGGACTTGGCAGCATAACTGGCGTACAGCTGTAGGATAGACAAGTATTGTTGTGCGCGTTGTTGGTCCGCATTGAAGGCGGCAGCATCGACATGTTTGCAATAGGCTTCAAAGGTCGGTATGGTCTCTTCCACCATGTTCACGTCCTTGGAACGCAGGATGGAGTCCAGAATGGTCAGGACGGATCGAGAGTAGAGGGAGAGGTCGCGGGGCGCCTTCTCGATGATGGCACTGAGGATTTGGAGAGTGACCTGGACATTTCTGAGTGCGATTGGATTAGCAGAGCGCGAGAACACCGGTATAGAGTGTCACGGATCGTACCCGAGTCTCCCTTTCCAGACATCACTTGCATTCTTCTTCTCGAGGAACGTGCCCACTTTCTGGAGCTTGTGCCGGCGCGTACTCGCATAGTACAGAAGATAGCTGAGTTCGGAGGAGTTGGGCTTGACTTCCTGCACGGTTTTCTGGTATTTTGGGTAACATTTCAACACGAGCACTTGATGCTTGGGACGACACTTTTGGCCCGCGCTATGGATGGGATGAAGGAGAGAGCTCATGGCGGCTGATGCGCGGGTGGAGGAGTCGATCGCGCCGTCATGCGGCGGGCGGGTGAGTCTTGCTATGAAATGTGTCGCGACATTCTGGTCCAGTCGAGCATGACGCGTTTCTTCAAATGTAGATGTAGACTGGACGGCGCAAACACGGCTCTAATCGCAGGGGAGGACCGAGCTCTCTGTCGAGGTTCTGCTCTGCCACAGCTATCTGGTTGGTGTCGATCTTGAAATTGCTGCCGGTGCAGGGTGACGACTGACGAGAGGTGAGTGGGAGGGGACAGTGGACAGTGAGTCGCGGACAAGTACGGAGATGATGGGTGACTGGGTGACTGGCTACTCGTCGAGCATTGTACCTTTTCTTGCTGTGCGGGAGTGTGCTGTGCATGCCTCCCTAGTAGCAGTAGCCTCTGTATGGAGCATGAAGCAATAATCTGCATGGATGAGCGTGCTGGAAGGGGATATCTGTTACTACTCCGTACCGCGCCCTCTCGAGCTCGGAATCTCCGCTACCTCCGGGCCCGTCCCGGGCCTGTCACGTGAGTTCTGGCGCTAGAGCCAATATGGACATCACCCTACAGAATACGGATACCATATCCAGTGTCCACAGCCTCGCTCTCTACTACGGCGTCACCTCATTTCCAAGCAACCGCCCAATCTCCTTTGCGATAGCCAAAGTCTTCTCTTCGGTCAGCCTCTTGCCCACGATCTGCACCGCGACTGGAGCGCCGTGATACGCCTCAGGGTCATCTAGGGTTGATCTCGAGTCAGTGGCTGCCAGGGAACGACAGGAGCAAAGGCGAGATAGGATCCAGACATGACTCACATTCAGCCTGAACAACTCCATCGATTTCAGTCAATGGCTTGAAGTCCGTCTGCTTCTTGTCCACCGCTTTATCCGCAAATGTCACGGGTACAACGACGCTGGTCCAGTCAAGGAGATTGATGGCACTGGCATAGCCATAGTACCTGAACTGGTTGTGACGAATGGCCGCCGTTGCGGTCATAGGAGCAATGAAGGCGTCAATCTCCCTGCCGAGCTCTGCCTCCCTGAGCCGCCACTGCTCCAGATACTCGCATTGATATGCCCATTTCTGGCGCTGCAGCTCCCAGATCTCATTCATGTCCAGCCTCGGCAGTGAGGGGTCGACAAGGTCTTGGATGTTAGGGATGGCGGGCTCTCCAGACTCCCTCAAGACCGAGAAGATGTCCTAGTAGAAAGAGGTGAGTTTTTTCCCGTCACCTTGTTTGCGTGATGATCAGAAGATATCTGATGGGCAAGAAGTTGACTTACCTGGCCACCATCACCAGCATAGATCTTGCCAATCAGGTTTACCGCAAAATCGTGCTTGTACGGCTGCCATGGCACAATGGTGTGGCCGTTGTCTTTCAAGGTCGAAACCACCGTTTCGACTCCACGCAAGATTGGAGGATGAGGGAGGACCTGTGCACGACGTAAGCGTCAACGGTGCGCTAGGGGGACTAAAGAGGCGACTTCACATTTCCGTCGCAGTTGTAGAAGCCCAGAGTCAGTCCTCCACCTCCACTCTGCAACTTGGACTTGACAATGTCCTCCTCACCCTGTCTCCACGGCAATGGAATGACCTTGGAGTCGTACTCCCAGGGTTCCTGTTTGAGGACCGAAGTGACGAACAGCTTCAGGTCTGGAAAGATGTCAGCAAGTCATGACCATGGCGCACACAAGAAACAGTAGAGGAATGTCAGCCAATTAGACTGTTTGTTCTAAGCTGCATTTGAGTTAGGTGCCTGGTGTCTGTACAGCAGCTTACCGTCAACCGAGTGAGCGAGGGGCCCGACTACACTATGGACGGTCTCCTGTCCTTCCATGCTATTCACCATCTTTGCATACGGCATGCGTCCATGGCTGGGACGGATGCCATAGAGGAAGTTGAATGCGGACGGGACGCGGATCGAGCCACCTAGGACGACAGGATGAACACGTTAGCCTGCGGCCACCCAGCTAGCGGAAGAAAGGAAAGCTGTGCGGTTGTGCTGGGACATGAGAGGGAGGAAGAGAGCATCGCACCGATATCCGTGCCGACGCCGATGACACCGCCCCGGAAGGCGACAATGGCTCCTTCGCCACCGGAGCTGCCTCCACAAGACCAGTTCTTGTTCCGCGGGTTGAGGGTGCGCCCGATGACATTGTTGACGGTCTCACAGACCATCAGGCTCTGCGGCACGCTTGTCTTGACATAGAAGACGGCGCCAGCCTTGCGCAGCAACGCTGTTAATACCGAGTCTTCTTTGGCGTATTTCCCCAGCCACGCGACGTATCCCATGGACGTCTCGAGGCCCTTGACTCGAAGCTGGTCCTTGAGCGAGATGGGCAAGCCGTGAAGCGGGCCTACGGGCGCCTTGTGTTTCTGGTAGTAGTCGTCCAGCTCCTTCGCCTGGGCCAGAGCAAGTTCGGGGAAGAACTCCAATGCACAATTGACCTAGTTTGGACAGATCAGAATGTATTCGTCTGGTTTGGCACACACACAAACACAGAGAGAGAGAGAGAGAGAGAGAGAGAGAGAGAGAGAGAGAGAGAGAGAGAGAGAGAGAGAGAAACATCCACACACCCTCTCTCACTCATATCAAGGTAACAACAAGTTCAAATTCAAGGTGAAACAGCATCAAGGTAAACAGTATATACGAACCGCCTGATGGGCCAGCGCCGCCCTTTTGCAAAACGCCAACGTCACATCCACCGACTTCAGCTGGCCGCTGGCGAGCTTTGCCACGAGATCCACGGCCGACGAGTCAGTGATTGCCAGTTCGTCGGGCGACAAGAGACCGCTCTTGGCCGGCAAGTCCATGAACGAGTCGTTCGGACACAGCGCGGCCACGTCGACGCGCCATTCTACCGGAATGGACTTTTCGATGCGCTGTTTCTTGTCGGCGGCGATTTCTTCCCAGCCCATGATGAGGTGGCTGGTATGACCGTGTATTGTATCGATGTCAGGACTGTGATTGTGTTGATTTCAGGACTGTGGTTGTTTCGATCTCAGCACTGTGGTGCGTTGATCTCAGCACTGTGGTTGTATCGATCTCAGCACTGTGGTTGTGTCGATGTCAGCACTGTGATGGGATTGGACTGTGATTGTGATGTAACCGTAACCGTAACTGTAACCGTCGAGATTGGTGTCTCTTGATCTGGATCTGAATCTGACCTTCCAAGTATTTATGGCCGATCAGATATCGATACAGTATCCGTACATCAACTGTCCAAAGGAGCCGAGATTCCTGGATGTGGAATTGTACGGTATTCGTAGACCCACTCCACAGCTTCGAAGGAACAGATAAATACCGGGCAGGTAGGTAGGTAGAATATCAGGCCAGGTAGGTAGGTAGGTAATAGGTAGTAGGTATCTCTGGGGTGAGTTGGACGGATACCTAGTACATACGGTAGGTAGTAGTACCCAGTGACTCTGTGTCCAGTCTATGGGGTGGTATGCTATGATACCTATAGTATAAAGTAAAGATTAGAAGTGGGAGAATGCATGGGCTTTTCTCGGGAATTTGAAGTTGAATCGAATCGTAGGTACTACCTAAGGTAGTACTATAGCAGCTGTCACGGAGTATAGAGCAGAGTACGGAGTAGAGCTATCGAAGACATCAGAATCAAGAAAGAGCCCAAGCCTCGTCGTAGGTTGCCCTTTGGGTGGATTTGGGCCCTTCTCCACGAACTCACAATCTACAATCTAGTATCTACAGTCTTCCCCTCCCCTCCACTCCTTACTAATGGCAACACCAGGCAATGCTGACATGCGTGCCACCATGCCACCATGCCACCATGCCAGCAGACCAGCCAGGCAAGCGATATCCAAGACCCTCCCTCGTTCGTCTATCTACCTATCTATCTTCGTGTATTCACTTACCCCGCCGATACGGGCCAACTTCCATCGGACAACGTACCGTACCTAATCCATCCTATCCTATCCTGTCCCTGTCCCTGTCCCTGGTTCTATCTTATCTATGCCCTGGTCCTGGTCTGGTCTGGTCGTCTAAGAAGTTGAGGTTCAGTTTCCTTACGCATATAAATAACATAACATAACATAACACCATTCGTGGATGGATTGAGATGGCAACCTACGTACCATACATACCTCACTTTAGGTGGTTGAAATAACTGGCTATGTGTAGCGCTGTCCTCTGGTCTCGGTCTCAGAGCGATACTCTGGATATTCTCATTCCTCATTCCTCATTTCTCAACAGGGAGCCATAGATAGCATAAAGCATCACCAGTAGCCGAGGTCTCTTGTCTCGGGGAGACTGAGGGAGACGTGGTACCAATATGAGAAGTCGAGAGCTAGAGTCGAGAATCGCCCTAGACGGGCGTGGACGTGGATGTGGACGTTATTTAGAATATGTACATAAGTACTGTATACTCCCTCGCCTAGATCTCCCTTACCTAGGTATCTCCCTCGCCCGGACACCTGCCACGTATCTCCCTCGCGACATTATAGATCCAGCAACCTAGAACCTCGATATGTCCCGCCCAAACAGTTTCACCGCCAACCACTGCATCGGCACTAGGAACTTGTTCCTCCAACTCAGCGTCATGGTGAGGTAGGCGCCGCGCCAGAGCAGAAATGCCACCCACCCCTTGAGGCCCTTGGCAATGCCTTCGTGGTCGGTGTTGGGCCCTTGCAACACTGCCTTGGCCCCGCCCACGTACGTGAAAACCCCGAGATTCCTGAACGTGAAGCCCGCGCTCTGGGCAAACGATTCGGGATCAGGGTGTTTACTGAGCGCCTTGCCCAGCCACAGCGCTTGCTGGTTGGCCACCTGTGCCGTCGCCGGGAGGGCGCCGGTCTTGAGCTTCGTGGTGTCGCCGACGGCGAAGACATCTTTCATGCAAGCCTGGGGAACCGTCTCTTCCGTCTCGCCCTCGGCCGCCTGGGCGCTGAGATTGACCCGAAAATGGTCGTCCACTAGGATAGATCCCGACTTGGGATCGCGTTGGATCGTCCACTGGCGCTGCGAGGGGTCGGCGACCTCTCCCTGCGTGATCTGGGCCGATTCGGCGGGGAATTGAAGCACATGGTTGAGAGCCTTCGCCACGAAAGGGTTGGCCATGAGCCCAGTGCTCCACACGCACATGCCAATGCCGACATCCCCCTCCTCTTTCGTGCGGATGGTGTAGACCAGCCCCGGCCTCTGTTCGTCCTGGTTCTGAGCCGCCTCTGCATCATTGGGGAACCCTTTCCTCAGTTCCTCCACGTGATGGGATGTTTTGATCTCGACGTTCTGTCGTCGGTACTGCTTCACCGCGTAGTCGGCCAGGGCCGCGTCGAACATGGGCAACACTTTGGGTGCCACATCGTAGAGGCTGATGCGGATGTACTTGAGAAGCTCCGGGTGGATGCGGGAAATGTCTTCTCGGATCAAGTCAGACAGGCACGCCGCAAACTCCATGCCCGTCGGTCCGCCACCCACAATGGCGAAGTGCAGCAGAAACCGTTTCTTGTCTTCCGGGATGATGGGCAGCCTGGCCAGTTCAAACAGCTCCAAAATCCTCCGTCGAATGGCCACCGCATCTCCGACGTCCTTGAGAAAGTACGCGTTTTCCCGCACGCCTTTGGTGTTGAATGTCTGACTGTACGTGCCCACGGCAATGATCAATTTGTCGTAGCGAACGGGGAACGTCGGAGCCTGTTGCTTTCCCGTCCCGCCCATCTGTACATTCTGATCGATGAATCCTTCGACAGAAGCATGACCAGGACCAGGAGCCTTGTCGGTGGGCTTTTCGACACTGCTATTGGTTTTGCGCGGGCCGGTCAACGCATGACCCACGTCTGGATCCAGCACGGATGATTCCACCGTGACCGTCTTGTCGGCGAAGCTGATATCGTCTGCCCATGCTTGGATGTATTCCACTCTCCTGTTTCTCTTCCGCACCGATTCGAGAACGTTCCGAAATTCCAACGTGCCGACACAAGTGTCGTTGAGCAAAGGGGTAAACACGAAGTAGGACCGCGGCGAAATCACCACTATGCGATATTTATCCGGATCGAGTCGGCGGGATAGCACGAATCCTGTTCGGTATGTAGTTAGCAGGGTGTCTTGTGCCTAGGCGGCGGATCTCGGAGTGTCGAACCTGCCCAACCACTTCCTAAGATGACCACCTTTTCTCTCCCGTCACCATCGCCCTCTTTCGAGTCGTCTTCGCTCGAGGTGACGGGTGTGAAGTACCGGCGTTTCTGCACGGCGCCGACTGACACAAGACGAGGTCGAAGACGCTTGATGCGGCATGTTCTGCACACTGTTCCAAGCTGCCTCTGCCATATCGGCGTTAAGACGGCGTGTGGAGACATCGGCCTGGTCGACCAGCGTCCCTGTCCAGCAACAGCGCCAGTTAGTAGAGCAGAGTATCGTACAGTGAGGCCAGGGCTTGGTCGTATTTGGGCGAGAATGTGTGCCCCGTGCCGAGGAGGACGTGATGGGGATTAAGACCACACATGTTGCTTGACTCATCCAGCCCGGCAAGATGTCCTCGCAGAGGGCCAGATGAGCGTGCGTGAATTTGCGTCATGCTTCGGCGGAAGCTTGGTGTTGATGTGGATGGATGGTCTGTGCAGCCGTGGAGAGCGATTTGGACCAAGCCACCACCACTGGATTTACGCTGTACGGAGTACACTGGGTACGGATACTCCGTACTGGATCCTATGATATCCGCACCCTCTTCCGCTGGCGGATCTCGGATAACGGACACATTTCCAGCCAGCGAGTCAACAGGAAGGGAAAAATATCTCAGCGGAGCCGGGCGACCCCAGCTTGACCTTTGGGATTTCAAGACAGTGGTACAGATACAGAGTACAGAGTACAGAGTACATGTAGTAATCGCTGTTGGCGGTTCGCCCGCTTGAATTACGAGAGCGGCAATACTAGAGCAGTGTGCAGTGTGCAGTGTACAGTATACCGCCATCAAGCCAAGGCCAGAGCCAGATGCCCATCGAGAGGGTTGGGACCTTGTCATTTCTTCTCGTATCATCATCATCTCGTGAATAGACCATGGCTGGCCTCACGCCCTGCTGACAATCCTACCTTGACGTATATACAAACGCCCTGCCACATTGATTGCTGTGAACCAATATCAACCCCCGTTGCTCGTTCGGGTCGACAAATGAAATACCCTCAAATTTCCCAGCCGTAGCTGCGCCTCGCAAGCCTCACATGAAAGGCAGCCCTCCCAGGCAAAAAGAAACGCTGTTTATGCTCCCAGTGTCGCGGCCGCAGTTGCGGGCAACGACACCACCAAATCCAAATCCAATACCTTGCGCCTTATGCCATGTGTGCGGAAAAAAACGAGTGACGAAGACTCCCATGCTGTCTTGCATGCGAAATAGCCCGGTGAATATTATTTTCATCGAATAGAACTTTCCAGATGCCGGCCTGTCATCTTTCTGACTTCTGCCAGGAATTAAGGTAAGCCATCAGCCCAACCCCTATCAGGACCACTCCTAGCATCGAGACATACGGCGCCGACTGAGCGAGGGAATCCTCATGGCCACTTCTGTCCTTCAGTACAGTAGCGACCGCCCGCTCGAGATGAGCTGGTAGCCTCGGCGCTCGAATGTGGCCGTTGCCCTGTAATGGCCGTTTCGCTTTGGAAGTCAGGTTGGATCCAGCTTCGTCGGCGACCACCACGACGGCATCGTCATCCTTCTCCGACAGAAGGCGTCGATCCCGGGATTTGTTAGGAGACGCCTCTTCTTTCCCATTTTCTTCCCGGAGTTTGTTGATCATCTCCGCGAGACTCTTTCTCGCATTCGTCGCGTCCGCTTCCGCGGTCTCGGCACGTCGTTGGAAGTTGTCCATGTCTGTTTTCAGTCTTTGCATCTCTCCCAAGACTTGTTCTAGATTTTGTTCGAGACTTTTGGTCCTGTCCTCGGCTTCATCGCTCCTCTCGCGCTCTTCAGATTGATTGACCGGAGTCATGGCAAGCCCCGTCTCTACAACGGGTTCCGGCTGTTCCTGCACCACCGACACGGGTCGGGCCGCAGTGGTGTGCTCCAGCCTGCGGGCTCGCTCTTCAGCGTCCTCTCTTGCTGAGCGCTCCTGTTTGAGCATATCTTCCAACTGTTTAACTCTTGCTCCTTGAGAATCAAGTTCTTTCTTGGCAATCGACAGCGCTTCAATCAAAGCTAACATCTGACTGTTTGGAGGGTTTGTTGGGGACTGAGTAGAGCTGTTGGGCGGCCTGGCGGTATCACTTCTTTTCAGAAGATTTGTAAATGACGTTGTGACTGGACTCGCTTTGGAGCTGTCAGGCTTCTCAGGTAAAGGCTGCTGCGGTGGTGGTGCAGGTGGGTCGGCGAAGCGGGCGGCATGGTCCAACTTTGATGCCTTGGACCGCCCATTGGATTGTTTCTGAGCAGCCGTTTCTTTCGCCTGCGGTTGAAGCTTGGGAGGTTCGCCTCCTGGGGTCAAGATTGAGTTTAAAAATGAGCCTGCTTGCTCGAGTTCTTCTGCCTGCTGCTTGGCTGTGCGCATTTCAGACTATGATTCGTTAGTAGATATGACAGATTAATCTGCGCCTTACTTACTGTGAGCGTTTTGACCAGCTGTTCGATATTCAACGGCGCCCCCCAGAAATTCATTTGTCGTTGTTGGGCCACGGAGCTCATCTGACTTCCCGCAACACTAGCTGGGGCCGATAGGCGTCCACCGGTTGCCGAGCCGCCAGAGCGACTGCGTGAATGCATCATAGGTGAACTCACGGGCGACGGCAGCAGTGCACCCCCATGTGATGGATCGAGGTCACCAAAGCTGAGGTCAAGAACGTTGTTGGAGGCTCCAGGAAGACCGACGTATTCCACCTTGGCAGATACTTTGTGGTGGACAATGGTCTTCTGATCCTCACTCACAATATCAATCCCCAGCTCTAGGGTGTCATGCTGCCGAAGTTCGTGCGGGTCAGATTCGCGATTTTCCAGGGAGAGTCGCTGTCCGTTCACAAATGTCCCGTTGGATGATTTCACATCCCGAATCCAGACCTTTCCATTCCGATCGGCCCAAACTTCTGCATGTTGCCGTGACAAGACTTTGGAATCAAAATAACCATTCACAGGAGTTGGCATGGTCTTGGCATTCGTCTGCCTCCCAATGCGTAGGACTTCCGGGTAGAAAGGCAGACTGATCTGCTTCCTTTCAAAAGTGCCATTCATAGGTAACAAGGCCAATATCGCGCCCGATTCAGCCGCAGATTGTCCATTCACGACCCGGGTTCCGTTAGTTGCATTGGTCGGGCTCTGACTGGGAAGGGCGGGTTGCACCGCATTCTTCACCCCCATGAGTGAATTTCCGATGGCCGTCTGAAGTGAGCCATTTGCACGGGCATTCGACACGCTGGATGTGGATTCCGATTTCGACACCGGCCAAAACCCGCCTCTTGCTTTTTTCTTTGATCCATGTCCTGCCTCGCCAGAAGTGTCATTTTGTGTGAGGGTGACTGTCGAGGAGGAAGAACTGGTGGATGAAAGGGATGAAGATGAGCTGCTCCTCTGCACAGTCTTGCGCTGTGGCAGGAACATGCGAGACACCTCGTCAGTGCTCATGGTCGAGAACCCTCCACCCGCGCTATTGATACCATTCCAATTCAGTCTAGATAGATTTTGAAAATTCGGAGGTGGTGCCACGGCGGTCGTCATCGGAGCGTCGTGGGGCTTAGGGGGAAACGGTGCTCGACTCGGAAGCTCTGAGGAATTTCCTGAGGATTTCGTCTCGATAGTGTAGGGTTAAAAAAAGAGTTCCGGAAGAACAAAAATAGACGGCCGATGGTACGTAGAGCCCGTCATGTGTCAAGTGTCCGATCTCAAAGGTAGCTCACGTCTGGGGAGGTACATTTGTCAGTCCATCCGCTGATTACGAACTCGGATAGCCAGCTATGGCGGAAGGAAGCGACCTTCTGGAGATCGGTTGAAGACATACAAGCATGAATCAGACTGAGAATGTTCGACGAGAGGATTGCTCGCGTGCGAAGATGGAGTCAGCGGGGGTGTGGTGAGGAGGTCTTGGGGCTGACCAGTCGGGTGCGATCGTGGTAAAAGGGGCAAGTATAATAGCGATTCGTCATGAGAGAAGTGTTATAGAAGAACCGTCGGAGTTGATGGTGGTGTTTTGTAGTTTGCGAAATGTCTCGACGATGCTTTTGAGGGTGCGCCTGTGGACGAGATCAAGTCAGTCGGTCCAGATTGACGCTGGAAGCAGCACGCGGGCTGACGAAAGAGGATTAGCCTCCGCCAAGGGGTACGGGCGGGTATTTGAGCGAGAGCGATTTTGTCTGACAGAACATTCACCGCCCATCGCACCTGTACTCTGTAGAGTGTTGACAGTCCAAGACACTCGAGGTCGCGTCATTAGGTACCGGGCACTCAACAATACCGGTAAATGCTGGTATGGGACAACACCGGCGACTGCCCAGTTCAAGTTTCCGGGTACATATCAGCCGAGTCCACGTGACAAGAACTTTTGGACAGTCTGCGTAACTTACCTTAGGTAAGATACTATATCATCAGCTCGACCCAGAGCACCGAATACACCCTCCCTGCCTTGCATTGGATGTATTTGTTGCATCCCGGGTCAGAGTGCAGGATGAGGTGGTATGGAGTTCTGTCGATACTCGCCTCTCTCCTCCTTCCGACGCGTGCCATATTCGCCGACGATGCCTTTCACATAGACTATCACCATGCCCTCCTGGGTAGCCCTCAGGCACACGCTACCTTCTTCCACAAACCCCAGACCTCTACGAATGCATCCCTCCTTTACACAATTTCCGACAAGGCCGTCTTAGGCGCAGTCAACCCCAAAGATGGCTCATTGCTTTGGCGCCAACCCCTCGCGGGACGTCCTGTCAATAATGCGTCCAGTTCATTTCTGGTCGCTGGAGAAAGAGACGGTCAGATCATCAGTGGATATGGTAGAACTGTGGCCTGCTGGGATGCGTTGAATGGTCGTCTTGTGTGGGATTACACTGTTCCCGAAGGGACCACGATCCATGGCCTGCAGGCCATTCCGGTTGGAGGCTCAAACACAAACGATCTCCCTCAAGACATTCTGGTCCTGGCCACCCCCGACCACTCAAATGCCCACGCTATTCTCAGTCGCATCGCTGGTGACGGAAGCGGGACGAGATGGGAGCACAAGGATTCCAGTCTTTCCCCCAGCTCGTCCGCGTCGATTGCCGCGTCTTCGCAGCACGTTTACTATATCACCAAGTCTCATGGTCTGTTGGCCAGCAGCAAGGCCAAGGTTGTCACATTGGATGGTACTACTGGGCACGAAGCTGGCCAGACCAGCGTCGCGGTTGACTCGGATCCATTGGGTGATGGCGGCGAATACTCCACGGCCTCATGCTCAGGATTCCCTTTCTTGATTTCCGCCGACAAGGGTTCCAAGTCGGTGAAATTTAGCCTTCTGACAAATCCAAACCCAAAGGTTGTGGGCCTCACGCTCGACGACAAAGGTGAAGATATTGAAGACATAACTGTGCACCATGCCTGCGATGTTACTGCACCGACACATTTCCTCCTTCACATCCGAGGCAAGACATGCCAATGGGCAGAAATATATCATGTGGATGTCAAGTCAGGCGGAGCCACGAGAGCGTATCTTTTGCCTGCCACAGAAGAGAAGAGCGCTTTTGCCGCCACCGGCAGTGGTTCGAGTGTGTATTTCACACGCAGTACAGAGTCTGAGGTCATTCTGTACTCGTCCGAATCCCACGGCCAACTTGGACGATGGCAGAAAACCAGTTTTCGGGCAACCCCAGGCATTTCTCCTTCCCACACAGTTGCCGAGGTTGTCAGCAAGGGGAAAGCTAGCTTTGCTGTTCGCTTAGCCGAGACCTCACAGAGCGGCAATTGGTCCTTGGTCCGCAATGGGGAACTGCTGTGGACAAGACCTGAGATGTTGGCCTATGTAAACATTGCAGCTTGGGCAGAAGATGCTGGTCCGGACGCTTTGGCAGAGGAACTCGATCTCGAATCGTCGGTTAACCCTCTGACAGGCTACATTCACCGGGTCAAACGCCATCTTACTGATCTCGTCAGCCTGCCTAGCTACCTTCAGGGCGTCCCAGAAACGATTGTGAAATCGTCCCCCGAGTCAGATGCCATTGCCCGCCGAAACCTCGTCGGGACCAAAACAGTCATCCTTGGCTCCCGTCGACATGAATTGATCGCATTGGACGCCACGAATGCCGGCGTCTTTCAGTGGCAAACCGATCTTTCATCCCACATATCTCCCGGCGCGGAGATGAAATCCATCGTTGTGGACGAGGGAAGGGCACATGTCTATCTATCTGACGGCGCTTTGATCGTCATCAATGCCTCTAATGGGAAGGTCATCGAACATCAGTCTGGACATGGCCCACTTTCAAACTTGGTTCGCATTCCTGGTGGTCCTGCACCGGCCGCAATCAAGGTCGAGGCGGATGGCACGCCCCGCCCTGCAGAGGATAGTGCTGCAGTGCATCCTTTGGAAGGCAACACCGTGGTGACCATAAGCGACGATGGGAAGGCTTTCGGCTGGGCTATAGGTCAGAGTGTCGAGAAAACCTGGGTGCTCGAGCCACGAGACGGTACTAAGATCATTAATGCAGTGGCGCGCGCAGAGCACGATCCTGTGGCATCCATTGGAAAGGTTCTGGGTGACAGATCCGTTCTGTACAAATATCTTTCCCCGAATGTGGCACTCCTGATAGCCGAGTCACATTCCGACTTGACAATCTACTTGATCGATGCTGTCACCGGTGCCGTCCTCCACACATCAACCCACCAGGCTATTGTGCCGGGCACGGATATTCCCGCCGTCATGTCCGAGAACTGGTACGCTTATTCATTCACAAGTCGAGATCCGGCCACGGAAGGCATCGCCACGCAACTGGTCATTGCTGAACTCTACGAATCATCAATCCCCAATGACCGTGGACCTCTAGGATCTCGCACGAATTTCTCCGAATTCTCAGTCGATGCGGGCGTTAGGCCCCATGTCATCTCTCAAGCTTTTACGATCCCAGAGCCGATTTCCAGCTTGGCGGTTTCGCAGACTGCGCAGGGCATCACGACACGCCAAGTGCTGGCCACATTACCAAATTCAAATGCAATCGTCGGCATTCCCCGCGAGATACTAGACGCTCGAAGACCGGTTGATCGTGACCCAACGGCCAGTGAGCGAGAAGAGGGTTTGATGCGGTATTTCGCGAATCTCGAGCTGGACCCCAAGCATTTCCTGACCCATGCTCGCGAGGTGGTCGGCGTTCGCAAAATCATGGCATCCCCGAGTTTGTTGGAGAGCACCAGCGTAATTTTCGCATTTGGGCACGATGTGTTCGGCACACAAATTGCGCCCAGCCTGGCCTTTGACGTGCTAGGGAAAGGGTTCAACAAAGGTCAGCTCGCTCTTACCGTGGTGGCTCTATTCGCCGGGGTTCTCGCTCTCAGGCCCCTAGCTCGGAAAAAGACTGTAGAAGGCAGATGGGGGCAGTGAAGCAAAAGCCAGTGGGACATTTGGGATAAATGTAAATGCATTGCGTGGCTCGAGTAACGATCACTTATCAAGGGTGCTGTCGGTATCACTTGGTAGATAGAAAATAACCCATGTCATAAGGCTGAGATTCAGGAGCAGCCAGTCAGAATAGAAGGTTCTAGCAGCTTCCACTCGGAGTTGGAGATGGTCGACCGCCTGGCGTTGGGCTAAGGGGCCTAAGGAGCCCCGTGCGTCATTCCTCACCTGTTGGCCGTCGCCCATCACCCATCGCCAGTCTCCCGGCTTCTGCCCAGTTCTGCAAACACCCACAAGGTCTTCCGGCAGCTCCCTTTCCATACTCCAAGTCAAAGTCGCGTGCTAAGCTGAGAAAAGATTGTGATCGCTCAGACAGACGTATTGGGATCTCACTCGATCATTCCACCGTTCATCCAGCCTAAATCGCGCAGCCCGGCTTTCCTTCCTCCCTCGTGCCGTTGACGCAGCCTCGCTCCGTCCCTGCGCCCTCTCACTCCCACCTTATTTCTCTCCCTTCCTGTCGGTCTCTGTTTTCTCGCACACAAAAGTACATACGACATTAACACCCTTAATACTCGACCAATCATACACACGAACTCGCCATGGTAGCAGAGACCAAACTCTACGATGCCCTCTCCGTCTCCCCTACTGCCACCCAAGACGAAATCAAGAAAGCGTACAGGAAAGCAGCCTTGAAGTGGCATCCTGACAAGAACAAAGACAGCCCCAATGCTTCTGAAAAGTTCAAAGAGGTATCCCAGGCATACGAGGTACTCTCCGACCCGGAAAAGAGGAAGGTCTATGATCAATATGGTCTAGAATTCCTTTTGAGAGGAGGCCAGGCACCGCCGCCCGGTGCTGAAGGTGGCATGCCTGGAGGAGGATTCCCCGGGGGTATGCCAGGCGGTTTCAGCTTCGGCGGAATGCCAGGCGGCGCCGGCGGTGGTGGAGGAGCCAGGACCTTCCACTTCACCACCAATGGAGGCGGTTCCGGCTTCAGCTTCTCCGATCCCAATGACATATTTTCCAATTTTAGCCGCAGCGGTGGGTTAGGCGGAGAGGACGACGATATCTTCAACCTTTTAGGCGGTGCCTTTGGTGGCGGTGGACGAGCAAGCGGCGGGAGCAGAAGAAGTACGGGTGGCTTTGCTCAGAGACCACAACCGCGACCGCAAACCCCAGAAGTCTCCGTGGTCGAACGGCAGTTGCCTGTCAGTCTAGAGGACCTGTACAAGGGAACCCACAAGAAGATGAAGATCAAGAGAAAGACCTTCAATTCCCAGGGACAACGAACAACAGAAGACAAGATCTTGGAGATGGACATCAAGCCCGGTTTGAAAGCCGGCTCCAAGATCAAGTTTTCGGGCGTAGGTGACCAGGAGGAAGGCGGTAGTCAAGACTTGCATTTCATTGTCGCCGAAAAACCTCACGCCACATTGGTCCGTGATGGCGATAACCTGAAGACGATGGTTGAATTGGACCTGAAGGAGGCCTTGACGGGGTGGCAAAGGACGGTGACCACAATCGACGGGAAACAACTGAAAGTTTCAGGTGCAGGACCGACGCAGCCTGGATATGAAGAGAGATTCCCGGGCCTTGGAATGCCCAACAGCAAAAAGCCGAGCGAGAGAGGCGATTTTATTGTGGAGGTGAAGGTCAAATTCCCCAAGTCGTTAACACCAGCACAAAAGGCCAAGATCAAGGAGGCTCTTTCATGAGTTGCTGGTGTTTGAAGCACGGCGCAGTCTCGTCCCCGGGTTCCAGTTGGACCGTGAACGAGAAGCAATCACCATTCCCAGGAGAAGTACCGTTGACCGGTATGGGTCTTCGGGGAGGTCAAAAACCATATACAATAGCTGACCCGACATGCTGCGTTCAGCGTCAGACCTGGGATGGACAGGAAGCATCCCATCCCGTCCCATGAATTGGAGCATCGTGGCGGCCTAGTCGATCGATGGGAGTTGGGGGCGATGAATTTAATGGGCTGTTGGTTTAACCGCACATGGAGGATGGAGACTCGGAGTCAAAACGAGTGGACACAGGAAAATCAGTTTCCTGATGGTCTTCACGAAATCCAATACTAATGGATTACGAATTCACAATTGCCTGTTTTTTCAGTTGTCAGATGTCTAGCCGGCCCAAATGGATATTATTGATGTAGCCTATTACCTATTACCTATTACCTCTAATACCTTCAGCTCAAGCGTGAGTGTCTGCTCGTGTACCAATACGTAGCAGCATTAGTATAGAATCGCACTGGACAAGGCTGTACGTACTAGACAACGGCAGCCTCGTTGCCAGTGTGGTACCAGTCTTGTGCTTTGGCGGGAAAGCTCTACGGCCTGAATTCTTCTCGACTCAAGGCCACTAACCGCCTCCTGTGAGCCTTATCGCTGCCTTGGTATATACTTGTGCCTCGAGTCGCGACCGGGTACCAGGCACCAAGCCAGATAGTTCTAAAAGCGGCGCCGTCGGGGTGAGCACGTCGTGAGTTGCCATTGCTTGAGCCGCCAAGCACTCTGGCAACCCTTCGCCGTCTCCGAAGCACCAAACTCCAAGGCTGAAGCGCCGTTCAATGCAGCGCCAGGGCCAGGGCTTAGGATGCCTGTCGCGGCCATGTTCCTGGTCTGAAATGTAGGTGACCTTGTTCTCTGTTAGTCGTGGTGATCAGATTCACTGTATTGCTGCATTGCTGCATTGCTACATTGCTTTGCTACATTTGCTGTGTGCCCCATGGCCTGCTAGTGAGAGACAGCTTCCAGCCTCCAGCTTCAACACACCATGTCCAGCTTCAGCTCCTTTTCAGGCCGTCCCGATACGTCGGTGCCTGCTTCTTCCAGCCTATCCCTGACCTCTGCGCCGTCGGATGCGAATGCGAATGATCCTTCATCCGAGACTCAAGATGCTGGCGCACCCTTTGTCCCCAATATATTTGACCTTGTCTACCTCGCCCAGCGAGCCGAGCTCTCGGTGGCACGCCCGGTCATGCAGCTATTCCTCGGCGCCCAAGCCATTGACCAGTCCACGTATCTGGGCCAAGGTGCCTCCTTCGAAGTGTCGTCCAAGAGGGTCCCCAAATCAGAGGGCATGGTGTATGAGACAAAGACCCTAGGCTTGACATTGTCTACCCGACAGGGCCAATACGATGAGAGGGTGCTGGTATACAAGACAGCCAAGATCGCCTTCAATGAGCTGGGAGAGCCACTGGCCAAAGATCGAAGAGCCATGGACTCAGTGCTTATGGAGATGTACGCCCTGATCCACCCGCCACTGTACAAGCATCGTAACATCGTGACGCTCCTCGCATTGGGTTGGGGCAGCAATCCTTACAACCCGTCCTATCGGTTGCCTGTCATCGTCACTGAATATGCCGACCATGGCAATCTAGCCGCGCTGCAAGCCAAGGAGACTCTCGGCTCAGACACAAAGCTGAACCTCAGCCTTGACATTGGGCGCGGGCTGCAGATTCTGCACCGTTGCGGCATCATCCACGGGGACGTGAAATCGGAGAACATTCTGGTCTTTTCTGACCCCCAAAAGAAATATGTCGCGAAGCTTGGTGACTTTGGCTTCTCCGTCGTGGGCCAAGCATCTGCCGACCCAGTGCGTATTGGGGGGACCAACCCATGGAGAGCCCCAGAAACCACCGCCGCGGTGCCTCGCCATCTTCTGGCCCAAACGGACGTGTACTCGTTTGGCCTGACAATATGGCGCATTGCCATGGACGGCATGAACCCATTCCACATTCTCCGTGGTGACTCGCACACAGAGATAAGCCTGACAGCAGAAATCGAGCGTCTCAAGCATCAAGATTTACTCAAGGAGAAGGCAGATCTTGACGCCTGGTATCCTGCCTGGGTCCTGTCATCTATGGACAAGCTCGCAGGCGGCTCGCTGCCTGATATGACGAAAGTGGTCCAATTGGTACAGCAGGTTCAAACTCTCTTAACCGGGGGTAGTATGGATATCGTTCAGGCGATCAATTTCATAAAATATATTTTTTGGATATTGCACCAGCATGGCATGGCCAGCACACCAATCTATGGACAAATTAGGCAAGCTGTCTTGACCGCCGCGCTCTCAGATCCTTTCTACGGCAAGGTTGCCGCCGCGTTGAAACAATGCGTTCTCCGAAATCCTCCAAACCGAAACCTCGAAGGCGCCATGTCTGCATTGACTCCATCCACTGATGCTGAACAGGACGCTGGGTACGTATGATCCATCCGCCTCTGTGTTTGGGAGACCTTTTCCTGGTCGATCCGGCAACACACCCGGAACAGAGGTACTTTTGATAATGCAATCAGCTAACTCAAGATTCAGCCAAGTGGACGGTGACATACTGCTGCGACGGAGCTTCGATGTGAGTACACTATGCTGCGCCAATGTGTTCTTAGTACGGAGTAACTGATTCCATTTTAGCACCATCTGATGTCCTGGCAAGCCGTGAGAGAACTACAGCCCTCGGTCCAAACATTCCTCTTCCAACGATCCCGTGCAAGGGCGGACTCGAATGCCTCTCGCAACAGGATCAACCCGCCCGAGTGTTTTGTACTTGGGTCGTTCTACCTCAACGGATACGGCACCCAGCCTGACTTTGCCGAAGCACGGCGCCTCATCCTCCATGCCGCTCGAAATGGGCACGAGGTGTCGCAGGCGTACGCCTGGCGCATCGCTAAGATTTCAGGAGCTGAGCTCGCCACTGACGAACAGCTTCTGAAGATGATGGAAACCCGGGCATTTAGCGGGTCAAGAGCAGCGCTGCAAGACCTTTCCCTGATCGCGCCCGAGAAGGTCGAACGAGTGAAGAAACTTCTGAAGCTGGGATTGGCAGGGGTAGGTGCATCGTTCTGGGACGACGACCTGATCCACGGGTTTACCTTCCCTCAATGGATGAATACCTTCAACAACACCGCCATGCTGGTGAAGAATTTTTCGAATCTGCGTGCCATCGCAGACTACAGGGTCAACAAACGTGGTGACCGCATCCTGCACATGGCAGCGAGCTGCGGCCAACCTCAAGCGATCGAAGCGCTCTTGGACAACTTTCCAGCCCTAACCGTCAACCAACTCAACGATACAGGCGAGACCCCCTTGCTTTCTGCCTGCCGTTCGGGACACCGAGAAGTCGTCAGTCTCTTGATAGAAAGAGGAGCTGATCCAACCATTGTGACCAGCTCAAAGGAATCTCCCTTGCATTGGCTCATCTCATTCGAGGAGGACGAAGTAGGAGAAGTGGGGGAAGCTCTCGTCTCCAAAGGTGCCAACCGGCGGTTACTGACCACACAAGGCCTCAATTACAGCAATTTCCCGTCGGGGGTTGATTCGGACAATCTCCCTCCTGGCACGCCCTTGACCTGGGCTGTCCATCACGATCGGCCGGACATTATCAAGTTCTTAATTCGTGCTGCAGGTACCGCCGGCATCTGCGTTGACAAAGCGGCCAACCAGCCGTCACCGATGGAATGGGCCGCCCACTACCACCATCGAGAATGCCTCGAAGCAATGATCAGCGCGATGAAGGAAGAGAAACTCGGCTTCACGTACCTCCATTTTCTGCAGAGCGCCGTGCACAGCGCAGACGTGTTCTCGATGGTTTTGAGAAATGGTATTGCGTACGTGGATCGGTTCAAAGACACTATGACTTATCTATTGGAGGAGACACATCCCGCATCCTTCGCCACGGGAATAGGATCATTTGGGCACACTCTGCTGTACTACGCAGTCTCGGAAGCCCATGACTTGGCAGCGGAGTATCTACTGGCCCCAGAGACCGAGCAGCTTCTCCAAACCGGCTGGGAACGAGTCAAAGAGACGGCCAAGGACGACGCCGACATTCCCATCCGCCGATACGGTGTCTTCAGCCGTGAGCATGTCAACATCCCTTGCGGCGATGAACAACGGACGCCACTGTTGGAGTGTGTTCGCTGGAACCGCCGCAGCCTTTTCGAGCTGCTGATCAGCAACGGGGCCGAAGTCACGGCGAGAAGCCGGAACCCATTTGACAACACTCAAACCAATTGGAGTGCTCTTCACACGTTTGCCCACGCGGGCCATGACACCGACATCTCATTGGCGGCGCGGATCATCGAGGCAGGGGTACCAGCCGATGCTCCAGTGGAAGGGAGTGACAACGTGGACCTCGAGACGCCGCTGTTGGTGGCGGTGAAAAACAACGCATTCAAGCTTGCAGAAGTGCTGCTTCGCCATGGCGCCAATCCCAACGCCAAATGTGTCTCGTCCGGCTTGATAGCGCTGGAATACCCCACCACGATTTTGGGCCACATTGCCGCTTCTACAGCGCGCGAATCTGCCTCGCGTCTACGCTTCATCCTGACACAATGTCCCGCTATCGTCGACGAAGGAGCGGAAACAAGCCGGCAGATTGACATGATCGTAGAGCCGGAGCGAGCGATGACCGCCTTGCATCGAGCCGCGTGGGCTTTTCAAGGGGTGTCTGATCGGCTTCCGGGTGGAACTTCAGCGCCAGAAGCAGTCAAGCGAGGGCAGTACGATTTCTCGCAGAACCGAGAGATCATGGTCGAATTGCTCCAGCACTTCGGCGGCAACAAGGACTACCTGAACGCCAGGACGGGCGATGCGCTCCTGCGGCGGACGGCACTCCACTTGGCTGTTGACTCGGTCAATGTCCGAGCGGTTGAGTTGCTACTCGAGCACGAGACAGTGGACGCCAGTATCAAGGACGCAAACGGGCAAACGGCTCTCGATGTGGCGCGTGAAGCCGGTCGACATTTCGGCGTGAAATGCGACGGACCTTGTGAACAGCTGCCCATCCCTGGTCGAAGATGGCACTGTATCGTTTGCCCGGACCACGATCTGTGTGATGTATGCTACCGGGCTTTGGAAGGGAAGTCAACAGAGCATGAATTCAGAGAGGTGTCGTTGAGTGAGACGTGCGCGGATATTTCTGCAAAGAGCAAACGGCAGTGGGTTATTTCTGAGGAAATTACAGGGTTGGCGGAAATCATTGATTTTTTGCAAGCCCGACAAACGCTTCAAGGCATGAGAGAGGCATTTCATGGTTTAGATGTTTCTGATTGACTGAGCGGTGGTTAAGTGATGTTGTATTTCTACCGTGAAGTCAATGTTGGGTTTCTGAAGGGTACTTAAGTGATGTTTGGTTTCTGAGCCGTGATTCAGTGATGTTGGACGTCTACCCGTGGTGAACGAAGTCAATGTTGGGTTTATGACTCGTTGTGAAGTCAAGTGATGTTGGGGTTTCATGATCTCGGAGTCTCTGACCAACTGGCCCATGCCATGGCTTAAATGAATGATTTGATTGACTGATTGGCGGGAGCAGGAAGGAAAAGCATTGATATAGAGCTACAGTATCATGAATCATGAACCGTTGATCATGAAGTGTTGACCATGAAGTGTTGATCATGAACCGTTGACCATGAACCGTTGACCATGAACTGTTAATCATGAACTGTTGACTATAAACCGCTGACCATGAACTGTTAATCATGAACTGTCATCATGAACCGTTGACTATAAAGAGTAAATTATAAACCGTTGATCATGAACCGTTGACATGGACCGTTGATCATGAAGTGTTGATCATGAAGTGTTGACTATGAATCATAAACCATGAACCGTTACCATGAGCCGTTGACATGAACCGTTGACCATGAAGTATAACCCCGTAAACTGTTAACCATGAACCATGAACCATGACATGAAACAAGTAGACCTCGAGTCATTCTGGATACACTAGAGCGCTGCCTCAGATACAGATACAGATTCTGATCCTAATTCTGAGTCTGAATCTAATTTAGATTCAACCGAGAGACCCGATACATAGAGACCGGTTTCAGAATCAGATCCCGAGTCCGATTTGAAGTCCGAATTAGATTCCGAATTCCAGCGATCCAATTGAGAGATTGATTTCCATCCAAATCAAATCAAATCCGGCATTTCTCCAAGTTCCGCACCATATCCAGCAAAGTCGGCAACGTATCAGGCGCGGCATGCAGCGGCGTCAAGCCCAGGTCGAGACAGCTGCCGACGATGCGGGCATAGACATCGCCCATACGATATCTGATCTGGCCGGAGTGGAGTTCGGTGCGGATCAAGTGGTGAGGCAGACGAGCGAGATCGGACAAAGGGACGGGAGTAAATTGATGGTCGGTAGTGGTGTTGTTGTGGGGATCATTTGTTTTTCCCTTCTTTTTGTCCCTTTCCCTCACATCCACACAGTCCTTCACAATATGTTTGAGCGTCTTCCACTCGGCCAGCTCGACCAGCATCACGCCCAGACTGTAGAGGTCCATGTGTTTCTGGAACGAGGTGGACGGGTCGCCCAGGGCGTGGGGGTGACGGTAGATGTCGGCCTGGGGGTCGGATGATGGCTGCTCCGAGATCTCGGCGGGCGAGTCGAGTCGCGAGAAGGAGAATCCTGTCATGTAGGGGTCAAGGTTGGGCCTTGCACTGTTGTTGGTATAATTCTTCTTGTTGTTGCTGTCGTCGTTCTTGTAATCGTTGTCGTTGTCGTTATTGCTACCGTCGTTCTTTGTGTTGTTGTCGTTGTCATCGGTCTTGTCGTTCTTATCATTCTTGTCATTGTTGTTGTTGCCGCCCTCGCCACCCTCGCCGCCATCTCCAAAAAATACCACATTCTCCGATCGCAGGTCCTTGTGTAGCCAGCCCGCCGTGTGCAGCGTCAGTAAGGTGCGACAGAGCTGTAGCGCAATGCCGAGTCGGGTGGTTACGCTGGGGGATTTGAGGGTCTTGTTTTCGCGGATTAATTCGTAGAGCGAGAGCGGTTTTGGCGGAGACGGAGACGGAGACTGAGAAGAAGATGGAGCCAAAATTGAAGGTGAAGGGTTGATTGTCTCGCCTTTCTCGGGGTCGAGGTCGCAGTCGGTTCTTGTTGGGTAGCTATAAACAAACACAAAGCTCTCTCCGTCCTCGAAGAAGCCAATACACCGTAAGGTGCGGAATGATGGGTCCTTGGGCCTGGACAGGAGATAGGCCAGACCCTTGACTCGAGACAGGAGCTTGCCTTTCATTCGCGCTGGGACTCTCTTGTATTCGAGCCAGACGGGCTTGGAGTCGTAGATGCCCGAGGCGGTGTTGGCGTTGGTGTTGGAGGAAGAAACCACGGTCAGAAGGGCTCGATCGATAGGAGGTAGACTCAGATTCAGGTCTAGTCTCTTGGGGGTCGAGGACCCGGTCAGGTTCGGGTTCGGACCTGGGATTTCGTTGGATAGATAGTGAAGAGAATGTGGAACAAGAAGCGACGACGACGATGACGACGGTGATGACGATAGGGATAATGATGATAGTTGGTGTTGGCGGTAAAACCCTCCTTGTACACTTTCTACCGGATCCGGGTCATCAATCTCGATTCGAGCAACCTTCAAGTCGACGGCGACGTTCAGACCACCCGACACCTCGTCGCTGGTCTGTATGGCGCGCAGCTCGCCGACGTCCTTGCTCAGCTGGACCACTTTGGCCAGCACCTCGTTCATCAGCCAGGTCGAGTCCTCGCGCTGCAACGGGTCCAGCAGCGCCCACAGGCCGTCAACCAGCGTGCGCACGTCGCGCACCATGGCCTCGAACTTGGCCTTGTCCACGGCGGCCCACCACAGGCGTTTGGGGAGGTGGCTGTCGTTCTGGATCAGCTTGGCCCGGGCGAGGATGCGTTTGCGCAGTCGGTCCGAGACGAGTTTCTGGAGAACAGGAATAGGTCCGACTTTGGAGGTCGTGGTGGCGGTGGTAGCAGCAGCAGCGGTAGCAGAAGGGGTAGGGGTAGCAGTAGTAGCAGTAGTAGCAGTAGTAGCAGGTTCAGGTGTCGGTGTCTCATCCGTGTCATCCGGCATCTCGGACGCATTTTCCACCAAGACGAGTTTATAGCGTGTTCGAAGCTGGTCGGCCGTAAGCAGGCTCTCGAGCTGGGCCATGAGTTCCGAAGCCAATGAGTAATTCAGCCTCGGGTTCAAACCGCTGATGTTGGTGTTGGTGTTGGTGTCGTCCGCCTCGTCGCCAATCAAGCCCACCCCCCGCGCCCACTGGATGAAGCGATACTCTTCCAGACTCAACATGGTCTGGAGCAGCGACGCATCTTTGCCGAGGTTGTGGGCGCTAGAGAGCAGGGTGAAGCCCTGGACACAGCCACCAAAGATCTGGAACGATAGCGACACGACCGCCAGCACGGAGCCGGGATCCATGACTGCGGTTCAATCAACATCCAAACGCCTCAGTTCGCTGCGAGGAGGCCGCAGCAACAATCCAGGGTCAGGGTCAGGGTGTGTTTTCTGTTTTCTGTCTTCTGTCTTGTTCGTTCGTTTAAAGTGTCATCAGCCATTCATTCATTCAGTCATTCATTGCGCGAAGGCAGACTGCAGACTGCAGACTGCAGACTGGAACCTTGTCCAAATGCCAGGAGGCCGATGAAACCAAACCAAACCCAGGCTTCCCCGCGCTATGCTGTGCGAAAGAACAAGGACCGCAAGAAACAAGTCAAGTCTGATGAGGGATGAGGGATGAGGGATGAGAGATGAGGATTGAGGATTGAGGATTGAGGATTGAGGAGGAGAGAGAAGACCAGGCTTAGGCGCCAGCTGCCAAGCCCAACGCGCAGGCGTGACAATCGGGGCGCAGGGAGGGGAGGGGTTACGAGGGTTAGGGTTAGGGTTGCCAGCCGAGCATCCCAGCCACCTCCGGTAGATGTACATGCAGCATAGTTGGCACAATACGGAGTACGGATACAGAAGTAGGCACACAGCCATCTGTACAGCTACACATGCTGTATATACGTTGTACGTTGTTTCAAAGGCTCAGGCCGGTGGACCCTTGGGGCTCAAGTGCTAGACCCCGACAACAATGAAAGCGGGACGGGCCTAGGGATAAGCCTTACGCCTCAGGGCCTGGACCTCGGACCGCTCGGGGGCTCAGGCTTGGGAGTCCTACTGTGGTACGGAGTACTATGATCTGGCATTCGGCAAGGCTGAGCACGGTGGATGACCAAGTTCAACTCCAGCGCGACATTGACGCGCGAGGCGAGGCTGCCATCCGTCCAAGGAAGCCAGGGCAGTGCAGGGAGCCGAGTACGTGCCAGACTCCGTAGCAATGAAACAAGCGCAGGTGTTGGTGTTTTGCGTTCTCCTCCCCTATACCGCATGCCATGCTTAGGTCCTGGTCTTCACTTTCATGGTACGACACACATTATAATGGCCTGAGGAAACAAGTGCAGGTGTTTGCGTTATCCTTCCCTTTCCTCTTCATCCTATCCACCGCTCTGGCCCTCACAACTTCTCCACAGAAACATCGACAGGAACCTCGGCAATCTGGTCAACGCCCTCATATGGCGGCACATCTAGGCCATATTTGCCGGCGACATCTGCCGACAGGAACCTGCCGCCGATGAAGTGTCGTTCGCCTTTGAACCACTGGACGCACGGCTTGGCCGCGGTCAAGCTGATCAAGTATGTTGGCATGAACTCGCTGCCGAGCTGGCCTTGCTCGGGCGGTCCACCCTCGACATCCCACGACGAAGGAATGTCCACGGCAAGCACGGGCTTCTTGCTGTCGATGATGGCCGACAGGACCGTGTCGAACGGGGCCCGGACGGGGGGTTTGAAGCTAAATCCAAATAGGGCATCAATGACCAGGTCCGAGCTGGCCAGAGCAGAGGTGAACTCTTCCAACGATGTCAGGAAAGGAATGTGAAGGTGGTTCAGCTGTTTCTGGAGGCCGGTGAAGATGGCCGCTTTCGTCGGCTTTGGATAGTAGATGCGTGGTGTGTAGCCGAAATGGTGCAGATGGCGGGCACAGACGAGACCGTCACCTCCTGCTCGGTCGTGATAGTGAGCTACTAGATGGGTAGACAGTAGGTGAGATTGACAGATACATACCGTTGTTGCCAGGTCCGGCGGTGATCAGGACATTCTTCCCTTTCGAGGGCGGATGGACCTTGTACACTGCGGTAGAGAGAGATACAGATCAACCATGGCCTTGCACCATATCCTGCCCTTCTGTCTCAAGAAATCTGTACCACCTGTACCATCCATGATGGTGCACCAGCTGACTTACCTGCCTCTGCAACACTCAAGCCCGCCAGTTCCATCAATTGATCGATGGTGAAGCCTCCATCTTCGCTCATGAGCTCTTTGTCGAGATCGGCGGCACTCTTCGCGCCGAGGGTCTGCATGATCACGAGGAGCCAGAGTCAGTTTTCTGTCCAGCTCAAAGTCTCTCAAGTGCAAGGACAAGGCTCGGCTCTTGACTGGAAGAATAGCCTCAGGTGAAGGATCAGCCATGGATGGGAGATTCGGCGGGACGGACCTTCAACACCATCTTGGAGAATCTTCTTGCGGTGAGAATGGGTCTGACGGCTCTCTGAGTAACGACCGAACGTAGCATAGGACAAAAGCTAGAAGGAATGGCCAGACCGCGCGTCCGACAACCGATGGTGATGATGATGGTGATGGTTCGCGGAGAGTGGTGTGATGGATCCTATGTACCGAACCGGAACGACGGCGGAGGGAATAACGGAGGTGGACGTGGACGTGAGATGGGAGGGATTCAGAATTTCTCAGGATTCCGGTCGGATTGAAGCAAAACCTCTTCTCTCTGACACCGAGTAAGACCAGGGACAATGTTAATGGGAGTTTGATGTCGTGGTCGTGGTCGTGGTCGACGTCCGTCATCCATCACTGCGCCCCAGGAAGCATATCGTCATGTTCTTGGCACTGCCCTGCGCCCTCAATCAGTTTGCTGCCATGTCTGGTTCAGTCAAAGATTCGTAGAATCAGATCAGAATCCACCAATCTTGATCTTTTCGGCACTCGAAGGGACAGGACAATATTGCCATCTTTCTATTGCGGTTACAAGCTATTTGAAAGAAAAAAAAACCATGTCGATGACTTGCACGCCCATCCTGGTCATGTGCCAGGGGCACAGTATGACTTCAAAAGTGTTCGTAATGACCACATGTTCACCGCCGCCAGCAACCCAGCTGCTGGATAATGCCAGCCAGGTTGGCTCTCAGTGTGCCAGGTGAGAGGTGAGAGGTGAAGGTGAGGAGTACTCCGTACATATGTGTAGAGCATAGGGCGGCGTCACTCTCGTCTTAAAGCGGGGAGGGCTTAAGCCTCAGCCCCTCAGCCAATCGGAGCAGCTGCAACAATTTTGGCCGCGAGCAAACCGTTTGTTCAAGGCTCAGGCTCAGACTCGAGTCTATCTCTACATCTACTCTGTACATCACATCGCTCCCTATTGCCGCAGCACCTCTTCGCCTGGTTCCTGCCTCCAGTCCCTATCCATATCCCATCTACCGCCAAAATGGTCCTCCGCATCCGCCTCGCTCGATTCGGCAACGCCCGCAACCCAGTGTACAACATCGTGCTCGCGCAGGCCAAATCCGCCCGGGGCAAGAAGCCCATCGAAGTGCTGGGGACATACAACCCGATCCCGCAGATGCCTCTGGCCACGCGCGACACGCCCGAGTTCCTGCCCACGGGCGAAAAGTTGGTGCCCAAGAAGATCAAGGACATCAAGCTAGACACCGCGCGGACAAAGTACTGGCTTGGTGTGGGAGCGCAGCCGACCGAACCGGTCGAGAAACTATTCAGTCTGGTGAGTTCGAGTTCGAGTTCGAGTCTAAGTCCCGGCGCGAAACGAAATGGCACATGTTTGGTTTTTGGTCGAATGGAATAGATTTGAATAGATTCCTTCGTCCGCATCTGGTCAATCCAGAGCTGCGACTTCCAGTTGCTCAAGAGAAAGACAGTTGCCGACCACATCGAAAAAGCTACCACCTGCGCATCAAGCAGTTCTTGCAGCTATCCCACCACCAGCACATCAAGCAAGTCTTGCAACTATCTCTGACTGACACCTTTTTTGCCAGATCGGATTGATCGAACCGAAACCCTCGTCGAGAGCGAAAACACAGCCCACGCCAGAGCCCATCACGAACTGAAGGAGGTTGAGCCTTGGAATCCTTGCGGGAGGGAGCTGGCTTGTCATTTTGTTGCTGAGGTTGAGCCAGGCTCTAACTACCACCGTCAGCGGTTTCACGGTATGGCATGGTATGGCACGTAAAAGCATAGCGTCGGCGTTTGGGTTTTGGTGGTCGATTGAATCATCCCACAGCGAGAATTTGTACACAATACAATACCAGAGGGCGGAGAGACGGCAGACACAAAGAAAGGTCCTACACGCAGCTACAGTGATAGGAAAGCCTCGGATTCGAGGGTGGTACAATAGACATAATTCGAATCCCAGCTTGGAAAGCCCATATTGCACGTTGGGTGTACGACTCCATCTATGTGCCAGGTGTTGATGCAGCACAGTACCCGACCGGGCCTGTCTATTGTGCTCACCATCTCCTCTATTTGCGGGACATAAGTCGTGGTCACATTGGCATGATCTATTCGCCGTTGCTATGCATATGCTGTCGTAACGCTTTCAGGATCCTTATCCGCAATGAGCCCTCTCCAAGAAATCCAAATAGAAGCATGGGTAGCGGGCTGTTCTCTTCTCGCCACAGCTCACTTTAGCGCAGGGCTGCTTGAATCTCCCCCACCACCGCCTTGAATCTCGGCTCGTCCAAATACTTCTTGCTCCGTAGTTGTGTCAAAGCCGCGGGAATGTCGAAGATATCCTTAGCCGCCGACGTGAGATCGGAGCGGCTGAAGCCGACGAGCACCGTGCCGAGTGCCACGATGGTCCGGTAGGCGGGTTCGGTCGACTGTGCCGAGGGGCTGGCCGCTGGGGTGTGGTTGACAGCAGGGAATGTAGCCAGTATCTTGGACAGTTCCTCCACCAGCGATAGGCCATAAGTGGCTTTGGTGTCGGGGTCGGCACTCTTGTCGCGGATGATGAAGACGGCAATGTTGAGATAGAGCGTAGTCAGGGCAATCGCAACAGAAACATCAGACGAGACCACGGCCGACAGGGGCTTGAGACTCTCGATGATTTCGTCTAGATGTTCTCTGACGAGGTCGCGCCCGGTACTTGACCCGTATAGCAGGTTGGAGAAGAACCGCATTGCAATCATCGCCAACTTGTTGTTGGATCCGACAAAGTCCGGGTCAAAAATGCCACTGCCCAAGATGCTAGCCACGATGTCCAGTCCATCGGCACGTCCCAGGGGGAATTCCTTTGCTGCTGCCGCGATAAACCGAAGGAGGTCAAGACCCGCCAGGCGATTAGGCGGTGGCTGCCATTCAGTCACAACTCTCACCAAAGCCGGCATGGCGGGTTGGAGAGCTGATGCCGCTAATGAGGGACCACCCTGGAAGTTGAATTTCTCCAGCTGCTGTGCAACTGTCGTCAGGTTTTGGATGTCGTTTGCCGACAAACTCAAGTCGCCCTGACCATACTCGGCATTCTTCTTTGTAATTTGACCCATCGCAGCGGCTGGCTTTCCAATCACGACGGACAGGTAGTCTTTTTGCGGAAGGATTTTTCGGGCTGGTGCAGGGGGTGGCTGGTAGGAAGAGGTGGGAACTTGGCCAGGTCGATAGCGATTTTCTGTCCCCCAGGCATCGGCGCCTTCGGGTTCTGACTGTCCTAATGTGGCCCCTTGAGTGTTCTTGATGATGAAATTGGCCGTCTCTTCCAGATAGGACAGCGGCAGTTCGTTATCCTGAAGGAATTTCGTCGCAGCGTCGTAAGGGTTCTGATTGACGTTGAATGGCAACTTCAGCGGAGGCTTGCCGTCTTCAATGTCAATGTCGAAAACATAGTCATACTCCTTCCCGTTGTAGGTGGTTTTGCTTCCGCCCGATCCAGTGGAGTCCACGACTTGTCCGATCTTGATCCACTGCTGTTGGGACATGGACCACTGGTACAAGGACGCACTGCCATCATCTTCTTTAACTATTTGGCTTTGACCTTCCTTAGTGCCGGCCTTGCGTTGAAGGAACTCGGGACCTGGCAAGTCTGTCATGTTGATCTGGCCGACTTGTTGCTGAGGAATGCTTGATGCTTTGACTGACTCCTCGAATGAGGCCAGAGTCTCTTGGTCTGCCACCCTCTCCGGCTCCCGCGTGAAGATCCTGGCCAGCTTGTCACTCGAACCAACGATGATATCGCCATTTGGCCCTGCAGAAACGCTCCAGACGGAGATTGCCGGTAATGTGATGACCTGGACACAGCTTGTGCCCTGCCAAATACGAACCGAGCGGTCCTCCCCAGAACTCACGATCTCGCCTGATGGTAGCACGGCTAGTGAATAGATGAAAGATTCGTGACCGAACAATTCAGTCACCAAATCCCCTTTCAAGGTCCATAGACGGATGACACCATCATTAGATGCCGAAGCAAGGTCAGCTCCCGTAGGGTGTCCCGGGGGAAGTCGTGCGAGAGCGCGCACGATGTCCTTCCCGTCCCACGAGACCTTCACTTTTCCTCGAGAGTCGAAGATTCTGATTCCGCGGTCTGCGCATCCCGTAACGATGGTATCCCGATCGTAAGCCAGCACTGCCCAGACCGTAGCTGTATGTCCTTGCAGATCAAATGCGGCCTCCCATCGGCCAATCTCCCACAGTTTGGCTGTACTGTCCCAGCTCCCACTGACAAAGTAGTTGGCGGATGCACACACATCCAAGGAGCACACTTGGTGGCTGTGTCCGACCATGATGGCATCGGCATTTACGTCGGTGGTGGAGGTTGGCTGCCTGGCCTCGATGAGGGCGTCTTGACCGGATGAAAGAATGAGGCCATCCGGGAACTCTTTCGAAGGGGGGACATATGCTAAGCAAGTCTTGAACTGCGCACCGTGGGAGGATTCGCTGCCGTCGTATCTGGGAGGACTGGTGGAAGTCTGCTTCCAGACACGCGTCGACCCGTCGCGTGAGGCGGTAATAGCGAAAGAAGGGTCGGGGAAAAGGACACCACGAACCTGCTCGGCGTTAGTCAAAGGGAAGCTGTGCGAGGGAGGGGAAGTGAACAAAAGCCATGGCCATGACATACATCACTCTGGTGTCCGCTGAGCACCGCACTCAGCTTAAAGTCTGGAGCCGCACCAGTCATCTTGAAGACTGTCGTCGCGACAAAATCATTTGCTCTCAGATTGAGGACATATAATTACTCTGTATGTGCAATATGTGCAATAAGATGAGGAAATGCGGGGGACAGAGTTAGCAAAGGTGAAGGTGGAGGCGACTGTTCACTGTTCAAGGCTGCGCTTCGCCTGCGCTTGCAAAGAATCACAGCCTCGTGACGTACGTACTACGGAGACACAAAGAGCTCGTTGCTTGTTCAGCCTTGCGGACTTGGCCACCGAAATGATCGTTACAACTTCAAAAGGTCGTCGTCCACAGAGCAGACCAGAGCAGACCGTGCTGCTTCGGAGCCGACTCGCTCGCCAATTCGTCCTCGGCTTGATTTCAACCCTGGCCTTAGAGTGGGTGCCAAAATACATGGTGGGTTACAAGGCGGTTCTACCTATTACTATCTCTAGTCCGTAGATATTGAATTTCTATGATAGGTATAGGAGGCTACTCGAGGGAGGCCGTAGAGTATATCTACCTGTATCTTAGAAAGATAATCATCCGGTAGAGCTGGAGGTTTCCCTAATCCTATCGAAGTAGTAGTTAGATAAACCGCCTTTAATTCTGGCACCCACCCTAAGCCCTTGCCACTCTTCCCAACCTGTACTAAAGCTGTCCTCCGCTACTGGCTGTGACCATCTTGCAAGTCGCCAACATAGCAACATAGATGAAACATTCTCATTCTCTACGCCAGCGCAGAGGCCGAGTCCCTGTCCCTCTTTAATGTATCGGTACGCCGGTGAGTCACCCTTCCGATAATAACGGAAAGGAAGAGGAGAAGAAGCGGACTTCAAAGTCTTGTATACTTATACTGGCTAGGTGACTGGTACTCCGTACTCCGTTTACTCCACTCAGCCAGTCTTGGTGGCCGGGGATGACGCGGGCACATTCACAACAAACTTACCTTACGGAGCACTGCAGCGAATACCGCCGCTTCGAAGGTCTTGGAAGAGTCGAAAACCGCGGCTGGGTCGGGGGCGCTCTTGCGTACATGTACATGTACGGAGTACAGAGGCAATGAATGACCTGCTCGCCGGATTCGGATTCGTCCAGTCCCAGGACTTGCAGACGGCGGAAATGGTTCAAGTCAATCACGACGATGGGCGCATCATGCTACTAACTTCTGTATGTCCGAGGGAACGAAAACCACCGGCGGGATCAAAAGGACGCGAGGATTCTGTGCGATCGAGAACCCTTGAAGACGTATATATATTCGTCTGAGGCCCTGAAGCGACGACGATGATGATGTAAGGAAAAAGATGCATGGGGAGTCCGGGCCATAGATTCTGCCTATCCTCCATGATCTGGGTGAGGCTGCGCTATTGGAAAGGGAAACGGAGGGTTCGGGCTAGGGGAATGATGTCTGTATTTTTCATTTTTGATGAGAACGGCATCTTTCTCATTCACGTCCATGTCGCGTATTCCCTCTTCTTGAGTGAGACCAGTCTTTGAATGGCCACCTGGCCCAGGCTTGAACCAGAACCAACCGGGCCCCTGGGCCTCCGTCCCAATGTACCCGCCGAGTACGCCGATTGCTATGCAGGGTTGTAGTATGCTATGGTACATTCCACTAAGCCTTCTTTCCCATCTTGGTCGGCTTTTTGCGAGCAGTGGCATCGCCCCCTGTCTTCAATTTGAGCTTCAACGTCGGCTCGGAACTGGCATCCCTCATGGCCTTTGTCGGCGTCACCGAGATTGTGTCACCGTTGACCTCTTTCAGGGGACTTGCTGCACTCCGATCATTCGCGTTATTCACCTCCTTCAGCCTGCTTGGCCCGGAACCACCCTTCTTGTCGTTCCGTTTGACCTCGCCAAGCTTCTGCTTCTTCTTGTTACCGCCAGAGGTCTCATCGTCCGCCTTCCTCTTGACGCCGTTGGTCCCTGCCTTGGGAGAGCTAGCTCGGCTATCTCGGGGAGTGCCGCCGATCTTTGCATTGGCTTCTCGACCAGCAGCGCGGTCTTTCTTAAGATAGCAGCTTCCGTTCAAGTGCGTGGCGAATACGTTCACAGACTTCCAGTGATCACCAAGGTGAGAATCCCGGTTGGGACATTTGGCTGCAGGATAGTCGATTTCTTTGAATTCAAATGAGTCGTTAAGCATGGACGAAGAGGGCGTCAATGGGTCTGAATTCTCCGACGTCGGGGATGCTGGGTCGTTCTTCTTCCTATTCTTGCCCTTGGCCTGTCCCTTCACCTTGACCCCTTTCTTGCGTTGTCCATGGACATCATGCTTGTCGATGATAATCATGGGTTCGGTCTTGCAATACTGTTCTGTCGGGTCTGGCACCGGCCGAGCATTGAAGCCGACGCGTGGGTAAAGTAGGCGCCGCAGCCGACAGTTTGGACATCTGATATGCTTGATGGTCTTCATGGGGTTGCCTTTGAGTTGGTATTGCCCGGACTCTTCGAGGATGGCAGCATCCGACTCGACCGGTTCATCTTCCGCATTGTCCCCGTCGTGAGCACTCTTTTGCTTGTCCGGTCGTTGCTCAAGCTCAATGACTGCCGTCTGCATTCGAGCAATCTTCTCCTCTTGGTGTATGTCGAGGAGGATATCATGGAGAATGCTCTCAATGGATTGATCCAATATGTAGGAAATCTGGAACAGTCAGCAGCTGCGAAATACGGCCAACCCTGGTCCACTAACGGCTTGTTCTTGGTCCGCCACGGACAGACTAATAGAAGATTTCGAGTCTGCTGCCCCCGAGGTAGCCATGGTGGTAGATGCTTTTACTGGAGGTGGTATGTCAGCGGTGATCTCCTCGTCGCTGTAAAAACGTTTCCACAGGTCCGTGTCGAGGACGCTGTTGGGGAGCAAGGAGCCATGTGGACGTCTTGTAGCCATTCTGAGCAACCAGTACACAAAATACATCCATGTAGACCGGCAGCCTTGCAGGTAGAGGAGTAGGAAGGGTAATTGTATGTAAAGAGTGTGCAGAGATTGGCTGGGGCAGGAAAGATTTATACGAATTCGCACGGTGATATCCCATTGAGAACCGACTGACAATGAGGGAGCATGACTGTAGTGCTTGTATGCTATTGTCGACCGCATATTCACTTACTATTATTGTGTGGTAAATGGGATCTTTGAACATGTGCCTCCTTCTATTCAACACCTGCACTTCTTGCCGCACCCAGTGGTCCTATTCACCGACTAGCCGTCCATGTGATTCTTCTACACCCACAATATCGACTGGGCAATTAACAGATCTTCAAAATTCGACAGGACACAGAACCGTCGCCAGGGAGGAGGATTTCGGAAGGCTTCGTCCGGGGAGCCGAGTCTTGCCTCGGTGGTCAAGCGGCGAGGGCGAAGGATATAGGATCACGAGGGAGAGTTACTCGATACTCCAACAACAAGCCAGTGTAGCTGTATACCTGGCGGGAGGGATCCGGGCTAGCGCTGAGTATCTGCTGCAGCCTTGGACTGAGGTGTTCGTGGACGGAGCATTGCAAGGTTACGAGGATGCGTCCGGACGACATTTGCGAAATGCGGGCTGGGCGGCTTAGTGACCGCTAGGGCGATTTCGAGCCTAGTGCAGATCAAGCATCGATAACCTATGCTTTAGCGCCGGCTACGTCCGCTACAGCCACGCCCCCTGCCAATGCCGGTGCCAGTGGTGTCCCATGCCAGAGCGTGACAAGGCGCCCGTTTTGGTCGACTGCATATGCACCACAGAGTAGATAGTTTCCGTCCTCGCACTTTTGGTAGCCTTGTGCCGCTGGGGTCGGTGTTCTGTGCTGTGCGACGCTCTCTCTGACAGCTGCGAGTGAAAGACAAATTTGAGCAGATCAAGACCAAGGCGATGGGCCACCCCGACCGAAAATGCCTCAGGCCAGCCTTTTCTCCTATTTTTCAAAGTCCCTAACGTCCACGTCCACCACGCCAGAGGGCGACAGAGGGCCCAAGAGCAAAGACTATAGTCCTCATGAGGGCGATGTATCGTTGCGCCTAGACCCGGTTCCGCCACAGGCCGGCTTAGGCATACTGCGGCAAATCCACCGACAACCCACCAACGAAGCCGCCACAGATTCTGGTCAGACAGACGGGACAGACACAAACCTCGAAAGCCAACATACTTCTAGGGATGTCTCTGACAAGCCGCTCGACCGGTTGTCATTTCATCATCCAACGGACGCCTCTCAGATCATTCCCATCCCCCACCTTCCAGGAGCTCTCATCACGACCATTCACAAGTCGCATCTGCAATCGATCCAACGCCTGACAAGCACGACCTTACCTGTCCGTTATGGTGAAGTCTTTTTCACTTCGACTCTGTCCGAGCCGACCTCATTCCAGCTGTCGCGAGTCGTCCTCTACTCATCCGAGCCCGTCGGCTGGATTCGATGCCGGTTGGAGCCGTGCTCGCCCAGCCACAGTGTGTCTCCGTCAAAGTCGGAGCTTTCGCAGATATACGTCCAGGCGCTGGCCTTGTTGTCACCGTATCGCGGGCTCGGGATCGCCACGAAACTTCTCGACGTGGTCTTACAGTCCTCAATCGCTCAGGCTGGTAGTACGGTGTGCATCTACGCGCATGTCTGGGAGAAGAATGAGGATGCCCTCGAGTGGTACGCGAAAAGAGGCTTCAAGCGCGTCATGTTGATTGAGAGGTATTACAAGAGGCTGAGGCCCGGTGGAGCTTGGATTTTGAGGAAAGAGCTGGATGGGCGCTGATTTGGGATGACCTCGATTTGTCGTATCCCCGCCCGCTCGAGCACTTGACGCTGTATTTTGCGAGCGGCCAGAAGGTAGCCAAAAACCTGATGTGCAGGTCCACTATTGGAAATCAGGTCCGCTGTTGGAAATGGCATGGACAGCCTCAGCGGAAACCCTGCATTGCTTGAGGCCGTCCACCGAAGAAAGGTTCTACGGCATTCAAACCTGCAGCATATACGATGGGATGCAAGTCACGGGCTTGATGAATCCCAAGAGCATGTCGAAAGACCCCCTGTGCAGGTTAGGAGGCTACCAAGCAAGCAGACTTCTCCCTTTGCTTCATTCCTGTGCTACGTTTGGGACACTGGGCGAGACGAGCACGGCGCACTTTTGGACAATACAAGGTGCTGCAGGTACTGGCAACCCGCCAGGATTCGATCAGGCATTATACGGATACAATTCGTGCACGAGATTTCCAGCTACCAGCCTCGCCGGCCGTGACAACACTTCTTCTCGCAAGGCACGTACACGGGAACGAATCCAGGAACAGGTGTCGTTGCAGTAGCTGGAGTTTCCCCAGTGAGCCTCATTCCAATTCTTTCTGGTCTAGCATATACAGTCCTCTGAGTCTTTGGGCCAGGAGCGAGACCATAGGTCGAAAAATAAAAAAGGTGTCAGCCCTCATAGTACAGATTGGACGTAGTCCTCCTCCATTTTCCGCACTTCGCGCTTGAAAGCTTCGACCTCCTTCCAACAGTCGAGAGGCTTTCTATCGTTCAACCTTAGGCAGTTGACAACATCTTGTCTCCTATTCGCCACGGGTCAGTAACTGGATGTGTGTTCAAAGGATATTTCCGCAACCCTGCGAGCGGCACGGCGGACATACGCTGATTCCACTTCTTTGGACAGTTCCTTCAGCACTTTCCTCTGACCCAAGGTTTGCTTCAGTTTCTCGATTTCTTGCTGCACCTTTTGCGAGCTCTGAGCTTTCCGCTGCTTTTCCTCGCCGCTTTCGGACGAGAGCAGGTCCGGGATCTGGAGCAACGAGTCCGAGGAGGCTGACGACCCGTGCTCTTCGGCCTCAGCGATCTTCTTCCGGGTTTCCTCGAAAATGGACGATTCGTGCTTCCGGACTTTTTCTAGTTCCTCGGCCACACGTTGAGCGATGTGGAGTTCGAGAGTCTTTGCGCGGGTCGAGTTTGTCTGCAGTCAACACAGTGTAAGTACAGTGTTTGCAGCTATTTGCAAGATTTCACGGGCTCGGGCACGGGCTGTGCGGGATCGGGGCGTACTTCTGAAGATGCTTGGAGGGAGTCGATTAATCTACCGAGAGAGTCAGATTCAGCCGGCATCCAGAATGGCGCGCTAGGTCTCTGAAGCACGCAAATGTTGGAGACTGGACACGCACTCTTGAGAGAATTGGATTGGGGTGTCGCTGGCAAACACATGTTTGGTGGACTCGTCGGGTTTGGATTGGCCTGCGCCCATGTTGGGCGGCTGGTGCTAGATTTTCAGGAGTGTAGACTTAGGCAATACTCGACTCTGGCATGCCTCAAGGTCGTGAACAGGCCATGCAGCTCAGGGCGTCGAGGTTCGAGGTTCGAGGGTTTAAAATGCTGCTTGTTATCGACCTTCAAGTCTTCGGACCTGAAGCTCCAATGAAGCCGGCTCTGGCCTAATAGCGGCAGGTGAGGAGATAAAATCTGCCCGGACCTCACGTGGGCGCCCGCCCAGACCCCGCCGCTTTTATCAGAACAGCAACATCCCTTTTACTCATCTTGCTCGCGTTCATCCTGAACTCGAGAATAGCATAAGTTGCCTGAGGCAAGCAGTCTCTCCGAATGGCCAGCGTTCATGATAGTTGGCCTCGTGCGCCATGTCCAACGAGGACTATATGCTACCTGTAGCATCAAAATCCGCACTTTCCTTTGCACGCCAACGTGAAGCGAACGGAAACATTGTTTGCAAGATACTACTTCAAGTATCCAGAAAAGCAGGGTCAAGTCTATTTCCCTCTAGCTACCGTGTTTCCACATGTTTCCTCCATGCACGGCGTGAGCGGAACCTGCCAATGGTAGGATCTACTTACTATCTTTCGTGTAGAGCAGCATTCCAAAGTCCTTCAATTGCTTCATTTCTGCCTCATTCAGAATTTCATATCGGTCGATCTTCTTTCGCAATACGGTTCGCCGGGGTTTTCTCGCCACAGTGTCCATGCTCGCAACGTCCATTCTCGATAGATCTCGACCATGGATTCAAGTCCCCTTAGCCTCTAGTTCAGCCAATTGTGTCTCCTCGATATAAGTCAATCGGTCGCCTCGTTTGATAATCGTCTCCAGAGTTCTGAGTTTGTCGTGTCTAGTAGTCCACCGGTAACATGGTAGCTCTGCTTCTGCTGGCCACTACAGGGCGTGTCATGTGTCAAGCCCATCTTGGGCGAGCGGAGCATATAGTACTACCATGGCACAACGTGTTCCGGCGGGCGGGCGGGCCAGAAGACACGTACCAGCCACGAATGCCTCGACGAAGTCAACCAGGCTGTAGAGACTCTGTGTAATGAATAATAGGCCGTCTAAAACAGCATAGGTACCGGAAGGAAAAACACCTCAGGTCAGATATGCCCAACTTCAAGGCATGAGATGTGTCCTTTCGTGTCCCCAGTTTGGAAGCTCTGGCCGGACCTTCCGGTTTCGACATTGGAGATCACCTCTCCGAAGAGGACCATTCATCCCTCAGCATGTCTGCTAGCCGTCGCATCGTACCGTTCGTAGTACTTTCCCAGAAGTCCACGATCTTGTCCATCAGGAGGGTTCGGTGGAGAGAACTGCGGAGGGTAACTCCCAGACAGAAGAACGGCCAGGCATAATAGTCGGCATAATAGTCCACTGATGGCTCGATGTTGATAGCAAGAGTCATGGCCTCGGAAATTAATTCCGAGAAGGATTGTTCGATCGAGTCGTTCTGCTTCATCATATGACGAAGTAGGATCCGGGCGGCGAGAATGTAGAGTTGAGGGCCCAGGAGGGGCGCCGCGTCACTTGGACAATAATAGCTCGACAGGCAGAGAGCTTCGTTCGCAATCGATTCTTCAGCACGACGTGGTGTAGAGTCCGCAGAACAGCTCGGAAAGTCATCGACGGGATACCCGATGTTCCAATTCTTCAGCTCTTGCTCAAGCTTGAGACATTGCTGCCTCTCCAGCGTGTTCTTGCTTCGAGAGTCCTGGTAGAGTAAGGCCACTTGCCGGACGTACGCGAACAATTTTGGCGGAGCTCCGAGAATTGGCAATTTGTAGGGATCAATTGCCCCATTGCGTACAAGCTGCCCTAGAGTATGCAGTGCAGTGTCAAAGGCGTCGTCGACAATCGTGGATCGACAGGCAGGAGATTGAAAAGGAATGCTCGTGGCGGTGTGGAAAATGAAAGCCTCGAGGGAAACGACACGATTCCAACCCAATCTATCTGGCAGGTCTTCTGGCACCCCTTGGTGCATGTGGTCACAACAAGATTTGATCAGGACTGCGGCTCCAACTAAATGGGTATGCACGTCTTTTGAGAGATAAAGCCGAGATCTCTGTGGACCACGATCAACATTTGCCGATAGATCGGAGTGAGACCGAGAATTGGGAGTAGAGCACTGACCTCATAGATGCAGAGGAGGAATATGGCGCGCAAGGCTACCGTTTCTGTTTGCTGCGAGTAGTCTCGAGCAAGATGGGCTCGGAGACCAGCCAAAGCTTTGGTATAGTAAGATTCGCCAACTTTACGATGACGGTCGTTGTCGGTGGGAAATTCCGCACCGGAACAGGCCATCAAGGCATTCATAAAGAAAGGGACTTCACATGCGAGCTGCAGACTTTGGGATATAAAGCCATCAACATATCGCCGGTCGGTGACAGGCCGGACAAGGTGAGGAACAAAAACCCTTCTCATAAAATCGAATAAAGGAACGTTTCGAGAATCCAAGTCTGTGAGCACAGGGGCGATGGATGGAGATGGTACGAGTGCAAGAGAGATGTCAAGTTCATATCCGCGGTGACCAGAGCTCGGCAAGCCATGAGAGAACGAGGACTCTGACGCGGAATCAACTTCGACCATCGGCTGGTCGATCCGGACCGGACTCTGCGATACCAGGAAGGGTGTCGCAGGTGATGATGATGATGCTTCATCTGTCCCAGTCTCAGTGTCTTCCATGAGATCTTGACGCGGACGTCCGAGCAAGTCCCCCGAGCCACCATCCCGCTGATCCGAAGGCCATGTACAGTGGATCTGCCTCTTGGAGCAATTGTGGCAGCAGACGGGGGATTCGTCACATTTTTTCCTGCGTCTTCTGCCTAGGTTAAGCGATGTATGAGCCGCTGCTTGATCATATGATTGAGACTGATTCAGCACAGGAGGCCACCAGCGGAGACTCACAGGGAAGACAGCCTGTCTTGGTACGTAAGTGGGCGGGACGTCGTCGAGGGGAGCGATAAGTCCGGGCTGGCCTAGCCTGCTGGTGCTGGTGCTGGACCTTATCCATCGCATTTCATGCCATTTCTGACGGAGTCTGTGGCATGTGTCAAGCAATAACAAATATGAATGGCAGCCCCAGGTTCAACCAGATTAGACTGCGCTTAGAGGAGAAGAGACGGCAGACGAGGAGACCAGACAAGATGTCGACGACCTGAGGTTGAGGTCACCCGAAGCGCACCCTCCTAAAGGCTAACCCTAAGAAGCCCTTATCAGTGCCATTGACCAATCGCGTCACTTTGCGACGCTTGGCTCCCCCACCCATCTTGTCGCCTGCGACTGCGACTACTTCTACATTCCTTCAATGTTCTTTTTGCTCAGCTATTCAGCCTCGTATCTGTCTTCTATCTCGATACCAGGTCGGCAATGGATCCCAAGTCGGCCATGATAGCTCCGCTGGCTCTGCTGGTTATCTCTCCTCGCCGCGATCCCCCTGGTCCTCGATGAGCCGTGGTATAAGAACCTACGGGTTCGACCATGCACTTGACCGATCCTAACATGATCTCATCAACTACCTCTCCCTAGTCAGCTTCAATTGCTCGTCTTGGTCCAAGCCCTGTCCAACATGTCGCAGCCTCCAGGAACCTATCTCATTGAGGGTATGCTGCTCTCTGTCCCTGATGTGATGGCTTCGCTTGGTTGACATCGTACCTATGTGTGACAGATCTTTACCGAGATGCTAAAGTCATTCTTCAACCTCGACCATCCAGCGATCCCAATGATCCCCTGGTAAGCAGCACCCAGGTCTCCATTTTACGGTTAAGATCGTGTCCTCTGATTGCTCGCTGCAGAACTGGCCGAGATGGCGGAAGCAGGTCAACTTCGCCCTCGTGTCCCTTTACGTCCTCTTGGTCTACGCCATGTCCGTCTCTCTTGATCCGGCGCTCACGAGATAGTCCGTCACAGCTGACACGCGTCTCTTGGTGGTAGGATTGACGTCGTCACCGTCACATGGTCCTCGATGAACTTGGATCTTGGCTTTAGCTACGAAATCCTCAACGATAGCTACGCCGCAGGTTGTGGAGCGCTTTGTGTGGGCGGCGTCTTGTTTCTGCCATTTGCCTTGAAGTATGGCCGCCGGCCTGTCTACATCCTGAGCTTGCTTATCCAAGCGGGGGTGAGTATCTGGTCCGCAAAGCAACAGAACGTCGCCGATCTCGTGCTAGTCAACACCTTGTGCTGCTTGGTCGGTGCGTTGGCGGAGGTCATGGCACAGATGACCGTGGTGGATATCTTTTTTGTGCATCAACGTGGCCGGATGAACAGCTTCTATGTCTGGACTCTCACCATCGGATCATCTTTAGCCCCCCTGGCCGCCGGTTACGTGACGGGGTCACAGGGCTGGCGATGGGTCTGGTGGTGGATGGCCATCTTGCTTGGAGGCTGCGCTCTAGTCTTCTTCTTTTGTTATGAAGAGACGAAATATGAAGGCCACATGATTCTCGGCATCCCGCAGACCAGCCATGCCCGTGAGCAAGCTGATCCAGTGGCCGAGACCGAAGACGCAAAGCCAGACCCCTCGTGTGTCGTCGATGTCGAACCTCCGACCGATCACGAGCTTGAAGACCCTGCTTCCGAAGTCAGGATCGACCCGACAATACCAAAAAAGTCGTACAGAAGTCGGCGGGCTCTCTGGACCTCTTCACCGACATCTCTGCGTTCCTTATTCAGACATAGCTACCAGCCATTCCTTATCCTGGTCAACATCCCTGCCGTGTCCTACATGGCCATTCTGAACGGAGCGACGACATCTGCCGCACTCATTCCCATCACGGTCTATTCAACATACATGACCTTGCCGCCCTACAATTTCAGTCCCGAGCAGATTGGGCTTCTCGGAATTCCCGCCTTCGTCGGCACCATGCTGGCCGCCCTCATCTGCGGGCCTCTCAGCGATTGGATGATCCTTCGCCTGGCGAAACGAAACCATGGCATCTATGAGCCCGAGATGCGGCTTTGGCTGATCTTGGCCTTCACTCCGTTTGTGGCCGCCGGACTGTTGATGTTTGGTATTGGTCTCAATAACGGCCTGCCATGGCCTTTTGTGTGCGTGGGTCTTGGATTGGCCGCGTTTGGGGCCACCCCGGCCAACGGTCTATCGTTGACCTATCTGACCGATGCCTACGGTGAGGTGAGTCGGTATTTGAGCACCACGGAGCTCTCTGTCCGTGGAGACCCCCGCTGCTGTTCTAGAAAACTGACGCAAATCTACATGCAGATAATCTGTGACTCCCTTATCGCGGTCGTCTTCGTCAAGAATCTTTTTCCGACGATTCTGGTGTTTGCGTTGACTCCGTGGATTGAAGGGGTGGGACTGTCGAATGTCTTCATCACCGTAGCGGTCATCGTCGCCGCCATCCTGCTCGGGAACTTCATCTTCATCATGTTTGGCAAGCGTTTCCGTATCAGATGTGCGGCAAAGTATCGTTCCTATGCGGGGCATGCTTTGAAAGGGGAGTAGACGACGACATGGGAGCTTGGGATCCGTCCGAAGCGTCTCCAAAGCCACAGTATGCACTCCAACCACTCAGCAACATCGACGTGATGAGTGATTCTGCTATCATGCTAGATCTAGATTGTTGCCGGGTTGCCCTAGCCTAGTAGGCTCATTGGAAATGAATGAGGAGGCCAGACCTAGACCTACTTCAAACCTCACCTCTTTGCTATGAACTACCTAAATACCCTAGTTCCTAATTCTCCGGGCATAGACCATCGACCCAGGCCCCTTTTTTCCTTTTTTTCTGTGCCCGTTCCGTTCGCGTTTGGGTCGTGACACAGACTGCAGGGTCCGACATACGCCGAAGAACAGATGACAGATAACAGATCTCAACCCCCAACTCCCAACTCTCTCGTGAACTTTCCCGAAGAAGAAAAGTGGAGGAGGCAACCCTGTTGATCCAATAGCGTCAACTTGCGCCGGCCAACAAGACACGATGCCATACTCTATACGGAAGACTCCTGACGAGCATTCATATGACAGACAGGTTTAGGTTTGGTTTAGCATGGACCCCTCAACATGTCGCCTCGACTGACAAGATAAAGGGCTGAGGGCTGCTCTCTCCTCAGCTCGGCCTCGGGTCGCTGGACTCTGCGACAAGCTACTTACTTACTGGTCAGACTGTACGGTGCGGTGCGATCTACAGTATCAAGCTTGGATCAGTATGGCACCAACCATGACCATCGTGAAGAATGCTCGGATTTTCACCTGCTCGCCGAAATCCAAGTCGGACGGTTTGCTGTCGGGGTCCATCGTCTTTGAGCATGGCTCGATCAAATATGTTGGGCCTGACGAGTCTGACGACGTGGCGCGGGCGACGGCAGCGGGCGCGGTGGAAGTGGACGCGGAGAACGGGGTGGTGACGCCGGGCTTCATCGACAGCCATGTGCACATTCTACATTTCGGGCTGTCGCTGAGCAAGCTAGATCTCTTCAAATGCACGTCTCTGGAAGAGATTCGAGCGCAGATCAAGGCTTGGGCCGTGTCGCATCCCGAGGAGCGGCGAATCTTGTGCAAGGCTTGGATGCAATCGTCGGTCGCGACCGAAGCGTTGGCCAGAGACCTCGACGACCTGGACCCGCGGCCCATCTACATCGAGGCCATAGACTTGCATTCGGCATGGTGCAACACGGCGGCCCTGGACGAGCTGGGAGTGGCGTCTCTGCCCGATCCCGACGGAGGAAGGATTCATCGCGACGCCAACGGCCGGCCGTCGGGCCTGCTGAGTGAATCGGCTTTCTTGGGACTGGCCATGCCGTTTCTGTTCAGCGTCTTGTCCCCGGCCGAGAGGCAGGCCTGCGTGCACCGCGCAGTCACCGCCTTCTCCGAGGCGGGATATACCGGCATCATCGACATGGCCATGGACGACGACCAGTGGGCAGCCTTGCATGCCTACCGACAAACCCACCCGGTGCCGCTCCACATCACGGCCTACTGGCTCGTGCCGTACAGTACCAGCGACGACGTGATCCAGACGCACCTGACCAAAGCCATCGCGATGAACCGAAAGTTCCATCCCTCGACGTCGCCCTCCTTTTGCGTGACCGGCATCAAGCTGATCGCCGACGGCGTCGTCGATGGCTGTACTGCTGCTCTGAGCCAGCCGTACGGGGCCAAGCCGGACCCGGTCGAGCCGATCTGGCCCGCCGCGACCTTGGCCAAAGTGGTGGCTCAGGCCGACGCCGCCGGTCTGCAATGTGCCGTCCACGCCATTGGCGACAAAGCCATCAGTCAAGCCATCGATGCCTTTGCGCGCCTCGAGCAGCCACAGCCACTGCGCCGCCGGCACCGGATCGAACATCTCGAACTCTGCTCGGCGGAAGATAGCCAGAGGTTGGGAGAGCTGGGCATCATTGCTTCCGTCCAACCCGTCCACTCCGACCCAGCCATGTTCCGCGCTTGGCCAGGCCTGATCGGCAGCCATCGATGCCAGCGGGCATTCGCCTACCGAGAATTCCTCGACGCCGGCGCCCCCGTGGCATTTGGCACCGACGTGCCTACCGCCGCCCATCACCCCTTCCTCAATCTGTACAATGCCACCACCCGACGATCCGCCATCGAGCCCGAGAGCCCCGACACCACGAACCCGCACTTTGCAATTCCCCTGGCCAGCGCCATCAAGGCCGCAACCGTCGGGGCCGCTTACACCCGTTACGCCGACAGTTGGACGGGGAGCCTCGCGCCAGGCATGAGCGCCGACTTCAATATCGTAGACTTGGACTGGGATCCGGCTGGCTTGCTGCAGGCCAAGGTTCGTCAGACTTGGTACCAGGGGAAGAGGGTCTTTAGCGCTTCCTTGTGATATGAAATCGCAATTGGACAAATACCGTCGCAAGTGACACGGTTGGTCAATGGCACTGGTAAGGGCTTCTTAGAGTTAGGAGGGTGCGCTTCGGAAAAATAATGAAATCGAAATGTCGGACAAATACCAACCCCAACACATTCTTGTCAAAGGTTGAAATGTTCCATGTCCTCTAGCAAAGGGTCGCAGGGGGAACGCATGCTACATAGTGTGCTCGCGTGGAACGACTGGGCTAGTAGTACTCACTCGGTAGTTATGTTATGTTGAGTAATATCCTGTTTAGCATGATTTTCCCATCCATTACCTGTTTTGCTGTCCATTAGGGGACGATTATACTCATGCTTTCAGAGAGTGGCACTGTAATGGGTATCAAAGAGCAAGGCTCTCCAGAGGCCCGATTTCTCTCGCTGGCCATGGACTGGAGTGGATTCAGGGGCGCCCAGCCTTGTCAGATATACTGACATAATTATTACAGTACTAACAGATAACATGCGGGTAATAATTCAAATTACAACCAGTACCAATCAATGCCCGGACATATTCAACCTACTATGCATACATCCCATCGTCACATGTATGCACAGGTTGACTGCTGACACCATCCATGCTCATGCACTTGCTCATGCACGCTGATAAATATCATTCGCTGACATGACGGTATGGTGTGGCCAAAACACTCCAAGTACATACGAGCTACCCTCATCGAGGCTACAAGTACACAAAGGAAACCTGCTCGCCCTTTAAATAGACTACTAGCCGCATACATGTATCCATCCCATCTGGTGTAGCATGGACTATCAGCTGGCTGGGACGGGACAGAAACACAAATAAACCATGGAAAAAAAAGGCATCATGTTCACGTCAAACTCGTCCATTGCTGAGACATGTATTATCAAGAGCCAATGCCGAAGAAAAGCTCACCGAGCGATGCATGAATTGAACCACATTAACATGCCAGAGAGAACCCACTCAACCAACCCTTTCGTATCCTGTCCTCTTGAAACCTCTCCAACAATGCATCTGCAAGGAATGTACACAAGACCCAGAGCGACCGTGGCACCCGGCTCAACTATGCTCAAGGTTGGACTGAACAGTCCCAAAGTCTCCTTCACAAGCCTGCAGCCTTGAGACTGCGCTCAATGCCTTTCTTTTTCTGCGCATCCAGCACCAGCAGATTCCTCTCCTTCAAAACCGCCTCCAGCGTGTCGACCACCTTGTAGAAACTACTGGCTGCCCCCTTCTCCTGGGTGAACTTCATAATGCTCAAATTGGCCTTGCGACCGTGCTCGAGGACGGAATACAAATATGCATGGAAATGGACAGGTTTGAGCTGCAGATCTGTCCTCTGGTTAGCATCGGCAACATCGGGAATCGGAAACCGGGGTTGAGACTGACAATTACAAGCATCGACGCGTCCTCGGACGACATCTGCCCCTCCTCGCTGTTCGGCCACGACATCTCTCAACCCATACTTGCGCCAGTCTTTCAAGATCTTGACCAACTCTCTCCGGGCCTTTCCCTTGTTGATCTGAAGGCAGACAACCCGAGCCGCAGGTTTGATATGGAAGAATTTAGCGAACCAATTCTGGTTGATCTCAATAGGACCAAGAGCTGCCGCTGCCGCCGCAGCATCGACGCTCGTTGCCGGAGGGTAAGCTGTGCGTGCGCCCAGTTTGTATTCCGAACAAGTATCTATTCCTCCTTCGTGGCTCGGGTCGTTTGGATGTGTCTCGCCTGAGAGGTCTCGCACGATATGATGCTCGACTCCAGACACCGGAAGATCGTCCCTCACCTTCGACGATTTTCCGAACATCTTTTGGAACCATTTTCTCTTCTTTTCCATGTTCAACTCGACATCCACCGACCCAGTCTCACTGCCTTTCGGTCTCTCAAGAGTGGACGAAGTGGCAGACTCGCTGGGCTGTATGGTTTGAGCCTCTTGTGGATCTGCCTCCTCCGCCATGTCTTCAGCATAAGGTGCTGACTCCAGCAGTTCCTGTGCACCCGACGTACGTTTTGACAGCCATGACCACTTGCGGGTAGCAACTTTCTTCGGTGACACGGGATTCTCATCAATCGTGTCCAACTCGGCTTTGGCGAAGCCCCGCGGATCATATCCACCACGAGCTTGTAGAGTCTCCATGGGGACGGGGCCACCTCGTAAGGAATTGATCGGCATCGCCTTGTTCTTGCGAACTTTCAGAGGCTCAATGCGCGCCAAGGGCGACGTTGGATCGGGAGTGACCAGTCGAATCGTGTTTTCGTTCCGGGTCCGCCCTCTGACAGGATCTGATGCTGCCCTAGAGCTCTCACCGCGATTGCGCTTCAAGTTTTCCATGGTATCTGCCGGTGACACGGAGCGGTAGTACCTACCGGTTACACTGGTATGGGTCGGGTCAGAAGCCGCGCGCTTCTCGTAGCTTCTCTGCTTCTCCAACTCGCTGTCGATGCGCTTGTCGACAGCCGCAAGCATATCAGCAAGCACGGTGGGATCGGCATCTCCCCAAGTGTCGATGATTTTCTGACGGCGCACGATCAACTCCTGGAGCACCGGAGTTGCTGGGAGAGGCCGATCCCGAATGCTGTCGGGTACCTTGTGGTTGTGTGCCGAACACGATGTTGATGAGGAGTCCAAAGGCGCGTGCGGGCTGACCTCGCTTACACTAGACACGGACGATCGATTGAACGCTTCTTCGCAGATCTTGCCCAACTCCGCACTGACCTTTCGTGTCTCGTCTTTCCAATAGTAGCTTGCCACCCGAGGCTTCTTCACGTCGACCTCGGAGCTGGATTTGCGAGGACGACGGTACTCGTGTGGAGGTGTGGGTAGGCTTGGTGTGCTCTGAACTTCCGACCACGGGATGGTCGTACTGCACGTTTGTGGTCGATCGGACAGGCCACTCTCATAAACCAACCCCCGTGGATATGGTCTTCCACCTCCGGCATGGTCTGGTCGTCGGCGAGAAAAACTCACTTGCCTCTTGTAGCTCCTCGATTTCTTGATCCGGGAATGGTGTCTGGCACTCGACAGAGAGCTTCTGGACGTTGCAGTCGAGTACGACGCACGCTTCTTCTGGATCAGCTTCTCTAGTTCCTCGGAGGTGAAACTGGGCAGAGCAGGAACCTCATCTTGAAGGTGCTGGAAAGCTCTATGCCGTGCACTCGAAGCGGAGCTCACCGACCGGGTCTCAGGCGTAGTGGCACCACGGCGAACAACGACCGTCGCAGGGGTTTGGCTATTCTCGGTGATTGGTGTTCTCGAAGCGCGATAAGGATCGTAACTACTCTGGGTCGCCTTGCTGGTCGCAGTGGCCGGGTTCTTGTAATAGCCCTCTCGCTGATTGTTGTCATCACTCACAATCGAAAATTGAGAGGCACGACGAGCATGGCCCCGACCATTAGCAGCACGCTTGTGCGGCTTCGGGGCGGGTCTGGATACATGATGGTAATCACTTGCCGAGTAATGAAGGGGGTCGCCCGGATAGTTCTCAAGCTGATCTTCTCTGAACTTCATCAACGCCCAGTAGAAGAGCTTTTCGTGGCTAGGCTCCTCGCTCATGAGTCTCTTGACCAACTCCTCCACCTTCTCTCCGTGCCAAAGGGTGGCCAGGTTTCTCAGAATCTCGGGGTCGATATCAGCCCGTCTGCTGATACGTCTCACTTGCTTTCCGACGATCACCGGCCGCGCGGCCGAGACCAGGGGCTCGGGAGCGACGAGGCTGGCATGGTACTTTTCGTATTTACACAGGAGTGGGTGAGACCAGATCTGCTCCATAGAGATTCTCTTCTCGGGCCGCTTTTGCAATATTCGTTGAATCAAGTCAGCTGCTTCAATGCTCAGACTCGGAGGCAGATAATATTCTCCTTTCTTGACGAGACGCAATGTGTTGGGCAACGTTCCGCCGTCGAATGGCAGGAAGCCATTGAGCATGGCGAAGAGGATGATTCCGGTGCTCCAGATGTCGGCTTTATCGCCGCGGTACCGTTCTCCTTGGATGATCTCCGGTGCAGCGTAGTGTGGACTCCCGCACGAGGTGTTTAGCCAGGTGCCGTCGGGTTGGAGGGCCGCCATGCCAAAATCCGCCAGTTTAATGTTTCGCTGGGCGTCGAGGAGAATGTTCTCAGGCTTGAGATCTCGGTGGCAAATGTTAAAGCTGTGGCAATACGATAAGCCTGCGATGATCTGACGATAGAGTCTGGCAGCCTCTTCCTCGGGGAGAGCGCCGTTACTGGAGACGTAATCGAATAGCTCGCCTCCTGAAACATACTCCAGCACGAGGTAGAGCTCACCTCGGTTCTCCCAGATGTCATAGAGATTGATTATGTTGGGGTGTTCGATCAGTTTCATGATGACGACCTCGCGCTCTATACCGAACGGCATGGTTCTAGGACCAGCGGCGATCATCGCAGAGGAATCTTCATTGTCCATACGCGCCATACTCGCCGACTGCACCAAAGCAGCTGACTTCTTTGAGACGATCTTGACAGCCGCAACCTGACCAGTCATGGCGTGTTTCGCCAGGCGAACTCTTCCTGTGGCCCCCTTGCCCAGAGTCTTTCCCAGCTGCCATGGTCCGACATGGGTCTTCCTCTCTCTCTTTCCTTTGACGATTGCCGAGGCTGCAGACGCCGTGGAGACTTGTGAGACCCGTTTGGTTTCTGCGGCAGCCTCGTCTGCGATGGTTGATAGCCGCTTGTTTTCGATGGCTGGATTTTTCCCCGCCCCTTTCTGTCGGACGGACAGATTACCGTCGGGTTTGAGAGATTCATGATGAGGGAGGCGTGGTGAGGATCCAGGGTGATGATCGGCATACCGCCTGAAAGTTACACCCGGAGTCGGGGACACTCTGGGTTGTGTTTCGGCAAGAGCAATTCTCTTCGTGGCCGGTCTGCCTGTCCGATATTGACTCGGTGTAGGAGTGACAGGCAGCCGTTCGGTGGCTTTGTAGGAGGAGGACATGCTGACATTAGTCAAGCAGCTTCCGTTTGATCTGCTCTACGGAACCTGTCCAACGAAAGTCTACATGTTGTGAATTAGTCAGGTTATGTCTTTCTTCGACCGTGCAACCTACCTTTTGGCCCTTTCTAATCGTCGTTGCGGAGACGGAAGAAGCACGACACCAAAGTCCAGGTGAGCTGGATGGATGCGCGCTAGTTACCGTTGGCTCGAGGTCAACAAAGCGCGTAGTGAATGTTATGCGGGTGTTGATTCTGCCGGTACCCCCAACAGAGCCTGAACTACCTGCACAGTAAAATCGTTGACACAACCATCCACATTGTGCTTAAAGCTTCCCGTCAACACTTCTTGTGTCCTACACTGGACATTGAACAAGACAGCAGTGTCGGTTCTGTCGACCAGTGCAGAAGAGTATATTGTTTGTTGTGGCCAGGGTCACTGGATTCCTGATGTTCGCGGCTGTGATATGATTGGATCTCGGTGAGGAATGCTGGCGCATGGGGCATGGAGGGATGTTTCTAGGTAAGTCGAGAATGGAGTCCAAAAACCAAAAACCGGGCAGCACGCAAGGATCCAAAAAGAACGACGCGAGGAAGCAAAGGACTCTCGATGCCTGAGTTGCTTGGACGAGAAGGAGAGAGGATTCGATGAGGATTGGCGGGCACGTAGTCGACATGCCAGAACTTGCGTGGCAGGTGCAGTGGCCGTCCATGACTCTTCCATCGCTCCTTATCAATAGCAAGACACCTAGGTGCACAACAGGCCCATGGGGAGCAGAAGTCAGAACCGAAGAGTGCTGGAGCAAGAGGTGCGAAAGACGATTAACAAACTACCTACTCAACTGGTACGGGGTGCTTTCCTCAACACCGCCAAATACCGCAGCCGGTTTGGCCCATGGATTTATGAAACAACCACACCGTCACCATTGATGCGGCAGGACAGTGTCCAGGGAAGCAAAGGACAATGCGAGCGAGCGCATCAGCATATATGGTGATGCGCCACGGGTCCATCTGCTATTGTCCGGCTGTCGGGGGACTATGGAGGACTATTGAGCTCATTTCGACGGGCACAGAGACAGACAGATATGTACGGAGACAGTACGGAGAATGTCTCGCCTGCAGCGAAGTGTCAGGCCGGGTCAGGCCCGTGCAAACGTCAGCAGTGGAGAAATTGATGGGTGATAAGCGGATTTCTCGCGATGCTAGGCGCTTATCCGTACACGTTAGTGACCTCTAGAGCTGTCAAGCGCCAGCTAAGGCAATAATTTAGGCGTGGGGTACCACTAAAAAGTGGCATTTAGTAGTGCTAGTGGCCCCAAAGCGGCCTGAGGGCTCCTTAGGCCCTCTTAGACCTTGTGGGGGAGCCCACCAACACCGGCATCTGGCACCTGCCTGGTGATAATGGCATGATAATGCGGCACTAGTCCCATTCTATTCCTGGCCGCTTACGTCGACCAGCCTCCTCACTCGTGATTCTGCGACACTGCTTGCGACATCCCGTCCTGCGGACAGCGGACTGCGGACTGCGTGCGGACGGCACAATCCCCATTTATTGTATCCCGTACCTACCTTACCTATGTCATCCGTTCGCAGTGCATTATTACACTTCGATTGCGAATACGGCTGTGTTTTCGCTTCTGCCTGCAAATCCTGCAGTCCTACACCTGCTCCTCACTCCTCGCCCCTTCGCTCCTTCGCTCCTCTCTCCTCTCTCTCACCACCTCTCTTCCATCGTCCTCTTCACCCTCATTTCTAAGACGAGAGCAGCATCGTTCCGTCGTCCGCCTAGCTCACCATGAGAGTTCTATCAGTCCTCTCGGCGGTAGCTGCCGCCTCGGCTTTCGTGATCCCAGATCATGCCACTCTCGAAGCTCTGTCCCTGCAGAACCAGGACGTTGAACAACCGGCAGAACATCCCTTCTGGGAGACAGCTCGTAAAGCCGAGAACTTTTGGGATGACCTTGAAGAAGAATTCACCAAGGCCACCGATTGTGCCAAGCACAGATTCACCGAGGTCGCCGAGTCGGCCCACGAGACTGCTGTCAAGTACGGCGAACAGTTTCAAGACGCCTTCGCAGGTGATGCCTGGTTAGATACTGCCAATGAAGATCTCGATCTGATCGATGAGCCTCCTCACCACGGCCCTCCACACCATGGCCCGCCGGGCCGCCGTCCTCCTGGCAAGAGGCCACACCATCCTCCGCATCACCACCTCCCCAATGAGACTGTCTACCAGCTGATCTCCAAGAGCAAGTACACCACCAAATTGGCTGCCGTCATTGACGAGTTTCCGGATCTCGTCGAGCTTCTCAACGGCACCAAGGCCAACTACACCGTCTTCGCGCCCACCGACCGCGCTTTTGAAAAGATCCCCAAGCACGCTCCGAAGCCACCCAAGGAATTCTTAAAGAAGCTTCTCACATACCACATCTCGCCGGCGTTTTATCCAGCAGGCCGCGTGTTAGTCAGCCGTACCATCCCTACAGCTCTTGAAGCCGAGTACATTGGCAAAGTGCCACAGCGGATCTCCACCCAGGTCTCACTCCGAGGCCTAACCCTTAACTTCTACTCCCGCGTCGTCGCCATTGACATCTTCGGCACCAACGGTGTCATTCATGGCCTCGACTCCCTGCTTCTTCCTCCTCCCAAGGTGGTTGATATACTTTCTCTCTTACCTGGAGAGTTTAGCACCCTCGACTATGCTCTAGAGAAGACTGGCCTTTATTCGCTCTTCAACGACACCTCGAGCCACAACGGAGGCACGCTGTTTGCACCCTCCAACTTTGCCTTCCAGCGTCTCGGACCCAAGATCAACGCTTTCCTCTTCAGCAGGTATGGCCAGAAATTCCTCAAGGCGTTGATCTTGTACCACGCCGGCGACAATGTCACCTTGTACTCGGATGCCATCTACAAGCTCGATGCGGACTCGTCTCCCCCACACCACAAAGTGCCCAAGGGACATATTCACGTGGACCTCCCCACAGGCCTGAAAGGCAAAAGCTTGAGCATCGATATTGGTCGATATGGCCGGTTGATCACCATCAAAATCAATGGCTTCACCCGAGTTAGCGTGCTTGATGGTATCGCCGCCGACGGGGTCATCCACGTAGTCCCGAACGTGCTCATCCCGCCCAAGACACCCGGCGGCCCGGGCGTTGCGGAAGATGACATGGATCTGGACGAGTTCAAAGCAAGGTTGGCTCCCTTTGTCGAGGGAGAGGACGACAGCTTCGAGTGGGTTGAGGAAGACCCAGGCGAGCTATAGCGGCAGCTTCCAAAAGGCGAAACGCCGCGGGCAGCCTCGAGCTTGCAAATACATTATCGGGACGTGTATGAATTGTGGATAGCGATGCGACTACGACTGACGATCCTTACTGCCATTTGGTCTTGAATTACCGATCTGGGTTTATAAGGAGTTTTACAAGAGACACAATCCAGGATGAATATATACGTAATCATCACAATGTGACTTGTGCGTTGGTACCTCGTTGCTGACCTGACATGGCACCCTCCCATGCCCCTACAAGCCGACGTTGGTAGTGATCGTCAGTTACCACGCCGTGTCGGCGAGCTGATGGGATGTAGGATTCAAGCGGTATTTCAGTAATGTGTGTCGGTGAGCTTTTCCGTGACAGTCTGATCGTCGACATCCACGCCATCGACATACCAGCGTCCCTCGATGCCTTCCTCCGGCACCGCGACGCCATCACCATTTCTGCCGAGCACGATGTCGTTGGCGCTCATCTGCCTCTTCCTCATCTTGCCAGATTCCCGATCAAAGGTCCAGTCTTCGAGGCCATAGCATCTCTTCCACTTCATGCCGTCGTGGCTGTCCTGGTACTCATACCAGAACTGCACGGCGATCTTGTCGTCGGTGAAGGCGAACAGTTCCTTGCGCAGGCGATAGTTCTTTTCCTTTTCCCACTTTTTGGTTAGAAACTCGATGATCTTCTCCGTGCCTTGGAAGAAGAAGCCACGGTTGCGCCAGACGCAGTCGACCGTGTACCCCTTGGACACCTGTTCCGGATTGCAGGTGTTCCACATGTTCTGGGCGAACTTGACCTTCTTGCGTGCGGTCTCGAGGGTGTAGGGGGGTCGAAGTGCTGCCATGATGTCTGAAAGGCAGTAATACTGGTAGAGCGAGATTCGATGTCTGACTCGTGTCAGAAGCAACGGTACCGAGAGTCCGAGAGAGAGCCCGTTTATATAGGCAACTAACTCTCCCACCGACCTCGATCCCAGATACGTCTAAATGATGACCCGTGTTCTCACGGTTGGCAGTGGCTTGAATAACGGCCTCAGCGTCGTCTCGGTGGACCACAGCTGGTCTTTTTTCGCCTTCAGTCTTGCTCCGTCCAATCCAGACACTCAGGATCTATCGCCACTTGCAGCCGGCTGGGACTAGACAGATACACAAAAGCAGCAGGACGAAAACGGCAGGTCATCAAGACCCAAACTGGGCACAATGCGAGAGAAGGCGGGTTGGGTCTGCCTAAGCATCCATTGAAGCATCTGGAACTCCACGGCGCTTGACCGGGAGCTATTATGTCAGTGTCCCAAGACGTGGGTGGTGGCCCTGGTGAAGTGGACGGCGGTTGGCCGTGATGGCTTCTTGTTCAAGTTCGGCGGAGAGGGCGAAAAGCAGCATGAGCTGTGCGGCTAAAGCAGCGGTGGCTTAGGCTATGCGATAAGATAAGATCGCGGGCCCGATTTCGGTCGGGGACTGGAGGGGTAGAATGAACCGCGGGCCGCTCACTTTTCGGAGACCTTCTACGGCGGTGTGAGGTGATTGCTGGCATCTATTATTGCATAGGTACCTAGGTATTACTATTATCCGCAGTGCCCTTCTCTCTCTTTCTTCTATCCAGCACCGCTTGATTGACAGATACGCCTGCTCGCTGCCACTGCCCAGTTGCTCGTTAACTTTCACCAGTAGTACAACATGTCTGGCCTCAAGCCGGGAGATTCGTTCCCTGACGACGTCGTCTTCTCGTAAGTTCGAACACCAACTGCCCACCCCCCTTGAATTACTCGGCCTCATCTGCGCCCCTGTCGACCTGGCAATTCCACAAGTTCCAGCCGCTCCCCCGATATTCTGTGGAGGTGTTCTGACCGGCTGTCTTCCTCTCTGCAGATACGTCCCCTGGACGCCGGAAAACGCGGCGATTACCTCGTGCGGCATCCCGCAGAACTACGCCGCCTCGAAAGAATGGAAGGACAAGAAGGTCGTGCTGTTCGCAGTGCCCGGCGCCTTCACACCCGGCTGTTCCGCTCGCCATCTGCCCGGGTACATTGAGAAGCTGGATGAGATTAAGGCCAAGAATGTCGACATCGTGGCCGTGCTCGCGTACAATGACGCGTGGGTCATGAGTGCCTGGCAGAAGGCGAATGGGATCAAGAACGACGACATTGTGAGTCTTCTCAGACGTGCATGGGCGGACAGACATGTCGCAAGCGTGGATAGACACATCAAGCACTCAAACATCGGCCCAAACATCGGCGTGCCGTGAATTGTGCTAACCAGTTGTTCGCGGCCAGCTCTTCCTCAGCGACCCCGAAGCGAAGTTCTCCACGTCGATCGGCTGGAACCTCGGCGAAAGGACTGCTCGATACGCCATCATCATCGACCACGGCAAGATTGTATATGCGGAGAAGGAGCCTGGACGAGACATCTCGGTGCGTCGACTTAATTATCCCTTTCTCCCAGAACTTACTTTCTGCTCTTGCTGTTCCAGAGGCTCGGCCGTCTCGATTCGCTTTGCCGAGAGTCAGGGTTCTAACTCGAGTTCGTTGTGTTAGGTTTCCGGAGCCCCGGCCGTCCTTTCCAAGCTATAAAGCATCGGCCACTGACGGTCCTTCTCTGCTCGTTACTGGCGATTGGACCTGTGCTACTGATCTGCGGCGGTCGCCAGCTCAATAGAAACCTGAGGCCTGATCGACTGTAGAGGCAGGTACGACCAGGATAGAAACGACAATAGAAGACATGAAAATGGAATCAAATTCAACTGGCTACCCGCCTAACCCAAGCCTATGTTCGTGGTTTCGTGGTTCCGTGACTTTCCCTCTCTCGCAGATCTCTACGGCGGGATGAAGAACGTTACGCTATCTAGGTGTTACGGAAGGTGCAGTAGATCTTCAAACTCAGGGAGAGTAACTGGCGTTGTCGTTGCCGTTGCCGTTGCCGTTGTCGTTGGCGGCTTTGCGCTGCCGGTGATGGGCTGAGAGAGGTCGAACTCGACTTCGTTGGCATCGTAAAGCATCGGGTCCCAGCCTCGCGTGACGGAAAAGGCGTCGAAGCGTTCCGGCAGAAGCGGTTCGGTGGTGGCACCGCGCGACGGCAATCTCTGCTGACTATACGACTTGAAAGCTTTGATCTCGGCTTGGAGTTCTGTGATACGATGGTGGAGCTTTGTAACGTGGTCTGTTTGCTTGGTATATGACCGGATGAGGTCTTGGTGCTTCTCGTTTATTGTCGTGAGCTGGTGCTCTAGGCCTTTGACGTGGCGCTCTTTCCTCTCACGCAGGGCGCGTTGCGAGGCCCGGTTCTGGGCTCTTCGACGCTGTACAGGAGGGGACGTTGGTTAGCCAGCACTCCCGGAATCGGGGCGTGTCCCGCGGGTCAGACGGGAGCTGCCGCGTGTCTCGAAGGTGAAGGTCAGACCCTGAACGTACTGTTATTTTGGAGCGAGGAATGACTCCATTGTCTGAATCAGTCGAGGTTGCGGACTGGGCCGGGGGTCGGTCACACCCGCCCGATTCATCGAACAGATCGAGATCGATCGACTCCCAGGTCTGGACGGAAGGATCAACGCCCAAGGACCCATCTGGAACGAATGGGAACCAGCCATGTGTGAGCTGCCGAGAACTATGTGAGCGGCACATTCGAAACAAAAGGGATTCGACAATCCCACGTACATTTGGCGAGCTCGTCTGCTCATACTCGAGTTCTGGCATGAAATCAAAGTACGAAGCCCGCTCCGACATTGTGTTTGAGAGTTTGAACAAATGTTGCACCGGTAGAAAAGGCTGGTCTGCCTGAGATGCTGCTGTGTTAGACCATGTATCCCTGTGCTCGACTGGGGGCTCTGATGACTGTGAGGCGTGACATATCGCCACCGAGGGCTCTGAGACAGGGACAGGTCTTCAGTCGAGACCTTTGTACAAAATCAAGAGGCACGGTTTAGATGGTACCGAAGATGACCCCTTGGATGAAACTCAGTATCTGTACTCTGTAGTACTCCGTATACTAATATGTCCAATGGGAAGGTGCCGTTGCACTTCCCAAAGAGGATTGGAATCCTCGGATGCCTGAGTCGCGCTCCCCGCAGATGGCTCTCCCGGTGCCACCGTCCACTGTCTCTCAGCGAATCCACGGCCATCGCCAAACTCGTAGTGGGATAAGCAGCCAAGTCGGGGCCAGGTAGGTGCTAGGGAAATATCGGCGGGGCTTAGGGGCCTGATGCTCACGTAATAAGAGCGGTCTGAGGGTCTGCAGGTGGTCTCTGTGGAAGAAACATGTTCAGCAGATCCTGCACTGCAGGGGATCCGCCGTGCCCTCTGTAGAACGACCGGGCTCTGTTCTTCCTACCGGTGTTATCGCTTGGCTGACTCACAGCGGCGCCTGTCCATTATGGACATTCCTGGTGGTAGGTGGGTGGGATAAATAAGGCTCACACGGAGATTCCAAGGTTGCATTACGAGCCTGCCCGTACTTCGTATTTGGTGTGCCGTACTTGGCGTACCGATAATACGGAGGAGTATTTGGGCAGTCGTGCCAGGCAATAGAGTCTATTGGCAGTACCCACCCACGTACCTATACTTAGCCCTCGCTAGGCCTGTTGAGGTATAGACAGTACTCGGTCCCTACCCTGAATTACTCCAACGCTGGCTGACTCAGCCCGTGCACTCCCACCGTACCACGTGCCACCCACTTTCCCGACGATTCTGTACAACGACTCTCTACAGAGTAGTATCTCCCACCGGTCCTCCCCTCCGTCTTCACGAGTCGTCAACGGTACACTGGTATATTCCATCATTCCGAATCTACCTTATTACGATATTCTTGTCCACGATCCGGCCGTCTGGTTTGGAAATGACGCGATAATACATTCCACCACGACAACTCGAGTTTTTTCCTCTGGAGGTGTTTTGAGCGTACGCCTTGTCGTGCCGACTTGGGCTCTGTGTAAGAGGCGCGACGGCGACTACAAGCCACATTCGAACTAGGATGCGAACAAGCGGCGAGTTCGTCTGATGGCCAGCCACAATGAGATCTCTCCTAAATCGTTCACCTTCTTGTTATACAACACTCCTACCCACAGTGCCCATCATCGACGAGCGGTAAAGTCCCACGTATCGAGCAAGTACAGAACTGCCGTGCGCTTGCGCCAGCAAGCGCTTGCCCGCCATGCTTTGTATCACCACGACGACCGCGTGGAAGACCCACGGCCCAACACTGAGGAGGTTGGACCTGCGGTGGACGAGCGAAGAGGGTTGACATCGTCACCCCTGCAAAAATCCTCCCCCCTGAAAATGGGCTTCGGCGGTACCAGAATCGACCCTTTCAACTCTTACCCCGGTCAGCAGACACCATGCGTTGCGGGGGCGCTTGACTATTATACTCAAGTTCTCTCGCCCCTGCATCAACCGTTGCTGGTAGCGGTCAACGTGGCCAACCCGACGATGAGCTGGGCGTTTCCCGTGATTATGTCGCATGAGAGTGCCTTTCACGCGGCTGTCGCGCTGAGCCAAGCATATCTTGAGAAGGCTCGATGTTCCACCGCCAGCCCATCTCAAGAAATCTACTTTCACCGATACAAGGCCGCGTCGATCCTTCGCGATCAACTTTTGAAGCTAGAAGGTCCTCCGGATGATGGCATACTGGTGACGGTGCTTGCGCTGGCGTCTCTCGATGTCATGTACAAGCAAGATCACTTGTCAAGCCGCAAAGGCGTGGCGCTCATGGTCGCTATGAAAGGTGGCCTCGATAATCTCGGGCTCCGTGGGATTGTGAAGGCATTCCTCATCCAGTTTGACTATTTCTGGACGCTCGAGACCCGGACGCAGACCATTTTCCCTCTGTCCAAGCCTTCAAAACAACGGGTATATCCTCAATATCCTTTGCAGGACCCAATCCTTTCCATCATCTCCACCCTCCCATCGGGCTTCGCGGCAATAGCTCGCCAGGGCAGTCTGGGCGTCGATATTATCCACATCCTGTCGAGAGTGAGCATGTTCCTGCACTTTAAAACCTCGAAGTTGCCCCTCGTAATCGAGAAGGATCCTGTGCCGGAAGGTCAGGACTATCCGGATATCTTCGACGCGTGTTCTTGTCTTCATTCTGCAGCTTCCACCAGGCATAGTTTGGAGAAAAATATATGTCTTGCTATCATACTTTTCAGCTTCGATATTCATACTCCGACTGACTCTCATACCACCATCACTGCCTACCGTGGATCACGACAGGAGCTAACGAGGTCACTTTCCTTCACGCCACACCGGAATCCGGATGAGAGAGCGTGTTTGATATGGATCTGGATGGTTGTAATTAGTTCTTGGAGGGTCAATGCGGCACTGTCCCATGAAGGACTGTCGTTGAGCCGGATGTTTTGCACAAAATTTGAAGAGGCTCGCACATGGACCTCTATCGAGACGGCCATGCGTCGATTCTTTTGGTATGATCCTCTGAGCGAAGGATGGAAGACCACCTGGAGAGAAGCGCTCAGTGAGTATGACACCCAGGACACGAGGGACATGGTACGTCCTACGGGGTCACGGTCCATGGTGACCTGCAGTCCCTCGATTGCAACCTCCCCGACGGCAAGACAGTTTCCAGAAAGGTCAAAACCCCCCTTGACCAGCTCCAGAGGCACTGGAGGAGAGGGCTGGTCGACAGGTCCTGAGATCTCGGATAGAACCAGATATGAGCCCGCAGGACAGACTGCGGACGGCTTGGAGGAGTCTGCGGTCGTATCTCCGTGTACCGTTCAGCTACCGCCAATGTTGACGCTTGAGACCTACCTCGGACAGATATAGTGAGGAGGCTGGATGGCAGGCGCAGAAGATTGTCCCATTTCATCCCTGTCTTGCCCAGGAGCATCCAAGAGGAAGCCGCCCAGGCACAGCACTCACTACGTGCTCTTCGACCGGGATCTCGGGTACCTCCCGCAGACCAGCCTTTCAACTCACGCCCATCGTTGACAAGGCCTCGCCTTGCTGAGGCTGACAAACGAGGTGAGAGTATATGATCGACTGGCTTGACACAATTGCACCGAGCTCTGACAGGCAGCGCACCAGATATCATCCTGTTGTAGAATGGCAAGCTCCACTGGCCGAGGCAACATTGATGGTACTCGCAATGACGACGGCCATGGCGGTGGATCTCACGTCGATGCTGGCACACCAATGGCCGAGGACGCGGCCGCACACTGTCACGAGCGTCGGTTCCAGGAACTCACAAAATCGCCTGCCCATGAAGGACTTTGTGGAACTCTCTGCGTACATTGAACAGTCAATCATCATCTGAGGAGAGCGAGGGAAGCCGAGTCGACGGTGTTCGATCTTAACGGAGCAGCCAAAACACTCGATGCTTGTTCCATCTCATGGCACGCCACTCTGGCAACAACCTATTATGATGTGCTCCGGGAGGTTCATATACAGATCTTGGAATCTGACGCTGTCACGACCTCTTGCCCATGGCTTTCACATGAATACATGCGATAAGGCACACCAAAAAGGGGGAGCCTGATGACCAAGAATATACGGATAATAGTAGCGGAACGCCATGTCTATAAAGCGGCAACCATATTCGGGCAATAAAGGACCATTCTCCATATCTCGAGTCCTCCACGTTCAGTTTTAGCAGTGCACTAGTGCTAGCCACGCACTAAAGTAGACGCTTGGCAACCCATCAACATCTGGCCAGACACATATGGTCGACATATGTGTCTGGCCCAACTTCCGTCCCTAATGTTCTACTTAGAGCCTCCGATCCGACGTCGAGCTGGCGTCTGCGATTGTCTATCAATGTCGTCCCTGGTGATATAATTCCCGAAAAATGATGTTCGGACCTTGATCACTCTCCCCAACACCATGCCGCCTCCCTCTGGCTTCTCCGCAATCCAGAAGCCTTCGCAGCTATCCGGGCGAGATTCCCTCGAACTGGCCTCGCTCGCCGACTCTGAGCCCGATGAGCTTCCCGACTCCGAGACCTCTTCCCGATCCGGCGTCTCCTCTCAACGTCTTTCCTTCGAGAACGAGGACCCTTTGGACGACGCGAACCCGGCGGCTCGCGACCGCATCCACGGGAGGTCTTACTCCGTGTCGTCTGCCTTTGACTTCACCCCGGCGCTCTTCCCTCTCTCCTCGACCGGCGGAGGCTACACCGCGCTCGGGAATCCGTCTAATGTTTCCCTTTCCCTCGATCGACGTGCGGCGTTGCAGAGCCTGGAGAAGAACAAAACGTTGACATACTTGAATGGCCTTTCCCTGGTGGTCGGATTGATCATCGGCTCGGGGATCTTCTCTTCTCCAGCACAAGTGAACTCTCACACTGGATCTCCGGGAGCCTCGTTGATTGTCTGGACGATCTCAGGAATTCTGGCATGGACGGGTGCCGCCTCGTACGCAGAACTGGGAGGCGCTATCCCCTTAAATGGAGGTGCTCAGGTGTACTTGGCCAAGATCTTCGGTGAGATTGTCGGCTTCCTCTTCACCTGGAGCGCGATCCTGGTGCTCAAGCCCGGGTCATCGGCCATCATCGCCATCATCTTGGGAGAATACCTGGTGCGGGCGGTGATCGGCGCCGAGGTCGAGGATGTCAATCCTTGGGTCAACAAGATACCGGCCTTGGTGGCCCTGATGCTTGTCACGCTGTTCAACTGTGTCTCGACTCGCTTTGCTGCACGGCTGGGCGATCTCTTCATGTTCTTCAAATTCCTCGCGCTGATCGCCGTCACCATCATCGGCATCGTGGTCGCAGTTACCGGGCTGTCGTTCAACGGCCCGGCTAACCAAGACTGGCGGGACCACAACTGGTTCGAAGGCACCACGACCGACATCTCCAGCTGGGCTGTCGCGCTCTACGCCGGCCTCTGGGCGTTCGACGGCTGGGATAATACCAACTATGTGACGGGGGAGTTCAAGAATCCTAGCCGCGACCTTCCCCGTGTGATCCATACGGCCATGCCTGCCGTGATTGTTTGCTATCTCCTTGCCAACATCGCATACATCTTCGTTCTGCCACAGGAGACTATTGACAAATCCAACACCGTGGCCGTGCAGTTCGGCAGCAAAGTCTTCGGCCCTGTCGGCGGGCTCATTTTGGCATTGATTGTCTCGGCGTCCTGCTTCGGGGCGTTGAATGCCACGACGTTCACATCCGGCCGACTTGTCTACGTCGCCGGCCGCGAGGGCTACCTCCCTTCTGTGTTCGGCAAGATTGGGTTCGGATACACCTCGGGCCCGGAGACGCCCATCAGTATGCCGCTGAACAAACTGCGCGAGCGGTCCTGGCTGTCGAAGTTGCTGGGCCGGCTGTTTGGCGACGAGTCCATCGGGCTGGGCTACACCCCGGTCAACGCGATGCTGCTGAACATGGTGCTGTGCATGGTCTACATCTGCCTGGGAGAGTTCAAGACTCTCATCACCTTCTACGGTGTCGCCGGCTACACATTCTACTTCCTGACCGTGTTGGGTCTGATCGTGCTGCGCATCCGGGAGCCGCACCTCGAGCGCCCTTACCGGACTTGGATCACTACGCCCATCATCTTCTGCTGCGTCAGCCTGTTTCTCGTCAGCCGCGCCGTCGTCGCCCAGCCGTTGCAGACCGTCATTGTTGTTGCGTTCGTGGCCAGCGGCATTCCTGTGTATTTCTGGCGCGTCGCTGGGCGCGATGACCTGACCGGGCCCGGGCGGAGAGAGCGAAAGTTCTGGAGGCGTTGGGGTAGGACTTGAAGAAGCTCTTTAGTTTAGAAGCGAAGCGCCGAAGCTTGAGCTACCCACGGCACAGATACAATCACCGTCTGCAGCGTATTGACCTTGTTTGAGTTCTCTTCTCCCAGTGACATGACGCGGAGCTCTTGTGGCACAGGTGTCAGGTCTGCATGCTACGGAGTACTCTATCCGTACTCGTACAGCCAGCCAGCTGTTGGGACACTGTGCTACTGTCCAGGTCCCACAGATTTGGGTGGACCCTTGTCCTGTCCACGGTTGGATAGAACACATACATACATACATACCTAATGATTTGAAAGTCGCTGGGTAAATTAGGTACGGATACTCTGTACGGATACCTACGGAGTACTGTATCCGTAGCAATGTTCTTCACGGTCGACGCCTCATCCGTTCCCGTGACAATGTCCATGGCCTACACCAAGTTCCGGACGCTGCTGAGCGCTCTCTTCTTTATATCTCCATATACAATGACCAGGATCTTCCTTGATGGCTTGTACAGTACCGCAAGGCACCGACCATCTCACCCCGCTGAGGGCATGGGGTGCGTTACATCCTAAGGGCCTAGCACCCAGGTAAGCCTCCTAAGCCTAGCCAGCGCCTCTAGGGCCCGAAAGACGCATACCCCATATTCGGTATGTAGAATATGCCCGACGGTGATCGTCTTCGACGCCAGAAAGCCTCAATGCCTGATCGTCTCATCCTCTCCCGCATCATTTCCAGCCGGTCAGCCCGCCCGTCTACCGACCATTGCCACGGCGGTCATCGCGAGTAGTCTTGTATCTTCTGACGGCTCCGCTACGCGTCGGTGGTCTGTAATTAGATTCAGTTGCCACGTCGGTGCTGGTGTTGCGATTCTCTCGCTGATCGGCTTTTCCAGTAACATCACCGGAAACCCGCTCGGCTTTCGAGGTTGCTGTGGTCGAGTTGAGGCTGCGGTAAAATGTCTCGATTTTGTCCAACTCGGAATTCTGCTCGGCTGTCGCACGCACCTTAGACGCCGAGCGCCCGCTGGGGGTTCCAACTGCTGGAGAGATGTGCTTCTTTGGCTTTCGAGAGGTCAGGCTCTTTCTGGTCCTCCTGCTGGCCACAGTGCCAGGTTCGGTAGTACGGTTCGGCATACGACTGTCCACCCTGCTTGAAACCGCATGTCTGGCCTTGACAGATTTCCTTTCTGTAAGCACAGCAGGTTTTGTCTCAGGCTGTGGCTTGATACTAGGCGGCAACATCCACTCAGGGGTTGAGCTTACCGACTCCCGCCGCCTGACCATATCCAAAGTTATACGGTCTTCCTGATGGAGGGGCAGTTGGGCTTTCTCGGCGATGGCATGTATTGTCGAGGCCGGGTGTCGGACACCCCAGCCCTCGAGCGTCCGGAGATTCTGGCTAAACGACGTGAAGAGAAAGTACGCGCGGAGGCTTGACAAAACATCTTCAACGACTGCTGGCCTCATCCGCCTAGACATTCGCTTCAGCTCATGAAAGCATCTGTTGGACTCAAAGGTCTTCCGAGCCATGGTGTGAGCAAGGTCTACCAAATATGAGCCATTTGGGTGTCTCAGCGGCGGTGATCGACCAAGAAATCTCTGATCTCGGTGGCTTTTCTTTTCCCCATGTGCGTGAAGTTGGACAGGTCCAAAGGCAGCAAAGGGATGAGATTGCTGAGCCACCGCTGTAGGGTTATCAAGCTGCAACTTTCCGCAGGCAAGGTGATACAGCTGCAAAGCAGCATAGGCTCGGGAGGCGAGATCTAAGGTCTCTTGTCAGCATGGCATTTCTTGATCTGGCCGGAGACTTACGTGTGAAGAACCCGCCGGGGTCTTTTGTACCCACTTCGCGAATAGCACGGGTCAGATCAAGATGTGGCAGAGGAGTGCCAAAGCTTTGGGCCACCATTGATGAGATGATGCCAAAGTTGGGGTCGTCTAAACTACCACGGTCATGAAGTCGTTCAGGGGGTTCATCCAACGCATGGAACTCGAGCAATTCAATGCCAAAGTGGTCCTCCAGCATATGTCGCTGGAAGTCGGGATTGACGCCAACTTTCAAGATTGCAGGATTACCGAGTGTATGCCTGAAACATCGAGAGTGCATTACAGCAGCTGGGTTCATAACACCCAGGGCGAATATTGCCACTTCCCTTTGCCGTGCGAGGATTAGATACTCGACCGGCGACGACCCAGTATGGATTCCCTTAGTCCCTGCCATTGTTATGGTGTCAATTCCCAGGACTTCGCAACGGGAGAAGCGGTGCAAGATGACGGCAGCCTTGTCGGGATCAGTAATGAAGTGGACCGGTATTGCTGAGTCCGGATGAGGGTAGAGATGTGCGTTCCTCTGCCATGGAGGAATGTACTCGGTAACGGTGGGCAGAAACTTCCCACTCGGTCGAGGCAAAGCTGATGCGCTTGCAGGAGGGTCAACAAACAGCATCAGGGCACTCTTCTGCCGCGGACGGTGGATGATCCCCAGATACATGTCGGAAGTTCCCCTCCACAACATCGCAAGGTCGCGTAAATTGAACAGCTCGCGTCTGGCGGCAAACAATGCGTCAGCCGAGACTGCAAGTGCTTCAGACGTAGCCGATGATAGCCCAAGAAAGCTAGAATCCCCGACTTCGGCTACCAGCTCGGCAATTATCAACAGTCTGTTGATGAAGATGGTGACGGATCGGAAGTTCGACAGCTGAGCTTCTTGCAACGCCAGATTTGTCCTCATTCCACTCGCCATCGGAGCCGAGAAATTGGTTTTGAAGAGATGGTGAATGTCTTGAGAGACAACTTGGACTTTATGAGGGAGGAACTGATGTTTAGCGTGGTGGATTGAATCGGCCCGGTTCCGGAATGGAGAAAAACTAAAGGTCATCATTTGCAGGTGATGATAATGGGCCGTGATTCGGGATGAGTTGCTGACCATCTCGGTTGTGAGCATATAAAACCTCGTATGGCGGGCGTCAAAGTCGAAAACCTCGGGGACGCCTGAATTCAGAAGGTATGATGTCCTGATTTTCCGGAGGAGATGGAGTTGCTGTTCTATGACTGCCGCATCTTCTATAAGATTGTGCCGCACCCAGAGGATCCCGATCATCGCACGTCGGACACGGAATGTCTTTGTGCCCTTGAAAAAGTCCGGTATATCCCTTCCGGCCGGATTGGCAACGTTCGTATTCCATAGCCCCTGCCGGGCCAGGTCCAGCGCGATGGATTGCAAGGTCGACAGTGGAAGCAGTACAGAAGCGACATCTCTCATCTTATAGCCGGCTTCTCTCAGGATTGGATCCACACTCCCCGAGTTTTTTATAAATTCAAATTGCCGTGCCGTCGATTGAGCTCGTCGCAACAGGCTGTGTCTGAATTCTTCTATCCCACCAAGAAGCTGAGTAAGTTCGTTGTCCATAGCAGATAACTTGGTGGCCACCTGGTCCATCCGTCGCATAATTGGAGCAATGGACTCTCGGACGTGATTCTCAGTCCATTTTTCCAGGTACTCTTGCCGTGCTGCCATCTGGGACCGCAATAGCTCCGTTGCAATTGCTTCCTTGTCCTGGTACTCCAATTGGTCCAGGATCTTCCATGCTTGTTTGAGCTTTCTTGCACGTGCCTCTTTTCTCGCCTCTTCCTTTCGTGCCAACTCCTGTTTTCTTGCCTCCTCCATTAGGGCAAGCACCTTCTGTCGGTTCGACTCCTCGACAGGACTCCTCGGGAGTGCCTGGTCTGCATCCCGGGTATTGTCCATACGTCTCCTGTTCCCCGAAGGTGGTGCAGCGTTCATCCGGGAAGGGCGAGCTGACTTGAAAGGGGTCGAAGAGCCAGACTGGGAAAGTCGGGGCAAATCTGAGGGCATCGTCATCGTCTGTGGCCTTTTTGCAAGGTTGGGAGCCGGACCGCAGCGGGCTTGGACTCCATCAAAAGACGTCCTCGAGCTTGTATGAAACCGACGTTGGGCATGGCCACCCCGTAGATATTGGCTACAGGTGTCAGGGCTTTTCGTGGATGGACAAGGCCGCGAGTCCATCCACGAAACCCTAGACCATGGTCTCAAGGGAGGGGTGCCACATGGCCTCGAGAGCGCCATCCCTCCCGTGTAAGCCCTCACGGAAGCGCAGCATGTTGGAGTTGGAGCTCCGCTCCGTTCTAGGTGTAGTATTTGGCTGACCGTGAGTTCAATCTGGCAACATGCGGTGCGGAAGGTCAGGGCACGGGGAAAGGACCGGGTGCCAACCGAGCCATGTAGAATTCGGCTCTGTCCATTGGACATAGACAGGATAGCACACAATAGAATGCCGGCTCTTGTCGTGAAAACTAAACCTCTCACGGCTTTCTGCAAATAGTCACGGAAGTCAAGGTGTCGGACAATGGATAATACTGCTGAAACCGTCGGGCGCATTTTCGTGTCCCGCCGTCCGCTCCGCTGTAGCCTTAGCCATCCTTGCGCAGGCCAACGCATGTCTAAACAAGTTTATTTGTTGTCTATCATAGAACAGCCTCACACAGTTAGAGTCCTCCCCTGCCTAGAGCTCTCTTGGGCAAGCTCTACAAGCCGGATCACTCCCACGGCTTCCTCAGGCTGAACTGGAATCTGCGAGGTGTCGCCATCTAGGGCCGCCGCAAGACGCCGGTAATATTCTGCGTAGGTTGCCGGCTTCACGGTCGGAGCCACCTCGCTCAGAATCTGCCCATTTTTGCAGATGTTCAAGGTCCCATAGTTCTCCTCCGGCTCGATACCATAGCCCTCGTCTCCTGGCTTGAGCCCCTTCTTTCTCAACTGCTCCTCCTGCGGATCTGCATGGAACTTCTTGAACGATCCTTTGACTCCACGAACCCAGAAGCGTAGCTGGTTGACTTCGGGACTGACGACAGCAGCCTTGACGGTAGCCACCATTTTGATCTTGTCGTAGTGCAGCAAGATAGTGCAGGAATCCTCCAATCCGTGGGGGTTAACCTCCCTCTGTGATCCGACAAACCCCGTAATACGCTGGGGCATGCCGAACAAATGCACGACTTGGTCCATGAGATGGGTGCCCAGGTCATATACAGCGCCATTCCCAGGGGTGTTGTATGCCTTCCAACTCTCGGCGGGCGGGTCAGGGCGGTGACGGTCAAAATGAGATTCGAACTCAGCAATCCTGCCTAGTGTACCGTCTTCGATGTACTTCCTTACCGTCAAAAAGTCGGAGTCCCAGCGTCGGTTCTGATAGACGGTGATGAGAACCCCTTGAGATTTCGCCAGGTCCGTCAATTCTTGTGCTTCGGCAGCTGTCGGGGTGAAAGGCTTTTCAACAACGACTGCAGGACTCGTCAGCAGGTTGCTCACCGGCAAGCTGAACAGGAAACATACCATGTTTCTTCGCCTGCAGCGCCAGCTTGGCCAGCTGCACATGTGAGTCCGGGGCCGTCGTGACTACTACGACATGGACCTGGTCGTCCTTTACAAGATCCTCCGCGGAGCCGTATAACTTGATCGAAGGGTGATCTTTGCGTGCGTCGTCCTCCGGCTTTGGGTGCCGCTGCACAATCGCATAGAGATTGAAATCCGGGACAGCAGTGATGAAAGGGATCTGAAATGTTTTGGCGCTCAGCCCGTACCCAATAACGCCGACATTGTATTTGCCTCCGGCCATGTTCAAACCTGGTGTTGTCTTCGTCCGCAGCGATCCGACTTGCACAACACAGACAGACCTCTCGATGGATTGATACGTAGATGCAACCACAGACGGGACGTTTGAAGCGAGACTCGAGACTGTTGCGTACTGCAAGTTCCTAGACGAATTGACGCAATGGGCTGCTCTTATGCAACTGGCATCGACTCTGTGCCGGGTGCCAGTGCGTCCACAGTGTCATCTCTGACGAATATAGAGCGGGACTCCAGCGGCAGCGTTTCCTATTCTGATTGCGCTGCCCGCAATGTCGCGCCCTCCTTCCTTGTACGTCGATTGGGCAATTAATTCTCTCGCAGCGATGATATGATATTTTTCGATCCAAAATGGCAATAATAACAGTTGGAGGCAGCCAGAGGCCAGAGACGTCCCAGTCGTCCTCCCAAGCTCCTTACCAACGCCTATCTGTACGGAGTACTTGTGAACCGAGATTCCTGTCTTAATCCTCTCCCGAGCCTGGCACGTTTCTCAGATCAGGGCCAAACACATCCCCATCCTTGTCCATCATATCCCGCTCTAGCTTGCGTTTCTTCAGCGCCTTTCCCACATCACTGTCCTTACCTCCTCTCTTTTCTGCAGCCTTCGCCCTCGCAACCGCCACGATGTCCATTTTCTCCGGATTCTGGCAGACCGTCAACTTTTTCCCTATACGCTTTATCTCCTTACGTTGGGAGGCGTCGTCTTTGGGCGAGCGATATGACTCGAGGAGAGACGCGCACGCAGAGATGGTCGACATAAGCTTTTGCTGTAGACTCGTCGTAGCTTCATTGGAAGATAGTTCGGAGAGCTTGTTGTGCAGATAGATCTGGACGAGCTCCCTATCTGCGACCATCATTGCCGCAAGCCAGATCTGGCTGGGCGTGTAGAGAAAGTAGGCATCAGTCATTTGAGCTGCAGTGGCGAGTAGTCTTTTTGCATGGTCGGCGGCCGTGCCTATCCTTTTCGCTGACCCTGTAGCTTTCGAAATGTCTCCCAACCGACCTTCGTCCGCCATAACATTCATCTCGATATGCCCTCCCGCCAGGCCTTTCATGGGATGCCGCACGTCAAGCGTGAAACGAAGCCCTTGTAGAAGCAGGAACTCAGGGGCTTTGACATCGTCCTCGCTTAAATTGGCGAGTTCGGCGACGAATTTGGCAAGGGAGATGTAGAAATGATCGGCTTTTGTGGCGAGGTAGAGTGCGCATGTCATGATTTGTTTGGGATGATATGTCATGGGGGAGTTGGTGAGGTAGAAACGACGAAGATATTGTATCGCTGTTGCCTAGCATGCAAAATGAGAACCTGGTAGACAAGAGCAAACAATGAGGAAGAACAGGGTAAGTGGTATCCCTACCACAATATGCGAAGGTATCCGTGGGTTCATCGCCTCGCCCATTTCCATGATCTTAGAGCAGCCCCATTCCACAATCTTCAGTTCTTCGTCCACCGTCAGGGTTTCGACGTCGACGTCGACGTCGATCTCCATAGCATCGGCGTCGGCATCTCCAGCGCTCACGGCGTTATGCGAATTTGAACTATGTGCAGGGTGCGCAGTATGTGCTCTGTGAAATGCTGCTCTGACTCGCTCAGATGCAAGATCGTTGGTATTCTGCCGTATCCGGGCGAGACTCTCTTTTGTGTATGACCAATATCGATATTGCGATGATGCCCGATAGACATCGTCTTCAATCATGGTCAGTGCACAGGAACCACACGGACAAGAACCAAGAGGTAATCGCAATGCCACGGGGAGAGCTAGGTCTGGATCATGTTAATCTGGAATAACCTGGTGGTTGGATCGTGGAGGTTCAGGACGTAATATATTGCTGGGTCAAGGTTCAACAGACGGAGCCGTGGCGGAAGTCTCCTCTCGGCATTCGCTACATGAGAGTAAGTGATCCTCAACTGTTACCATTTTCACGTGCATAGCAGCGACAAATTCACAGCACTAGGCAAGATAACCCGATTGTCTTCAGACTTGGGAAGTCTAGACAGATCTGGTATTTGAGTTCAAGATAGCCAAGTGCACACCATTCCCATAAAACGTCAAGCTGCCACTCAACTTGGCTTCTTGAAGTTAAGCTATTTGAAGTCTTCCATATGGTCATGGTTCTCGTGATCTACATACCAACGCCAGGAGATGCACTGCCTGTAACCGTATCAACACCAGCGCTTCTATGCATAGATAACAGTCCCAAGGCACACTGCATCACGGCTCACCCAACAGTCTAGCTGTGATATCGCCCATGTACGCCTCCTCGAGTTCGTAGTCTTGTCCTCCATTACGGTCGATGCCAACATAGTTGAATGCTTCCACTACCCTTTCAACGTCGAAGCCCATCAAGACAAAGCGATCAATCAAATCCTTGTTGTATCCATCATAGACTGCAAGGTTGGCAGCTTCTTCCCTCTCCTCGCTTTCCTTCTCGGCTTGCTCGATGGATTGATCTGTTGTGCCACCACTGCTCTCCCCGATATTTGACTTGGGCGCCCCAGCATATTTGACTGCCCACTCTCTGGCTTGTCTCTCAAATTCCTTGGGGTTCTTGATTAATTGCTGAGCTACAACCGCATCCTGCGGGTCTTTGGGCTCGGGAGAACTGAGCAACGACTGCAATGAAATCATCGCAGATTTGATCGTTAAAACCGGTGACCACCCCGTGCTAAGAGTATCTAGACAGATGGCACCCTGTCACATTGTTAGCTCTTTATGGCATGGAATCACTGGAGTCCAAAGCTTACTGTTTGACTGGAGATGTTTGGGTGCCAGATCTTGGTAATGAACTTCATGACAGGGGGCTTGAAAGGGTATTCATTCGGGATATTGATGGAGACCTCGTACGTTCCTCCTTCATACGGTGTCCCCGCTGGGCCTTTGAAAGAGCCCCGAAGGTTGGTGATGCTGTCGCCAACAGTCTCCGCGAATATCTGAGAGACGGAATCGGCGCGAATGTCCGCAAGATCTTTGGCTATGCGTCGGGCCTTGTGTCCTGCCATATTGTACGGGTTGGAGAGGTTTGAAAATCTTCGATCGCTATTGATGGAGGAAGGCAGACCGGCAACAGGTATACACGGCACCGCGATATCACCGAGACTGCCGAGATCGATCGGAGGTGTGAATGTCAAAGGCTGATATTATTATAACAACGTAGCTGGTGTCTAAGAATGTGAGGGTGTTGGAAGCTAGCAGAAGAGGCGTAAAGGCGTGTTTGCAGACAGAATCAGATCGAAAGGATATGGCGGCGCAGGCGAGTGTGGTTTGTCCTGCAGATTTGGAGCAAAGTAACCGACTAGAAGTAGGTATGGGACCACAGTGAAGGGATTCTGCGGCAGGCGTGCAAGTGATATGTTTGTCGTGTGTGTGACACAGCCACCTGTGGACGTGTTGGCTAGTCTATGGCTCACGAGAAGCAGGGTGATTGATTCTGCGCAGCCTCACTTTCTGCGAAGTTGGAGAAGTGGCATGGCCACCGAGTCTACGACTTGCGGGTGGAGGCGAGCAGGCCCCTAAGCATTAGGAGCCCTCTAACAAGTAAGTAAGGGACGGCAGCCTAATAAGCCTACCGAGGAGCCTTAGGACCCTATCAATGCTGTAATACTACTACTGTGGTACTACTACTATTCCGTACTACAGTAATACTCTACTACGTACTTCAGCTGTAGACTGGCCTGCGCCAAGTCTCATGAGGCTAGCCGCAGGCGCGACCAGGCATTCGTCACCCAGACGCTCGCCATCACCATCACCCATCTTCATCTCTGACTTGTACACAGTAACAAGTCTTTGCGTGCCACAGCTATCTTTCTCTCAGAGGACCTGTACTTCGCTCCCTGAATCTTCATCGTTATGGTATGGTACCTCGTCTTCTCATCCGCGTGCTCTGCTGACAGACATAGGGCAATCAACAATCACAAATGGGAGGCGGCCCTCCAGGGCATGGGGCCAAAGATGATAAAGACAAGAAGGTATGCAGTTTTCATCACGATATGTTGCCTGTATATGCTGACAGCCCTTTGAAAGAAGGACAAGCCTAAGTACGAACCTCCTCCACAACCAACCACGCGAATCGGACGGAGGAAGCGTAAGCAAGCTGGACCGAATGCAGCCGCAAAGCTGCCAACCATCTACCCAACTGCCCGATGCAAACTGCGGTATCTGAGGATGCAGAGAGTGCATGACCATTTACTCCTGGAAGAAGAGTTCGTGGAGAACCAAGAACGCCTCCGGAAGGCCAAAGCCGTCCAGACCCCTGCTGTTGCCGCGGAAGGTGAAGCTGCAGATCGCAATGCGGATGAACGAAGCCGGGTCGATGATATGAGAGGGAGTCCTATGGGTGTTGGCAACCTGGAAGAGCTCATCGATGACGATCATGCTATCGTTTCCAGCGCCACAGGCCCGGAGTACTACGTCTCTATCATGTCCTTCGTCGACAAAGATCTACTCGAGCCCGGTGCCTCTATTCTCTTGCATCACAAGTCTGTCTCTGTCGTCGGCGTTTTGACGGACGATGCCGATCCATTGGTGTCGGTCATGAAATTGGATAAAGCGCCCACTGAAAGCTACGCTGATATTGGTGGGCTGGAAGCCCAGATACAAGAAGTCCGTGAAGCGGTGGAGCTGCCTTTACTGCACCCCGAATTGTACGAAGAGATGGGCATAAAGCCGCCGAAAGGTGTTATCCTATATGGCGCACCAGGAACAGGCAAGACTTTGCTTGCAAAGGCTGTTGCCAATCAAACTTCGGCGACCTTCTTGCGCATCGTTGGGTCGGAACTCATTCAGAAATATCTTGGCGATGGTCCGAGGTTAGTGCGTCAACTCTTCCAGGTCGCAGCGGAGAATGCTCCTAGTATTGTCTTCATCGATGAGATCGATGCCATCGGTACGAAACGATACGAGTCGACATCGGGTGGCGAACGAGAAATTCAGCGAACCATGCTTGAACTTCTAAATCAGCTGGATGGTTTCGATGACAGAGGAGATGTCAAGGTCATCATGGCCACGAACAAAATCGAGACTTTGGACCCGGCTTTGATCCGACCAGGGCGAATCGACCGCAAGATCCTGTTCGAAAATCCCGACACCAACACCAAGAAGAAGATCTTCACGCTTCATACTAGCAAGATGAGTCTGGCCGACGATGTGGACCTGGACGAATTCATTGCCCAAAAGGATGACCTCAGCGGCGCAGACATCAAGGCCATCTGTTCCGAGGCAGGATTGAGAGCACTTCGAGAGAGGAGAATGCGGGTCAACATGGCAGATTTCCGCAGTGCGAAGGAGAGTGTGATGAAGACGAAGAACGAGGGCGAGCCCGAGGGTCTGTACTTGTAAATATTTCATCCGAGTGAAGGGGAAAGAGGCCCTCTGCGGTGTGGTTGTCGTTTGCAAGCCTCGTCGCTGTAATTTTACATAGAATGGATGGCTTGAGTCAACCAGACGGCGGCAACGTAGAAGTCTACAAACGGCTGCTGGCGTCGCTCTAAGAAATAGTGTCCATCCTGAGGAAACATACGTGTCTTTGGTCGCTCAAATGGGCATCTGCCACGGCAAGCACCTCATATCTATTCTTGATATATTGGTCAATCCAAAAATTCGAGTCTAAAGAGGCGTGATGGCTTGCGCGTGTCCCTCCGACGAACCGCTAACTTCCAAACAGACGTGCCATATGTTGTATCAAGACCCAGGGCGCGATATGGCATGTCTGAGACGAACCTTGCTGCCTCTCTGGCTTGTCCCCTCCTGTGCTGTTTCCCAAACGTATTGTGGTTTGTCCCATCTCGACAGATAAAGCGCCTGTCGATTAGCACGCGCGTCGTATCTGTTCGCTCATGACGGCACAACAAACCGGATGCAACCTCGCCGAGGGGTCGAACTACAACTCAGAGAACGGATGCTTGAGGGACGATCGATGAAGAGGAACCCTCCAGAGGAGCGTGCAGACTACTCGGAAGCAGTGCCCTTGTCGCAGCCGATGCGGCCGAGGAGCTCCTTGCGGTCACTACTGGCAGCGAGTAGATTGACGCTCGAGGAATGTGCCGACTCATGCTTGTGCTTTCTCCTGCTGCTGCTGCTGCCGCTCGAAGTAGAACGCGTGACTTCCGAGTGAGCACTCCGCTCTGCCTTGTACTTGGACTTTGATTTCGTCGTTGATTTCGAAGAGTTGGACAAAGAGAAATTCGCATCTGTGCTCAGGACTTCGGCTTCGAAATGTGGCTGTGGGTCGACGCAGAGATGAACTGTGTCGATGTAATTGTTCCCCTTGTTTTCAGGGCCCGACATAGGTATCGTAACATCCGAGATACCTTCCTCTTCTTCTTCATCTTCATCGTCAGATCGGACATCGTCCGCCCCCTGCCCGGTCACGACTTTGTAGGCAACTCTAATTATGGCGGCAAACCAGACAAGCAGCACCACCTGTAGTGCAATGAGCGAGATGAGGAATGACCATTTGATCTTGTTGTTCCAACACACCAGGCCGACCGGATCGCGGAAGGGCTGCATCAGATGGCCCCAGTCGTTTGGCGGAGGTAACGGCCCCTGCAGGTCGAGGACGCTTCCCTTATAGCATCCGTATTGGATCTCCTGAGGGATGTGGGCGTAGATGCTGTACAAGACCATCGGAAACAGTACATGTCTAGTAAAGAACCAAGTGACCATGAAGATGCCGAAAGCGATGTCACATACAACATTGTAGTGGAGGTACTTGAGGATCTTGGCCGTGGGCAGAATCACGTCCACGATGTCCATCAGGGAGAGGATAACAGTGCCGACCCGGTATTGGTGGTAGCCGTAGGAAGCGAAGATGAGACAACAGGTAATGATGTGGTGCACGAACATTTGCAGGTAGTCCTTCCGACGCTCCTCGATGTTGACCACAACGATCTGCTGCAGGTAAAAGCCGAACTGGACTAGGTAGTACCATTTCGCAAGTCCTCCCATCTCTCGACTGGGCCAGTTCCGCCATAGCGCTCGCAGATCTAGCCAGTAATCCGAGGTGTACATGGTGTACATACCGACAGACCAGGAAATACTATAGTAGAGTATGATCCACGCTTGTTCTGCGAACCGGACCTTTGGTTTCTTCTTCTTGATGCCCAAGGATGAGGCCAACGGTGTGAGGAGATAGTCCATGACGGCACAGCGCAGGCCGCTGAAGACAACGATCCAGTAAAAGACGAAGAAGATATCGTCCCAACCAAGGGCATACATGCCAGTGACAGGATTGTAGTAGGAGACACGGAAGTACTTCTGGGTGTGGTGGCGTGCTGAGGGGAAGAATATGTGCACGAAGAAGAGCATGGATATGAAATTCAGTGATAAACCTGTGAGTTCAAGGTCAGTAGGGTGCTCAGCAGTGTCCTCTCTCAGGCCTTGACTGACCGATCTGATGGTCCACGGCCCATGTGCCAGCAAGTGCCAGGCTACTCTTCTCCTTGCCTCTCTTATGCCACCTAGGCCAGGCGGTCTTTTGCGAGGGTGCATCATTGTGTGGACGGCGGTTGCTTGCCGGTTGAGATATTCTTTCTAACTTCTCTTGATCTGCCAAACTCCTGTGGTCCATTGTGCCACACGCGGGCCCCGACGCGCGAGGGAGGTCGGGCGTCTGGGTAAAATGCAATGGACCTCGAGATCAATTGCGCACGTAGAGGAGATCTATGCGGATTCAAGAGGAGGAGGTATAAAAGCGAGTTTTCCGCGTGTATGGCTCGAGGAAAGTGTGGGCGACCGGCGCAGCCAATGTGTGTTGAGGTAGCGACTTGTGACAATTGCCCCTCCGAGGGAGAGGGAAAGCGAGTGACAGATCCGGTTGACAGCACACTTGTCGTTAGGACATGATGGTACCAGCCGAATGGAGGTTTGGCATCGGCATCTGGTGGAGCGGTAGGGAATATGAAGTACTGTGTATAGATGGGAGGGAGGTGGTAGGTGGTAGTTGGGTGTAGGTAGGATGGGTTGAAGTTGTCTGGGGATGCTCGTGGGTAGCGTCCTTTCTGTGCGGGATCGGTGATCCAGCACTGCGCGACGAGTCGCCTTCAACAACCAGCACACATGCAATATCCGTATCCGAATAGTACGTAGTGTGACAATTCGAGGATGGCGGTGTGGGAGCGCCAACCGCAATGATAGTAATTAGGATTTAGTTTTTAGTATTTGCCGTAACTTTCAAGGGCCGATTGCAGGTGGAAACATGGCCAGCTACATGAGTGGTCCGCGTTTCGCGTTCTGCTCGATTGTGTCCAATGTATCTCGCTGCAGCTGCAGGTGTAGCTGTAGCAGAGCCGTAGCAGTGTCCGTCCCCCGTCCCCCGGTGTGCAAGTGAGTGTCTGTGTCAGTGTCTGTCTCTTCCGCCTCAAGTTTGACACCTGCTCAACACCGTCAGGACCTTTAGACTTCGCACTGCTCGTGATTGACCAGTTTCTGCCCGTATCTCGTATCGCGCGTATTGCGCATCGCATCTGAGACACGGCGGTCCGCCTGTCGCAGGTCGACAGCTTACTTTAAGGGGGCCCTGAGCCCTGAGCCCTAAGCCCGTTCCTCTCCAACGCGCCGATCAGCCTCAAAGCTTCCGCTGCCCCAAGCTCCCGCACCCCTGCATCAGGCATTTTTTCCTGATCCAAGCCGATTGCACGTCCGAATCCAGGCACGTCCCGCGGGCAGAGCTGCTGCACCAATAGTAGTACATGCTGTGCCGCTCCTTGGTCCTGCATATCATCCACCTATGAGCTGCCCCCCTTTGTGTCGGCAGGCCATCTGGGACCGCGAATACGGGGAACGTCGTTTCTATCCGGCACGACCACGATACAACCTGTCGTCGCGTCGCCTCGGAGTTGATCAGCTATAACATCCTGCCAAAACTTCTCATCTTCGTGACCACTGTGACCGCAAATCCCAATGCGAGGGTTTGACGACTCTCTCAACACTGGTGCCGAAGAAACTTGTCAAGATGCCAGCTCCTGCCCAGCTCAGCGCCACAGACCGTATGGCTCCTTGCAGGCTTTCCACAGTTTGATCGTTCCATCTTCACTCCCAGTCGCGTAGATCTTGCCGTCAGGGGAAAAGGCAGCCGTCCAGATGGGACCGTGATGGCCTTTGAGGACCTCTGCCGGCGATGTTAGCATCAGTGGCAGGTCACACTGTGGGATTCATTTGCCATACCAAGTTGTTTTTCCTGGGCAAAATCCCACACTCGAACCCACGTATCTTTGACTCCACCAGTTACAAACCTGCCACTTGCAGGATTGATGGCTACGCTGGCAACGTCATGGTCAAAGTTGACCTGCTTGATCAGTTCGCCGGGTCGACCAGCATCGAAGAAGAAACATGAGTTTCCAGCGGCTACACTGAGGATGCCGGGATCACTATCCTCTGCCTTATTGGTGGATAGCTCGCATGAACCAATATCTCGTTCAGTTCGGAAACTGGCGATCATGTTCTGGGTCCTCAAATCCCACCACCGGATGGTCTTGTCCTCGCAGGCCGTAGTAAGAATGTTATAATCGACGTTCCAGACGATTGACTTGATACTTCCGCCATGCTGTCCCACTCCGATCTCAAGCCCCTCCGACGTGGTGGAAGGAGTGACTGGGGATCCACCGTTTGCTTGAGCAGGAGAAGCCGCACTGCCTCCCCTAGTAAGGTCGAATATCTTGAGCTTCTTGTCTTGACCACCAGTGGCCACGCATTGTGGGTTGTCCTGGATAGGGAAGGCAACAGCTCGGACAATGTGGTCGTGATTCAGGATATGTAGACATTCTCCTGTCTGAGGATCCCAGACTCTCCTGTTTGTCGTCAGCATACAGTCGTGCTCATGTGGTAGGTTGACCCGACGCGGAGAAATCTGCAGAGCCAGTGGCTGCAATTTTGGCGTCCGAAGACAGCCTTGCCGACCACACAGCACCCTTGTGTCCGATGAAGGTTCCTATCCTGCCACGATGTTAGCTATATTCATGCGCGTCCGTAGTCTCGCATACCAGTCACCTGTAATGCCATCTCTCAGCATAGGATTGTTGTCTATGATAACAGATCAGACACGGTCCAACCCAGTAATGAGGCGTGGTGGTGGCACCTTTACTGGCAGAAATGAGATAATATTGGTCACCATCCACGATGGACGAGAAACTCAAATGCGTAATGGGTCGAGAATGCCCATGACAAGTCAAAGGGACAACCCGAGGGGCATCTAGAACAGAGGTCAGAACAAGTAATGTGGTATACGCCCCGAGCACGGGATGGCCACAGTTGCGAAGAGACTTCACACTCACCTCCAGACATGGCTCAAATGCGATAGAGGAGGGTGATTGAGCCTTGAGTAGATAATGGTTTCAAGCCACTGCGTAAATGGCGACAGGGGGTAATTAATGTATTCTAGAAGTCGGGGACAAGCAAACGGCGTGAGAGATGGTAGTTGAAAGGGATGTCAAGGGGAAATGATATGGGCTTCTTATGGCATTTGGTGGGCAAATAGAGAAAACACGGTGAAGAGTAAAGTTGAAAAGCAAGGCCGTGTTGAATTGACCCTCCCGAGGAAAGAGTTTCGGGTGTGGTGAAGATCAATCCTGTGCTCCTGGCCGGTCACTTCTCACAGACAGGAGTGGTGGGAGCACTAGGAGAGGTTTCCAACATGACTAAGCTTCGATATCAAGGTACTACGGTTGAGCACAAGCACCATAGAAGTGCTACGGTGACACTGTGGAGTATTGGGCAGCTTTGCCGAGGTCACGTGACAGATTGCGCTTTTGGGCTACTCACCCACCAGTAGAAGGCTGGGCTAAACCAATCCCGTGGTAGCAATTTGATGTGCCCCGTCGTCTTCTACTTCCACTTCCTTGATCATTACCTGGGTTCATGCAGACAGAAAGACCTCTCCCACAGGGATCAGATTACTTCACTCTCGCCGGGTCTACCCAGCGGGGTGAGCTGCCCCTGGAGATTGAAGCACTTCTTTGTTCGTTTCTTTGTCATTCAAGTGGTTCCGACTTGATGAATTAGCATCCTCTGGAACAGGGAGCATACTATGGCCCTTATCCTTTGTCGCAATACAAATGCGCTTTGTCCAGCTGCTTGATCTTGTTTGGGTGATTCAAGACAGTCGACAGGCGCCGCCAACAATGATCCCAGGCCAGCGATGTGTTGTGTTAGCAAGACCTGCCACCAGAGATGGCTCTGATCGTTATCGTTGCAGGTGGCTTGATGCGAGGCCACCTGAAAGGTGTGTTTGCCCCGTTTGGCTGTCGACAAATGGTGGATTAGAGAATGTTCAATACAAACACAACTTTGAAATAGCTATCAAATGTAGGTTTGGCCCAAGGGTGGTATGTCCAACTGACCTGAGACATGGCACGAAAACACTTACAGGCAGTTCCAAGGCTGTGTCTCTGCCTGATCGTTTTATACAAGCATTGCCTGAGACCATCGCCGCGGCGACTGATCTCTTGGACCCTTCACGCGATGCCTGCGTCTGTTGACTTGAAATATCTGCACTGCCCCGTCCAGCTTCAGTCATCCTTTCTTTCTGAGGTGCACCAGTCCACCTCCTAACGATTCAGGCCAGCAAACACTTCTACCACCACCCTACAGGCGGGTAGCAAGCCACGCAAACCCCAAAGAACAACCACATTGCTAGCCATTCCCGTTGAGAGAAGTATCCATCGACTTCCCATCAACAGGTAAGCAAACCGACATTTAAGATGCACGCATCCAAGAAATTCCTCACCCGTTCCAAGGCGAAGCTGGCCTCTGCCTACAGGAAGGTCAACTCTGTGGCGTCAAATCTTCTCCATCGCCAGACTTCCCGCACTTCCACTGCTGCTTCGCGCCCGAGACTGGTTCAGGACACTGCACCAGCAGCTAGTTCAAGCAGTGCCGCCGCCGACACCATGCCTCAAGATCCTCCAACAGCAGCGAATCCACCGCAGTCCATCTTACAGTATGTCCGTACAAACTATGTCGAAGGCTCTAGCATTGCGGACGTCTCTTCGACAGTCTTGACGGACGCTTCCTCGTCCTCGTCTCCTCCTACTGGCTACCGTGGCGGTGCAACCTCCGGGCCCGGCCTATACGATAGAGAATACACCGTGCTGGAACAACGACGTGTGGCTGAGAACTTTGCCCTGTGGCCCATCCACTCTCGACTGACCTCGATGAGCCAACCTCGGGTCCCGACTGCCTCGGCCGTTCCCGCACTGGAGGATGAACCAGCACAGCTTCAAGGCTCATCGGATCACCAACATGTACGCACCGGCTCTCCCCTCGAGAACATTGCAGAGCATGAGCCTAGCCCAAGTGTCTCTGAGGAAGGCAATGTCCAAATACTATCCGAACCAGCCCCGGCAGCCAGGGGTGCACCAGTGCCACCAGGGACTCCACCTTCAAAATCTGGGTCTACAGTAAAGCCGTCATGTTTCGTTTCTGGCAACGAGCCATCGGTAGCTTGGAGCTGTCGTGCACCTATAACTTCTTGCGACAACTTCGTGGTGGGGGGCTCCAGCAGCTTACCTGACCCGTTCATCGATCAGTCTGGTCTTGTGTCACAGGAGACCGCCCAACTTCAAGACGGTTCTGGCGCTTCCAGGTCATGGACGGCACGTCGTTGGTCCGATTTCGACCCGGAAGAATTCCCGAGCACCGAGAACAAGCGCCTGGTCCGAATTGGCTCACAGCAATGGGAGCTTCAGCCGCCTAATAAGACCGAGCCAAAAGTCGAGCGGGCGAACCCATCACAGGTTCAGGCTCAACCACAGGCGTGTCAGAGGACCCCAGCACCCCAACAGCGAGAGACTTTCAACATCAACGACCCTGAGGGGCACCAGCCCGTCCAGCCGGGGGCATTAGCGGGCGACTGGTCTTTGCCGAGCGGGATGACTAGCCGGGAACATCTGCGCCACATGGAACAGGGCCTGTTTGTAGCACAGAACGCGCTCCCAGCCGTCCGCGGGCTACGGTATGCGGTCGACCGCGCCGCCACGGATTTCCAGGCTCTTACACTAGAAAATCGAGCATTGCAACGCATGGCGGCCGAGTATCAATTCAAGACGACCCAGATCCTCGAGCCGGAGCTGCTGAGAGCATGGGAAGCCCTGCGAGAGCGTGACGCCGAGATCATCCGGCTGCAAGGCATCATCGACCTGGTCTCGACGCAGGGGGCTCCGGCGGCGAAGAACAATCCTGCACCAAGAGAGGCCTTGTTGTCGGAGTGGTCGGCTGCGAATGGTGCTTTCGCGTACCAAGGCCACTGTCAGTATAATGCCGCCGCCGATCTCCCATCGTCACAGAGTGCCATGCAGCCTGTCCAACAACCCCTGCGGACCCTGTCAAGTCAGTTCTACGGTACACTCCCGAACGGCAGCGCGGTTGCGGGTGAGACCGAAGCTCAATCCGACGTCGAGTTCGAGACTGACCATCTCTACGGCGACTGCAAGGGCGAGCAGGAGCGGCCGTCTCATGACAACGACAACGACAACGTCGTGCATGGCGCAGAGGATGAGGTCGCATCGGAGGCTGAAGTCTTCTACGATCCACCTGAGGAGTTGGGACGGGAGCTGGCTCAACATCAGTACCAACATCAGCAAGACCAGCATGCCCATCAGCAAGACCAGCATGCCCATCAGCAAGACCAGCATGCCCATCAGCAAGACCAGCATGCCCATCAGCAAGA